TTGTCTCCTCCTCGTGCTTAGTGAGCTTTGAAGAGTTGGGATGGGTATCGCGTCGGGCAGCTGTTCTGGCGCATCGGTCACTAAGCGTGCTTTGAGGAACATCATAGAGAGCAGCAGCGCGTCGCTGGCTTAATGAAATGTCGGATTTCATCGCTTGGATAGCAAAGATAATCCTATCCTCACGAGGGAGCGATTCAAGATCAGGTTGTTGAGACATTGAGATAGGTGATTGAAAGAGGTATGATCTTGGCAGGGTGAATGACTCGCTTACCTGACCGACTCGCTTGCCGCTCACGTTACCCCTCATGGAGCTGAAAATCGGACTTCGATTCCAAAGATCGACTCACCTCTCAATTCTAGCTAAGCCAAGAACCGTGTTGCGTTGCAGAGTCCAGCGGATTGGTATGAACGCGGACTAAGACATACATCTACGGGCCATGTTCTTTGAGCTCGCAGACGCTGTCTCATTGCATTAATCGTGCGGCCGTAGGTGGATACAGCCATCCGAGGTATACCACAATCTAGGCCGGTGAGAAACTAGCTCCACACACATTGAGTTGCTGGAGGCCCATTTTCTACTTTTAGAGAATGGTGTTCATCTATTATATAGGGCTGAACTACAAATGTTGCAGTTGCACAGGCTCGATATGAGGAAGGGTTTAGGCTAAACCAGGATGCAGCGGGTATGATGCAGGCGCAATACTCACTTGATTAAATAGGCTTGGCTGTCGAATACTCCATGACTGCATTCTTCAGGAATCAAAACCGTAAAGGCATCGCGAATCATGGAGAAAGCTTTTGACATCGCGTCTGGTGACTTGATCGCGTCACCATGGCTTGTCTCCTCGCAGGGTGTCTGGTAAGTATACTGCTGCTGCTGTCCGCAACAGTAATCCACGGCTGTAGGTTCACATCTACTCTGGCTGACGGTGTACTAGAAAACTGACTTGATTGCAATCAGTTCCCCAGCAAACACCTCCACCTATAACCACACCAGGCGCCAGTACCACAATGACTGCCGACCATCCACCAGTCCCAACCTATTCACTCCCACCCCTCCCACCTCAGTTTTCCGACATTCCTCCCGAAGCCTTGAGTTGCTGGAATTCGTACTTCGCCTCCATCAAGCTTCGCAACTGGCTCTGGACCGAATACTCCAAATCCAGTACTCGAATCGACACTACCTTCTCGCCCCCCAGCAGCGGCATCTCCTACTACACCTACACCACCACGACCAACTGCACCACCTCCTTTATCAGCCCCACGACCCTCTGCGACGGCGTCCCCCGCGCCTCCGACAAAACCATCCACGGCTGCCGCACCGCAAAAGCCACAGGCGAAGTCAGCTACATCTGGAGCGTCAGCGCCATCACGCAGATCACGCCCACCTGGACCAGCGACGTCGAGCTCCCCGCGCCAACATGCGGCTCCTCGCTGAACCTCCAACCCGAGTGTTCCCGCCTCTTCTCAGCTTGGAGCTGGTACCTCACCAGCATGAAAACGGCCACCCCGCCCGTCCCGACCGACGAATCCCGCTCCTTCGAATGGGCCGCCGTACCCCCTTGCTCCATTCTCTCCCGAGCCTCCAAACGCCTCTGTAAACTGCGTCTGGCGGGTGGATCTAAAGGCGAATCCGGCGGCTACGAAGTCCACTACTGGCGCACGCCCACACCAACCGGGACCCAGTTCTGCGACCCCAGTTGGACGCCGCCACCCGCGCAATCCCCTTCTGTGCCGGGAAAACCGGACACGGCGCTGGTATCGGGACTCACGCTCACGAGTCCGAGCATCTACCACTTCTTCCGCTCCGTGGTGCTCGAGACGCTCGTGGGCAACGCCCGGCAGCCCGGTGGACTGGGCGGCTACGCCGATGATATCTGGGAGGCGAGCACCACGGTCACTGAACGCGTCTTGACGGTTGCGCAGCGCGAAGCGGAGATCTTGAGCGTGAGTAAGCAGTGCAGGGGTATCGAGATGGATTATTGCAGCGTGTCTTTCTTCCCGTCTTCGTTCCTTATCAGGGATGTTTACACGGCGAGGAAGACGGCGTATGAGAACAATTGCGGGTGGAATTGTCTGAGTAGCACGAGGTGGGATGGGGACGGTGGGGTGCTGGTTCAGGAGAGCTTTAGGCCCAGTTTGGCGGTCCCTGTGAGTGAATTGTTGAGGCAGAATAGTGGGGTACTAGGGGATTGTGATGAGTGGGTTAGTTGGGAGAGTGGGGATGAGGGCGGATGGAGGAGTCGGAGTAGTAGTGCGTTTGCGGCTTTGAGGGTGGGGGAGGTGCCGAGGACGGCGTTTGTGGAGATTCAGACGGCGGCGGTAGCGCCGGAGGGCTTGGGAAAGGGTGCTGGGAAGAGGCGAGATGGTGGGAGAGAAGTGGATGGAATGGGGAGAGCGGCGCCGGGGATGGGTGTCAGAGAGGATGAGGCGGTGGCCGCGCCTACAGCGGTGAGTTAGCTGGCGCTGGTTCAGCCAGATACCATGGTTGTTGCGTTTTCACCCTCCTGTAAAGGATCCCTTAGTCGAAATCAAATACAGAACTGGGACAACATATCCCGATAAAACTGCAATGCCTTAATTCATGTGCACGCTCACTTACTACTCCCTGGGTACTCTCCATCACTTCAACCAAACTCCCTCGCCACAACAACCCTCATCCTGCGCTAGCATCGCCCGCCCAAAAGACTTGATGCTCTCCCCCACTAATCCCAACACCGCAACCATCGCTCCCGGGAACGTGGTCAAAGCCACCATATCGCCGTCAAACGGCGCGGGGATCAGCACACTCGTCGGCTGTTGCGTTCCATCGCCTAGATAATTCCTGAAAGACGCACGTGCGATGCGTCTCTGGACTGCTCCCGTCTTCGCATCGAGCAGAAAAGCTGTCACCATGAATGTGTTCTCTGGGGAGGCCGTGTGCGACAGCGTCCAGAGCGTGGCGTTGGAAGAGGAAATGGCGACGCTGGTCGTCACGTACTGTCCCGCCGGTGTATCTTTGACCAGGATAGCGCTGCGGTTGGCGGCAATGGGACCGTCGATGCGGTCGTTGTTCAAGAGCGGGATATCTAGCAATTCATTCGTATCTCTGGTCACCACGTAGATCCGGTGACCGACCGGGTGCGTGATCACCTGTCGTGCAGCCTTGGTATCTTTGATTGCCTTTGTGTCCAGCAAATCCTTCAGATCCGGTTCGTCTGCGATGCCGAAGTTAAGCAAGCTGCTGCTCTCGGAATCGAGGGCGTGTAGATGCCGGCCATCGGGGCTCCAGGCAAAGCTGCGGATGTCGCCGGCAATCTCGTTACTGCGCTGGGTGTAGTATCCGGTGATGGAGATGGAAAACAGCGTGCTGCATGTGCCGGTCGTGGCGGAGCCGTAGATGAGGTTGGGGTTGCGGATGGCCGAGGAGATTTTGATGGATTTGAAGGCGGTGGTGTTGCCTGAGTGATATCAGATGATATGCTGAGAGAATGTTTGTTGGAGGAACGAACAGGATTCGGGGATTTGACCGGTGCCTTCGTGCTTGAGCGAAAAGTCTGGCCCGACGCTGTAGCGGGAGATTGTACCGTCGGACGGACGGGTGCCAAAGAGGAAGAGTTTGGAGCGCTGGTTTCATTAGGGAGCTGACCTTGTAATCATTTGGAGCTGCATGCATACGTCGAATGCGATCGAAGGTGATGCTCCTGCTGCAGTTTCGTTCCGCAACACCGTCAATGTCCTCTCCATGTCGTCCATTTCCAGGACATATAGGGATCCGCCATCCACAGTCCCCACGAAGAGATGATGCAGAGCGGCAGCACTCCATTTCGCAAACAGCGCAACCAAAAGTAGAGCAAGCATCTTGGGCCACAATTCCGATGCTCTTCAAACCCCTCCACCTCAGGCTATCCACGCTTTTTATGTTCTCAGACATTGATCTCCTGATCCTCTCCAACTCTACCTCTGTACCAGAGTTCCGGTTTGTGGGGTGCATGAGAACCCGCCAGGGGCGCAATCTGCCGGCGTTGAAGAAGCTTCTGTCGAATAAGCGTGCACAAGCATATTAGTTGAGCAACTTGCACTCTAGAGCCTCTGGGATCTTTTTGACTTTATTCGGCATTTGTGAAGGCGATACTGCAGGGTGTATAATGCATATGGGGCTCATGGCGGATCATGCGAATGCAGGGTCCTCGGCGTATTGTTTGTGCGACTTTGGATGAGCATGTTGTATATGAATCGATAATTGCTCCATGACATGTGCCGGTAAAAAGAATGTATGATGCACAAGGAGGCGAACATAGTTTTCAGCTGCTTAGACTACCCAGAGCCGAATGGATGTTGGGAGCGGTGCTGGAGCAGCGGGGTATTCCAAATTGGTTGCACAGCGACGGGTATCGCTACCCGAGTACCGAGGCGCATGTGGTTCCATCTCTTACTGCTATAGTCCATCGAAAAGTCTGACATCTAGTAAGGAGAGACGAAGTTGTGGTGGGCTGTGGTTGGGTGGTAGTAGTATCTCTGTCCGTTCAGGCGGGGAGCGAGCAAGAATGAGCGCCAAAAGCGGCCTAGTCTAACGAACGACCGGGCACACACTTGGACCTACGGCATTCCAGCGCTAGCATTGCTTGGATGGATTGTAACTATATACTACTCAATAATCATTTTAACTTCATTATTTCAGTTTGCTGAATGTATATTGTACTGGTGGCTTAGTCACGTGATACGAAGTAGTGTGGACCACGAGGGCTTCCAGGTGACAGGATAGAACGAGTGGTGACGGTGCAGGAAATTTAAGGGCTACTCACTCCCCAAGTATGGTAATGGAAATAACCATCTCAATAAAAAATTCATCGGCAGCCTGCTTGACCACTACTCAAGCGGAATCGAACCGGCTCCACCACGGCACATCGTTGGAAAATGAAACAGGCCCTTCTTGAACAAACGCGGCAGACATTAACAAATTTGAGCCGAATTACTGTATAACGAGCAGCTGCTGAAAATGGAGTTAATTTTTAGAGAATGTTGCTCTTTGAGCTAGAGTTGAAGCCCGGATAATGCCACCACAGAAGAAACTCTGAATTCGATAGTATGGCTGAAAACGAACGGTCTTATTCGCCCCTTCAGTATTCACATGCTTATAACAGAGGTAAAGAGGGATTAACTACGGTTTTAGATCTATCGCAATCTCCGTAATACTTCACCACTCTTATTGGGAACCTCGATGCTTTCCAGCTGCCAGAAGTATCGATCAAGTTTGGAGATGAACAAGTTAATTGAGCCCTCTACTGTTAGTCAGAGCACTACTGCAGCACTTTTATCACAACCGTTTAATTCAGTATTGGTTTTACCCAAATAACGAAGGGAAGTAGTGAAACTTGTGTTAATCAGGCTCGCTGTTCACCGGAGGCCATGAGCCAGACTTCCCGTAACGCTAACCATGGTGTCTTAACATAAGGGCTCCTTCCTCTTGCACTCACGCACGTGCCACATAAACAACGACAGCTTTTCATGTTGTATAAACACTCTCATACTCTTTTTCTGTTCGATCACCTTACTACCACCTTCCTTCGTTTCCAACTACTACACTCCTTACTAATTTACTCTTCCGTCGTCATGAAGCTTAGCAGCTTCCTCGTCGGCGCCGCCGCTCTCGCCGCCTGCACAACCTTCGCCCAAGATCCAATCCCTCTAGTCTCCGATGCTCAGCTTGCGATTGGGGATGTTGATGCCACCGTTGCGCAGGACAAGTATATCCACTATGCTTACCTGAACGAAATGTTTTCGGGGCTATCAACAGCGCAGTTCAACCTCACTAGCGAAAACGTCGCCCAGTCAATGGAAGCACCACGGGTCTGGCCGCGTCCCAACATCACCAGCTTCGATTCGTGGTACTTCGACGCCGTCAACCCTCTCAACCTCAATGAGTCCATAGTCGTGATCTTGTACTTGGCGACAAACGCAAGTTTCCCGCTCCGCTCGACGAGCTTCAACTCGGTCTCTGCAGACATATTCCTCAACTTCGCGGATGGATCTTCGGCGCCCATTCAGATTAACAGCACGCTCAGCCTCCATCAGAAAGATTGGGCCGCTATTGTTAGTACTGCCAACGGCTCTGCTGGTGCATCTGGGAACTGGCCCAAGGCTGGTGTTTCATTCCAGGGTTGGACTGACGGCAGTCGGGTGCTTGTTCGCCTCAACGCGCCTGAACATGGCATCGCTGGTACTCTGGATATCCGGGCTGTATGTATTTTCCCCTTCCTTGCGTCCAAAATACATATGTTAACTCATATAGGTTGCACCCGCTCACTACCCTTGCTCCATGAAAGGCCAGGACGGCGAAACACTCGAAGCAGCCCACCGCATCGGGTGGACAAACCTCATACCCGATGGCCAAGCGACCGTTAACCTTACCGCGGGCGCCCGCCAACTTCAGTTCACCAACGGAGTCGGTTATCACGACCAAAAGTGGAGCGACCGCCCGTTTCAGGAGGGCGTGAAGGACTGGTACTGGGGTCATGCTCGTCTGGGCGCCTATTCCATTGTTTGGCTACACTCCGCGAATCATGACGGCAAGACCTACAGTAACGCGTATATCTACCACATTGGCTCGAAGGCCAGCCGCGTTACCTGTGGCAACAAGGAGAAGAGCCAGCCCAACCCGACCTTCATTGCCCTGGAGAACTTCAAGGATTACACGGATATTCGGTTCGCGTTTCCCGAGTCACTACCTTTCAAGATGAGGGTGGAGAAGACGAAGATTCTGGATGCATATGGACCGTTTTCGCGGTGGTCTGGAAAGGTGTCAACGGATCTTGTTGGTGGGACAAGGTTGGAGGGTTCGGCGCTGTTTGAGGAGATTCATTTCTGAGAGCACGGGAAAGTTTTCCCGTCTGTAGCGATGGCATCGATCGATGTAACCGGATATAGCCATGTTTGTTCAGGTAAGCGGTAACATGGCACGAGGTTGCGGACATATAGTAGGCGTTGATGCCGAATATGAATGTCTTCCTGCATCGTTCTTGGGCTTGTCTATGTGGTACATCGTCAATGCCTGGCTTGTATTTAGCAGCTCATCGTTGCTGATGCACAAACACAAAACCGTGATCATATGGAATACAGTCGTCGCAGATTAGCGTGTTGTCGATGATGGTGGTACACATTCCAAGCAAATAGTGCCATTTTGATATGCAAGTCTACATGCAGAAATATCCTCACGCTATCCATTAAAACCGCGCTCCGCTAACCTCTTTAGTGCCACCGACAGAACGCTGGAAATTAGCAACTATCTATATTACAATTTCCTTCGCTAGATAGTTTAGCAGAACTTCATCTTTTCTCTCCTCTTCTCGTCAACCCCCCTTCCCCTCCCTTCCCAGCCTCGTCCTCTTTATACCAAAACTCACGCCCAATCCCACCGCACTGACAACCGTATACACGATCCACGTCCCTCTCAACCCCCTTGTCAAACCGCCTATAACAACCTCCCTCATCCCAACTGGTAGATCGTGCACAGCTCCTGCCTGTGCAACCGCCTCTCCACCAACCAACTTTTGTGCAAAACTGCTCTCTACCCCCGCACTAATGAATCCTTCGAGATTCGGCCTCATCAATAGCTGAAAAACAACCTGTCCAAGGACAACGCCAATCGCACCACTCACCATTCTCACAAACCCAAACGCAGCCGTGCCAGCCGCAATGTCCGACTCCCGGATGCGGGTCTGCAAGGCGATGAGCGGGGCGTGGAAATTGGGTCCGAAGCCTATTCCCACGACAATTAAGAAGCCGATGATTTTTGCCATCTCAATCTTACTTTGGAGAGAGATGAGAAGACCGATTCCGAGCGTCATGAGTGCGAGGCCCGCTTGCAGGACTTCGAGAAAGCAACCTGTCTTCTCGATGATATAGCCGGAGATGAAAGAGACGAGTGCGAGAGGGATAGCGATGGCCAGCATGTAGAGTCCTGTTGTGGACGGCGACATTGCTAGAACGATTTGGAAGTAGAGGGGAAGAAAGTAAGCTGTTGAGTTGAAGACTAGGGCGTCGCAGGCACAGACGCCTAGAGCGGAGAGGTTCGACATGTCTTTGAAGATGCGGAGGGGCATTATTGGGCTTCGGCTTCGCTTTTCCGAGTAGTGTTGAGTAAATGGGAACCCGATAAAGAGAAGGGCACCAGCGATGAGGAAGGACAGGACTAGAGGATGTGCGTATGTCGATGTCCCGCCTTGTTGGAGGCCGATGAGAAGAAATAGAGTTGCCGCTAGGATGGTGATGGTGCCCGTCCAGTCGATGGAAAGCAGTCCAGACAGGACGGCTGTGCGAGGATTATGGAGGTGTAAGGTGAAGAAAAGAAGGATGGTTGAGATGGATGTTATAGGAACTGCGAATAGTTAGGCATGCTGATGTAGCTCTCGTTCCCATTCGTTCAGCTGTGGACGATGGATATTGAAATTGATGGGAATGATGAAACGCATGGCTTTCAAAATGCAATGTGATGAGACAACGCCGATAATCGAACTACTGGAATCCCAAATACAAAAGAGAGTTCTATAAACTTACTGTTAATATAAAAGCACCACCTCCAATTCAACCTCTGGGCAAAAATACCGCCGAGTACCGGCCCCAGCGCCGATGCCACAGCCCATACCGCGCCCACAATCCCCAAATAAAAGGAGCGATCCCTGCGCCTCAGTCAATACAGAGTTTCCGATGTCCCATGTCTACCAAACGCCCTTCTTTAAAATCCGCGCCCGCCATCGTCCTAATCGCTTCCGATGTCGTAATCTTCCCTGTTGCATGCCCCAGAAAGGGTTACACAGAATGCTTTTCCAAAATAGGAAATGTGCCTGCATACGAACGGCAGAGCATGAAGGAGATGAAGGAGCAACCTACCGTATAGCAAAAATGTCAGCGACGCACACATGCACCAACACAACCACGCCGCCGCCCCCAAGGCCTTGCACTGCGCGGCCAGCGACAAGCATGACTGCACTGATGCTCACTGCGCAGATAACACTGCCGCCCAGGAATATAGAGTTCGCGATGAGAATGATGGGTTTGCGGCCGAAGACGTCGGACAGTTTGCCCCAGAAGGGGACCGAGGCGGCGTTGGCGAGGAGGTATGCGGAACCGGTCCATGCGTAGAGGGAGTCGGGGATGTGGAAGGAGAGCGAGATTGTTGGCAGAGCCGTCGGGATCAGCACGGTGTCTAGCGCGACGAGGAAGATGCTGAGGGTGAGGGCGGCGAGGCAAAGAAGCGTGGCGAGCGATGGTCGTCGAGAAGGTGCATCATCACTGGTTGCGCTTTGCGTTGAGGGGTTAGAGGGAGGTGTTTTCTCGCCATCGTGTTTGCCCTTCTTGAAAGATACGATCGTTGACGGCGTCAGAGTGCTTGCGAGCGCATCCGACATCGTTGATGCTGTGGAGAGGGGTCGGAAGTGCTGTAGACGTTCGGCCTCATTGTCATGACTTCCTGTGGTAAAGGGTTCACCAAAGGAAGCTGCGAACGGAGATATGGCGGCGGTGGTGAGGGAGGATTGGCGATGTTCCGCCATGGTCAGGGCGTATTGCGTCCCCGGAATGAGGCTTATCTTGAACAGTGACTCTTTTTTCCAACGTGAATTCGCCAATCACCAGTGACTCCGTGGCGGTAGTTGCAATAGAAGCGAGAGAGCCTCTTGAATGCCATGCCCATGAACTAAATTCAGCGAAGTTTCGAGCAAGCAGTCCCAAATACTGGGAAACACCATCTGAGGACAGAAAACAATATAGGGGTTAGATCTTCGAAGATGACGCTCCTAAGAATCTTTGAATTTTACAATGGAGCCGTATGAAGTTCATGACCATGCAGGTGCAGCGCATGGATACGCTTGAGTGGATGTAGGAAGGTCGTCAGGGCCGCGATTCGGGGCTTTAGCCTGGGACGGCAATCTTTATGCTCTCTTGGTGTACGACTTCCTATCTAACGTCTGCAGCGTTTGATGAAGCACTGTTTGCTATATGGCAGTAGAACCTTTGTCCTACTGTGACAGTAGTGTAAGTGGTAAACCACTTGTTGAAGGCCTCCGGTGGGAGCGCGCAATGAGTGGCTCATGAGCCCTCAGCCATCCTTGAAGCGCCCTTATTATACAGTGGGTAAAGCGGCAGGCAAGATCTGCCTATACTACCTCTTACCCAAGATGTATGGTCGGTGTTTGGGATCGTGCGTGATTGGAACCCTGCTGACCGGCTTAGGGAACGATCCTGGTTCGTCGCTGTTGCTACACAGTTACACAGTAACTCCTGGCAATTGGTTGTCGTGCAGAGGCAAACAGCTCCTCCCTGGCAGGTTAACTGAATATTCCCATAGGGTCCGAACATATGTTATGTAGTCGTAGCCTCAAAGGTTGCCTGGCAGTGGCTTACGCGGGAGAAACAGATACACCAATCGTCGCCACGAACAAGAACCCGGACCGGTCTTCCGCACGCATGGCGGTAAAAAAGCTCATCAGTCCGAAGTTCATAGTCCGTATGTCTTCGAATTCGAGCGCCTCTATTTTGCTCAAACATCAACATCGGAATATTGGCAATATCAACCCCACAGTCCTCCTCGATATCCGTAACGAAGTGCCACATATTCTACGTCATGTACCTCAGCCTCGGACAGTCTCGGGCACCTGCGTGCTGAACACGTTATTCAGGACTCGAGAGTTGAGTAGAGAGGCTGAGGTACGATGTTGAGCTGAGTTCCGTGGCCCAGACCGAGGGAGGTACCATCTCCTTTGTATCTACACTATATGTGGGCCCTCCGCTCACTCTATCTTAACGCACGCTAATTCACCTTATGAACAAAAATTTGGATTCTGTTGCTACGGCAAAGATTGAAAGAAAGATAAACCCAGATACCAGTGACCACCCAGTCAGGTATCCATCCTCCTTCCGCTAGGGCGCACCCATCTCCCCTCTGGATATGAAGGAAAAGAAAAGAATCTTAAAAGTATAGAAAAGAAGCGGCGCATCGATGCCGATACCCATATGCCCTCTCGAAACAATGTATTGAGACTCGACACAACGCCGATCGTCCCAACCCGTTACTTACGAGAGTAATACCCATCAACGGCGTCTTCCAAAGCGGTGGTAATCGCGTAACAATGGTAGGCATAACAAGCATACCACCCGACGCGACTCGCTTTACGAAAGACATTGCCTTCAATCCTACGCTGCATGTTGACTTGGCCAACAAAGCCAACCACTGCCACAATTCTGTTCATTTCTTGAGGCCAGTCTTCACTGGTGAATCAACGACAACGCCGACCTTGATGTTGAAGTATTCCATTTCTGTGAAGCCGTACTTGTTGAGCCAGTCCTCGGGGGGTTCGGAGACTTCAGCGTCCATCCAGCTTTCCTTGTGCTCCGGCTTGAAGAGAATCTCGATATATGGACCTTCGTTCTTCTTCCAAGCGCGATGGACACGAACGGCAGCCAGTTTGCCCTCCCTCAAAAGGTCCCTCCAGGCAACGACAAGCGCGGTGCACGAGCGGTCTTCCAGCACCCTGCGGCCAAAGAGGCGATACATATCTTTTGCCTCCCCATCCAGCTCGCTTTGATAACCGTGATGCGAGTAACGACCGAATCCAGCTTCCAGGCGGTAGGCGTTGGCCCAGATGTTAAGCATCGGCCAGAGGTCAATCCCCTTTTTGCACTTCTCAAGAGAGGAGATGTGATAGTTCAGTGCGACAGTCACACTGCGCATGGAATAGTCCGATTTGCTAACCATGCCATCGCTGTCGGTGATCGGGTAGAAGGCTTTCAAATAGGGGTTGAGGTCAACCATATCCAATCCGATTGGCTGTTCTCGAAGATACAATGGACGATACTCCTGGCGGATTTGCCGACAGACTTGGGTCAAGCCCATGTATGGGCGACGAGACGGCTTCTTATCCGATTCCGCCTTGCGTGGCCTGAGACTTGCATGGCGGGGACGGTACTTAATGAGTGCCTGCTGCGTCTTGCTGAGCGTCATTGCATATATTTTGTTTCGAACCTCTAAGCCAAGTTTTAGCCGTCGAATCCAGTTGGACTTAGGTGTCATACATACCCCCCGGAAGGTCAAGAAAACGGAATGGCTTCTCCTCGATAGTCTCTGAGATGGGAGACGCGGGCCCTGGAGACAGGGGTGAAGCAGCAACAGCCAGGATTTTGCCAATCAGCTTGATCTTGTCGGGCTTCGTCGCGTTCTTTTGGACACGGCCTTGACGAACGGTCTCGCGCAAGATGCGACCTGGAGACGCAGGTTAACATGTTGACACGGAAGACTTTGAAGACACAGAAGACTGCGAAGAGGACGAAGCTGATCGCAGCGATACCGAAGACGACCTCGAAGATGGTGCTATTCTACGGGTGTTTCGCTGCCGGACACTGAAAGCTGATGAGGCCAAACGTCACTGAGAACAACTTTTGGAGTCCAAGTCAACGACGCCAAACTGATACAACCTCGCGATCCGGGGAATGGGGAGCCCATTTTATATAGCCAGAAGCCCAGGTGAAAGTGAGAGATGAAAGGCCTGTACTTGGGCGGAGCGGTGGAAGAGCAGCATCAAAAGTGAGGGTGGATGAGTGGTGAGTAATCCATAATCTTCCGGCTTAGAGAACATGGAATTCATTTCATCTGTGATGTTCCGGTATGCCATACATGGATGGGATGCTGTCGGAAGTGTTCCTCATTCACTTCACAGGTTGGAAGTGCCCTGGACGAGTGGTCACAGTGGGTGAAGCCATCGTGATGGTGATGAAGATGAGGTGACCAGTCATTTGAAGGTCCAGGGTTTATCAATGTTGCACACCGAAGATCCGAACGAAGATGTGTGGAGGTCGCAGTAGATATCGCCTTGATGCCGTCGACGATACAACAATCCAAAATGGTTTAGTGTCGTTGTCTCGCACTCGTGATCGCGCGACGCGTCCGTGATCGCCAGGTCCCTTCGTTCGCGATGACCCCACCAAGACACCTTGACATCGATCATCTCTAAACCCCATCCCGATGGCGACCGGTATTTTACGCCTGCACCAATGCCCACCTCCACTCCCTCACCGCACCGCTTCCTAGTACCCCAACCTCGCTCTACGGCAAAGCCAGGTCCCAAACCGTCCTCTAACCTCTGCCACGTTGTCTCAACGCAAACACCGGAACGACATCGAACAAAAAGTGAAGATACACCAGCACCGAATCCACAGCGACTTACGGCTACCAGGCGCTTTGTGCTCACCCCAAAGGCTGCGTCGCGTGGCACAACGGCGCAATGGGAAAGGGAAGCAGGTCTGGCTGCGCCAAAAGCGAAACCGCGGCCAACACTTCAAAGCCATGACAGCATAGACGAGACTTCCGAAGGCAGTCCATCCACTTCTCAAAATTCCCAATTGCTACTGGATACTGGGCCACCGCCACATCTCGATGAGACCGCTGATGATGAAGACGAAGAACTTCTATTTCGTCCTCAACACTATGAGCAGCACAACAAGCGTCGTCGCCTCTCTCCTAAACCGTCAACTCCAGCACCGCCCCACCGCTTTCTCGTCCCTTGCCAGTATCCTACAACTTCACCCTCAATATCGACTACTCCAGGACCCGTCCCCTCACGCTCGCATTTCCTCCTCCCCGCGCATCCTCCCTCGCCTGCAAAACCTAGCGCACCTTTGCCGGAGACTTTTTCACCGTCGCGAAAAGGGAACAAGTTTATTCCAGGAGGGTTGGCGTCGACGCTCCAGTCTTGGATTATCGAGACGGCGAATGCGGGGTATCAGACACAGACTAAGGATACCGTTGTCTGGGGCAGGGAGAAAGAGGATGGGGTGAAGCTTAGGGTTCGCATAGAAGAGGTCATGTTTGGGAAGGATGGGTTAAGGGGTCGTGGGACTGATGAAGGGGTTGATTGTTTCCCTGGTGGGGTGGTTTTTGTGAAAGGAGGTACCAACATTGGAACGGACTGTTCGTTGCAATCACCTGCAGTGGAAGATTGCAGAAGGGTGAGGGTGCTGCTTGCAGGCAATGGAGGTGCCAGCAGGTCTAAGCGGGTGAGGTTGCATGCGAGGGACATAGTAGGCATTCGAGCACCGTTGTGGGAAGTTGATGTTGGGAATAAGAAGTGGATGGTAGGCGTGGACTGGGCTATTTTATGATGAACGAGAATTACGATCACATGAAATGAGGAGCTGTAATAGCTCCATGCTGAGAGGATGTAAAGCAATTGGATCTCCAAATTCGATATAGTACCAATATAGATTCGCCAATTAGGTATATAAAACATCCACCAAACGCCCTAACCCCGAACGGTGCATTCAATCGTCCATCCAACATCATATCATTATAAGCCAGCCCGATTCCCAAATAACAGCATTACGATGTCACCCGAACACCAATGCCCTAACCTCGATACTTTCCCTACCCACCGCGCCCTCTGGCGTCCTCGGATCCACAAACGCCGTATGCGGCACCCTCCCCCACGCACCCACCAACTCATCACTATCAAAACACTTCAAAAACAAGCGATCCTCATTCCTCATGCCGGACCAATAATACCACTTCTGCCCGGGATGATACCTCACCGCGGCAGTCTGGCCCGTCCGATTTGGATACCGGTGCTCGACAGGAATCAAGTCCTCATCGCGCACCGTAGCACTATCCGCGACGGCCAAAGGATGCGCCATCACAGGCCCATTGAGCGGACGCCAGACGTTGATGATGCGGTAGCGGCCTCTGAGTAACTCCTCCGCTTCGTCCGGGAGATGCAGTCTCACGCGTTCCTCCGCAGATGAAGGGGTCTGGTCGATGTGCACGCGGACCACAGGGGCGCGAGGCGCATCAGGGTTGGAACGGCGGATGGTGTGGTCGAAGATGAGGACCTTGTGCGCGCCGGGGAGGTTTTCAAGGAGCAGTTTTTCGACTTCGGGGTAGTACACTTTCTTGATCTTTTCGTCGTCCTGGAAGTCGTATTCGTTAGATGGGACGTTGGATACTACGGCAAAGGCGTTGTTGTCCAGAGTGAACTTTTCTTCTTGCCCGCGCAGGTCGTCGATCACGACGTCGTGCCAGTCGGTCCCGAAGTTGCGCTGTGGAGTGCCGTCTTTGGGGACTTCGACGTAGTTATAGGGTGAGGAGCCGTCGGCGGGGGCTTGGTAGAAGGAGAGGGATGCAGTGACGGGGCCACGGGGAATGGGGAGGCCTTGGAAGTTTACGTCATCAGATTTTGAGGGTTGAAGGGAAGGTTGGGGGTTGGAGAGTTGGTGGGCGGGTGTTGGGAGAGGTGCAGCTGTCGTCATGGTGAAGGTATGTTGGGAATAAGATGTTGTAAAAGCAACGGGGTATTGAATATAGACTGAAGTACGAGATCTGTAGTTAGAAGTGTCGCAGGTTGTTGTAGTAGTGGATGAAATTTGCTACTCGACAGAATCAACTGTTTATATAGGGCTCAGAGCATTAGAAATGTAGAGGTTAGAAAAACGAACAGGGAGACGTCAAGTTGTCCTTCTAACGGCCGGGAACTACCCCACATTCACGTAGGGCGTGCCGATGATGCCATAGCGATTATTCCCGCAAGATATCCGAGGTTTGACTAATCCAGTTCGACCAGGAAATCTGTCAACGCTGACAAACGGGACATATTGCGTGATCCAAAGTCACTGTCGATGACATGCGGCACTGTGCAGGTGAACTCAAAAGAAGATAAATCATCGAAAATATGAGGGAGTGGGTTATATTTACTGTCGGAGGTGGTAGGTTCACTCGGCTTTATCTCGGATTTCGGGCGTTATTGTCTATTTTAACCCTTATTGTATTCACCAAGGACCACATACCGTCCCCACCACTTTGCAGCCGTTCAAGGTTCCTACCACGACGATTGGGGATGCTCTTATGCTGTTGAACACAGTCCTGATGCTTTACGACCCATCCATCGCTCGCTACCCGCAGCGTAAACCGCTACATAGGTAGGAACCCATTAAACGTACAGCAACGTTTGGGCAGAGCCGAGCCCTGGTTTTCAGGCAATGAAGTCTGTCGGATTGACTCATCTAGTGCCATCAGCTATCCATATATGTCGTACTGCTCTTATTCTTGTCACCGACGGGGAGACACTATTTCCTTCATGGCCGCCCTGTTCCGTTGGTTCTGACCAGGCCGCTTTATCCGACACAGCAAACAGAGGACTGTCGAAAAAATTGACCCAACAGCAATCCCTATCAGACAGTACCTCGCAGCTCGCTAGAAGTAGGTAAGTAAGTTCCAGTCGCCTTTGAAAAACGAGTCGTTCATACCGCATGTGCACAAGCATGAAACCCATAAAGCATCTCAGCATCCTCGATTACCCTTGGAGAGGCGGTACAGAGATATACCTCTCGATTGAACTGCACTGTCTTCCAATGCTCGTATTCGTCCGGTACCACTGCCTTGATGTTGTCCACATACACATATATGAGGATCGCTAAAGCAGTAGCAACGTGGATAACGGCGATACAGCATGTCGTCGTTCCCCATTTCCGCAGCTATCCCGTTGTTAGCGAGTGCGTCCGATAGATCCAGCATAGGATTCTACGCATACCCAAACTGAAGACATCTCCCACTATACCATGACCATCCAAGCTATTGCAAAGGCAGAAGCCACCGTACCGGAGACTCCTGCGATTGTAATTGCCACAGTCGGCCCTGTGTCGATGCTCTTAGGGTTCAATGGCACCCAATACCACTCCGCGAGACTGCTGCCTGGGTACTGGATCTTGACGTCGCGGAATGCATGGATGACGTTCTGTTCAAGCACTAAGATTGTGACGGACAGGATGAGCAAAGTAAATGAGAGTAAGAATATAATGTAGGTCAGTACTTTGGATTGTATATGTGTCGATATCATATCGGCTAGACAGGCCACGAACTCGACGACCAAACAACGGACGCGAGTCCTGGAGCTGCCATACTTTTATGGCTAACTGAATCACGGAGGTCAAGCTCAGTGTTACTAGGTATGCATGCAGACCTTCGTGCCGGGCGTTTACATCCTGAAGGATTGAGACGCTGGTCGGTATACGGCACAGTCTCCATGCGCCAGCGGACGGTTTGGTGTCTCTCGTACATTCTCTATCGAGTGATCTGCTCTGCTTTTGAAGTCGTCTTCTCACATCTTGTACATCATTTCATCATGCTGGCACCGGCGAAGCATTTGATTCGAACTTATCAACATACCAGTCGACATGAACCAAAGTTTCCATACCCTAACATCGTCCGCCGTCGGTCGCATTCAAGTTTACCATAGAACAAGCCAGATTCCGTGCCTCAATAATGAAACAACACCGCCACGGGCTTAACTGTTTCAATCTTTCAATCCTGCAACACCAATTGTTGTTTGTAACCGCGCTCCGGGGTCGGACATCCCACATATTGCGGCACAGCCGGCGCCAATCCGTCATCTGCAGAAAGTCGCTTCATCCGCTGTCTGATAGGATGGTTGTAAAAACGTGCGACTGTTCATGTTTTGGCGGGGAGAAGGGTCTTAGCGAGTAAGATTCACGTAGTGTTCGAGAGTGGTATGGAGGCATTAAGCTATCTCCATCCAAAAGTAAACTCCCATTGCACTTATCAGAGTTCTTTCAAGGAGCATGTGGGGAGCGCTTGAAGCTCCAGCATATTCTCCTTGATGAATGATGACCTGGCACAGTCATATTCCCACCGAGTAACGGGGAGGCATCTAACGACGCACTTTCCACCACAGAGCATGAAGCAACGTGCCGCATGAGCTTCAATCCCATCCCTGCTACGCCTCGAGAGTATGCTCAATTGATAGCCCCCAAGCTCCACCAGCATACTATAACAGCTCAGTCCCCACACCATTATTACCCTCTACCAGTCTCTCCAACCCCTTCTTACCCGATTTCATAAAATCCACAATGCAAGATCCATTCCAATACAACATCCCGCAAATGGCACCTTCCTCCAAACCCCCTTCCCCAGGGCCCTCCCACCGCAAAACCTTCATCTACGTCCTCCTCTCCTCGCTTACCGCCGGCCTCGCCACCCTCATGTTCATCACCGAAATCGTAGCCCTGAACCTCCTCAGCGTCAACACCAAAAGCGATCTCATCATCCTCCCTCGCACCGGCCAATTCGCATCCGTCCCTCCCTCTAGGTACGACAGTGACAAGGATAGGATTTACCTGGGCGTCGACATCGACCGCTCCACTTCGAACTTCATCATCGCTGTGTCCTGGATCTCGGGTACGCTTGCTATCGTCGTTGCGATTGCGTTCAGGGAATGTGGAGGGCGGGCGTATGGAGAAGCGAAAGAAGGACGGGAAAGGATTTGGGCGGGGGTTAGGGTCGGCGCCGCACTAGGCAACGTGATTACCGCTGCCGCTGGCGTGGTCTTTGTGTTCTTGAAGCAGAGCGGGGAGGGTAAGCGTTTGAAGATAGTCCCAACTATCTTCGATGGGTGGCATTATGCGCGGGCGACGAGGGAGACGTGGTTGTGTGGGCTGAGGGATTTGGATGGGTTTGACAGGAGCTTTGCAAGGATAGGTTGTGGGTTTGCGACGGCGGCCAGGTGGGAGCTTGTTCCGTTGTCGGCGCTGTCGATTGTCCTGGTGGTGTTGTGCTTTTTGGTGATGTGGAGGAAGACTTAGAATGGTTCTTCCACTGCCTGCCTCCCAGCATCGAGGAGTCTGTAATCTGCCGTATTTAGCGAATTAGGACGTGGAAGCGACCAGGTGTTTCTGGGACAAGTTTCTCGAAATTTGTCTCTGGAAGACTAGGTTAGGTATTATATTATGGAGTATCAGGGTATCACTTCTTCATCATCTATATGTCGGTTCCGTGGGCGTATGCGGATACTTGGGAACCGGCATCATCGTTGGCTGCATCTCATAGACGCTCTGGAACGCAGCATATCTCCCCTTACCGCCAAACAACCACCTAAGGCCGCCTCGTTTGCGAACTAAGACGTAAATAGCCACCATTACCAGCAACGCTGAAAGCGCCAGGGGGATAAGGATGAATCTTGTCGCTTTCTGTGCCTGCATTAGCCTCTCCTTTCCTCCTCATAGGGACAGGAAAAGGAAAAGAATATGTTTAAACCTACCGCAACACCACACCCCGTCCCCGCCCAGTCTTGCTCCCCAAAAAGCCTGTCAATCTGACAGAACCACGTCTCCCTTGTATACCCCTGCACCACTCCCTCCCTACTCACATCCTCGTACCCCTTCCATCCATCATTCCCCTGCAGCACGCTCGCCCACGCAAGCACCACAACAACGCATGGGAAAACGACACCTTGCACCGCAAGCACAAACCACGCCCAAAGCCTCTGATGCCCCATCGTCCCCTCCACCCTCCTCAACTCCCAAACCCCACATGCCCCGATTATAGCAGCAAGGAAGCCGGCAAGAGAGAGAAAGATATAGGCGATTGTCGGCCCCTTGTTTTCGGCGATATAAACATCTATGTAGTCATATTTCTCCACGTTTCCGAAATCCGAGTCCCGGCGCGGACCGTAAAAGGTCATGTAGTTTTTGGATATGTAGTTCCGGGTATGGAGGTACTTGGAAACGAGGATTCGGCTGGATATGCGCTCGAGGGTGAAGAGGATGACGCTCGTGGCGAAGAGGAAGATGGCGGGGAGGAGGAGGAGGGTGGTGCGGAGGGAAGACCTCATGGTTTTGTTGGTTCTTCTCCCCCCTTAACCGGAGAGGGGGTTGAGATTGAGGCGTGTTCGACGGTTGAAATGCGCGCGAACGCGTTCAGTGGTGTGATATAAGCATTGTAAGAGCCTGATATGTCGGGGTTCGAGAGAAGAATGGCAGAGACTGGAGGTATTGCAGCATAGGTTCAGGCGGTCGATTCGGGGGCTGAGTCTTCATGCTTGGCAACGGTTTTTCAGCCTCACAGAGTATTCTGTTCTTCTAATGAATGCGAATTTGGACTTTATTATGTCGAGATCGCTGAAGTGCGAGTGGGCGAGTATGGGATTGGATGTGTGGTAGCACGCCCGAAATCAGTCCGAATTCAAACATGGAATGCCCAAGTGCATATATCTGTCACGTGATTCACCGGAAGCGCATACCTTTTATTTTAGGGTTTGGTGAATGACTTACATGAGCTGAGGAGAAGGCCAGGGCTTCCTATATACTTCATTGTTCATGCTTCTCTTCAGAACTGTCGAGGTTACTAACCACTGGCCTATAGAGCCCTTGAGAATGGATGATATTGAATGCACGATGTGTCATAACAAATCAGTAAGTCTATTTCATAATTATTTTGATCCATTAAGAGCTTTAAGGTGTGATGTTGACTAGGGTGGGGCTTGATGCTGCTCTAAGAATACAAATGCGAAGGTCTCGCCTTTCAGGAGTATGCGGCCAATCCGGTATGCTACCACCGTACGCCTAAGTCTATTCCTATCAATTCAGTAGCTCACTCAGAGAACCTATGACCCGCTCTAACTCCTAGTAAGACAGTGTCTGTCTTTCGAGCTTCTCCAACTGCTCAACCTGCCGCTTAAGCATCACCGTTGCGCCACGGCTGATACGCCGAAGTCCATCCCTCTCCTCATCTCCATCCGTTTCACTTCGGACTAAAATCTCTTTCGCCGCCGCAATCGCCTTGTTCAACAACTGCGGCGAGTTATCCCATTGTCTCAGATACATATACTCCAGCTCTTGTCGGAAAGGATCAACAACAGAAGGGTGCGTAAGAGCGTACACTATAAAAGCCCGTGCGCGGAAATATGCTCTTTCAGTGTACAAAGCACTATTGAGTTTTGTCTCGGGGGCGCCACGATGGATATCGAACCCCGCTTCGTTGTAATATGGCTCCTTCACCAGTACGAGGCTGTGGATCGAGACCAATACTTGGAGTAACGTGCTCTTGTCGGGGGACCAGGACTCGTTGTGTTCGTCGGTGTGCCAAGTTCCCAACAGACTCAAGCAAATCTTTCCGTCTTCATACAGATTGGGGTTCACCGGACCCATTCCATCTGTCCAGCTATGGAAGTACGCGCGTGGGGGCTCTAGGGGATAAGAAGCGCCGACATGAAGATCAATCATGAAGGGAGCGAACTCGTAGGGAGTATCGGATGGGCCAATCATGAGGACACGGATGAGATCTAGACGCGACTCCCATGTACGCACAAGAATCCCTGGCGGAAGGGAGGTGCGGAGGATTTTATGTTCCTTAGCAATGCGTTTAAGGATCTTGGATTGGACAGCAGGCGATTCGTGTAGATAGTGGTGGTTCGAAGGGGGTTGGGTGTCAAGGACGACAAAGGGGCTCAATTTCTCTGTGTTTAAATCTGGGAGATTGGGTGGTGCCCCCGCTGGTACACTAGGAGGCTCGGTTGAAGCGCCGACCGGGCCTCGAGACAAACTGTGGTCTCCGTTCAAGTCGATATGCGTGCTGGAAATATCCGTCGGACTTTCGGAACCTGGTCTAGAACGACTCTCCGGAGGTTCGAGGTCTGGCATTGATTCATCCTCCTCATCATCGTCCGCACCATCTTCTTCTTCGGTCGACCAATCGTGCTCATCACCACTGTTTATTGGCTCCCCGTCCATGCCTTCGTACTCGATCCACATTTCCTCATATTCGTCCGATCCAGAAACTCCATCGTCAGAGGAACCGACTGGCTCGCCATCGATGCCATCGGCGAGCGGATAAAGCTCATCGTCCCCACTATATACCAGAGTGACATCCTCATATGAAACCTTGACGTCCCGTACTACGGGTGAGGCTCCCAGCCTGACGACAAGCTTACCGTCAAGCCCTAGGTCGACCACTTCGCCGAACCAATCGTGAGCGGAGTTCGAGGAGTCTTCACTCGGGTTTTTATGAATTATGACAAAATCGCCGCGGCGGCGTGTTATGGTAGTGTGAGACTGGATGTCATATAAACTGACATCTTCAGTCTCAGGTTTCAGCTCTCCAGTTCGCGTAGGCGGGATAAGGTCGTGTTGGAAGTAGCGGATCAAAGGGCTGTCAAACCAACGGACGGTAGCTATACGATCGCGGGATTTTATTGCCTGAACAATTCCCACTTTCGCCGGACTATTCGTCCATTGGAGTTCTGGTTCGGTCTCTTTGTGTTCTTCGCGAGTGAACACTATCTCCCCGGGCCAGACCTCATCCTCGTCCCCAACGTTGTGATCCGGGACTAACAGTTTCGCTGATTCCTCAGTCACAGTAAGATCCTGCCATTGAACCATAACCCGAGAATGCGTTTGCGCGACCATATAGACGTTCATATCATACCCAAGAGTTTCCGTCCGTGGGATCAACTGCAGTTTCCCTTGAGGCAGATTGTTTGGCAGTCTCAAGGGCTCATCGTATTTGGCAGCGGCTCTGACGACATCCTTGAACCGAACCCTGTCGCCAACGCAGACTTCCGCAACATGGTACGATGGGCCGGCACCATTCTCCTGGTGAGGGAGCATATCGGCGACGGCGCCGCTAGCATCATATATGCGAAATTCGGGACTCTCCAGTTCGTCCAGTTCAAGTACTGTAGGTGGTTCCCAGGCATTGGAGTGAGTGGGGTCCCTGCCGAAGCGCCTGGCAAGCCAACGCACAGTAACTCGGATAGTACGGACCTGAACGACAATACCCTGCGGACGTATGTTCGGGTTGAAGGATCCGTATATCCATTTTCCCCTTCGAAGATTGTACTTCTTTGTCTTGACTATGTCGCCCACGTACCACCTTTCATATGAGGACGCCCGAAGGCTGGTGTGGGGACCGTCCAGTACTAGCTCTTCAGGATCCTCCACCACAACCACGGAATTATTCGACAGTCGCACAGCAACTTCATCAAACACATCCTCTATCTTGCCCACCCAATCCTTGTAAACTACCAAAGCCCCTTCGTTGTAGGCGTGAACGTTGAGAAGCTCGCTACTCGGAACGTTGTGTATTGTCACGAGCTCGTCGAGGCCAGGCGGTATCTCGTAATTTTCGGATCTTGCTGCGGGTAAAAGACTACAAATGGTCTTATTCCCAACGACCGTACCACTCATCGCATCTTTCTGGTTTCTCTTCACAACGTCACCCACATACAAGGCCCGATCCAGCACTTCCAACTTATCGACGGGAATGAGCTCGACATTGTTCTCAGTCTGCCATGACACAAGGGCAGTATCTCGTGGGGGAACTCCAGAGCGTAGGAATGATTCGAACTTCGCTTTCGGAATGCTGTCGTCACAGACAATCTCGGTAAGGTAATCTCGCTGGGGCCTGGGTTCGTGGGAGTCGATATCGCCGAAAGTCCTGTCTACCACGCCTATTTTCAACTTGTCTTCCTTTAGGCTAACAGTATCTTCACAGCAAACCATCGCTTGATTCGCCATCCGAGCCGGTGCTGGTGCTTGTAAGAGTACAATCGGATCTGTTGTAGCGGGGTTGACGGATGACCACGCCGAGCTTTCGCTAACGGAGCAAAGAATCAAGGTAGCCGTAAGTAGCCTTGTGTTCACACGTTCTCCGGCAATGTCGATTCGAACGTACGGTGGCGGTACCTCGTTACGGTCGCGGCGGAAACCGCCGGTTTGATGGCGGCGTTGTAGAAAATATCTATGGAATGACAAGGATATGTCCATGCCAAGATTATTTAGCCATATTTAGTAAAGCGTACCTAGACCCGGGCCCCGCATAGTACACTTCATGTGAATACATAGCTCTCACGAACTCTGCCTACAATTGATGAAGCTCGCTCTCCGCACAATGGCGGATCCTCTTTACGAATTACTAGTTCCATACTTCGATGCCACCCCCCCGTCTCCCTCCGACCCAGTGACTGCGGCCTACCTCACACGTCTTACCACCCTCCCTATCGCTGCGCTCTCGTCCTCCGAGCCGTCGTCTCTATCGCAGAGCGCGCAATCCGCACTGCGATCTCTCCAAGCCCTTGCAAAGCGCTCCTATAAGCAAATCATATCCTCTGCCGACCACTTGACACATCTACAAGAGGCTCTGCCCGCAATAGGTCGGGATGCCGGGGTGGTACAATCAGAGCTTCCACAGTTGGAGACAGCCGCCGAGCGGTTTGCGCAGAAATACAGCAGGAGCACCGAAAATGCCATCTTAGACCGGCGGAGGAAGGCAATGCTTCTTGCTCGGAACATTGATCGGGTTTCAGACGTTCTGGATCTTCCCACGCTCCTTTCCTCTGCCGTGTCCTCGTCAACATCTCCGTCACATCCAGGCACAACAGCTACCTCTGCAACCAATGCCAATTATACCTCCGCATTGGATCTTTATGCCCATATCAAGCGTCTATATACACTTTATCCTCAGTCTCCGCTCATATCATCTGTCGCGGCTCAAGCTGAGGAGGAGATGAAGACAATGACCGCCAACCTAATCGTCTCCCTCCAATCTACCGGTATAAAACTGGCCGGCGCTATGCGGACGATAGGATGGCTGCGCCGTGTGGCACCCGAGCTTGATGAGACGTGGGTCTCAAACCCGTCCACTATAGGAAGTGGAGAAGGGAGTCTCGGAGCTCTCTTTCTGGTGTGCCGGTTGGCATGCTTGGAGACAATGCTGGCGGCGTTGGAGCCATTGAAAGAGCTAGCTGATCAGGAGGCAGAGCAGAGATCTAAAGGTTCAGGAGGCACAGGATGGGGACAGCAGACCGAGCGTTACCTCAAACGATACATTGAAATCTTCCGCGAGCAGAGCTTTGCCGTCATCTCGATGTATAAGTCGATATTCCCGTCTGCCCTTCCAATGCCATTGCCAGAGGATGTGTCTGCGCCCGCCGTCCAGCCGATTCCAGGAATCAACTCCGATTCGCTCGATGACCTACCATCAGCACTTGCCACATTCCCATTGTATCTTGTCGACATGCTGTTTGATACCCTCCGGGCCTATCTGCCCAACATAGAGGACCGTTCATCCCGCGATTCCTTGCTTACACAGGTTCTCTACTGTGCTGGTTCGCTTGGTCGCTTAGGTGCGGATTTTAGCATGATGATTGCTTTGCTGGAGGAGGACCTTCGTGCCGGACTTGGGAGCGAGAGCGAAACGGAAGAAAAGGAGACCGACGAAGAATGGGTGGAGATCATGAAGAAACACAGGGTGCAAGCATCCAGACTGGAGCTCCTGGCAAGCGGTGTCGGGGCTGGGCGCAACAGCAGTTCCGCCGAGCGGACAATCAGCCCTAGCCGTTGAGCCATGGTTCAAGGAAGGTCAATCGAATTTCTCGCTCAATAGCCTCCGATGCGGATGATGGAGATTGTGAGTACAGAGGAAGATCGAATTTGTTCCCTGAAATCAAATGTCGATTTCGCTGAAGATTCTGCCTACCTGCAGAACCCTTCCTTCCTTGCTGGCGTCGCTAAAAAGCGATATATACTTTTGGCCTAATATCAGTATTCGGAGGAGTCTGGTTCGAAGCTGAAGTTCCCCTCCCGGCTCTAATCCCGTGTGTCCGGTCTTCGTAAGGGTTACGCAATCCTGCAAAAGTCCGGACGAAGCGGACGCAGGCTTAGTACACCAGTTAATGGAGGCTAAATTAACTACGGGACATTACAATCCGACAATCGCCCGCAGACGGTGCGTCTTGACGTTTGCTCGAGATCTTAGCGTAGGCCCTTGCGGGAACAACTCACCCTAGCGAGCAGAAGAGTCGTCGACATGTTGATATGTGCGACAACTTTGGGTGCTTTCCCGGTTCAATGTATCAAGGGATCTTTTGAATGGCCCAAGTAGCTGAAGCAATTGCACAGCTTCTTACGAAGCCAGTGAATGGATAAGTTGTTTTCCAAATTCATTGACTTCTGTCGAAATTGCTGAGACGGCGCAAATCAACCACTGTTGCGCAGCGCTGCCCTGATGTTGAACTAGCGAATACTCCAAGTATCTTTATGGTGAGATTAGCGGCTTTCCGTTGTCAATCGTGCTGTGCAGTATTGAGGATTGGCCTTGTAGTTCTTCATGCGACTCTCGCGATCTTGCAATAAGCTACAAGAGAAAACTATCATCTCACAGCCAAAATAAGGAGCGCACAGATAAAATAAAAACGCCTTCATTGTATCGCAGCACTGCTAATCATTGATAAAGTCCTCCGTTCTCCGCGCGACATCTATGACACGTGATGAGTCATTCACTGACTGAGGTTCAGTCTCTCCGCCGTTAAGACCAAGCCGTAGAGTGGGAAATAAAAACCGTGAAAACAATAAACTACTGAAAGAAAAAAAGAGGCTAAACAAGTGCGAGGTGTAATTGCGTGGATAGCGTAATGATACACTGCTCCTTTTGTGACACAGTACCGCGCTGGCGACGGAGGAGTTGTCCTGGATATTCGCGCATGCCATATACCAGAAGCTCTCTCCTTTCTCCGTAATTAAGATTTGGTTGCAGGGCAATAAGTGGGAACGGTCCGAGCTGCCGCATCCGGACATACCATCTTGGGCCGGTTATACCGATCAAACACCAGGTTACCGTCTTCATCGAATTGCATCGGAGCATACTTGTCGTCGTCTTTGAAATGTTGCAACAGCCAGTCATTGGAATGAGGCCATGCTTCTCTCCAAGCAGCGGTACGTGGGATCAAAGATTTTAGCCATCAGGGTCCCGTTCACCTTCACTAATTGAGTTGAACAGTTGTAAGCCACCGAGACCCACGATGTAATCCTAAGCGAAATCGAAGCCCCTTCCACGGAATCCGCACGAACCGGCTGATGCAGAATACAGTATTCCGTCGAGGAAAGATTTGCGTACTCTCCATATGAGAATCGTCGTCCGAACCCATAGTATGGTGTAGTTTGTCGTAGAAAATGAACATGGGGTTTCGCATGGAAGGTAGCGTCGACGGCATATGGGAAATCCGGTTTGATGACGGGGAAGGGAGGGTGGCGAATGCTGTCCAATCTATTCGAGAACGGTGTAATTTCCTGCCACTGGCGAGAGTTCCCTGGGGCAGACATGGTGATCAGATGTCTGGCGTGAGCTGGTCGGCAAAGGAGCGGTTTGGGTTTGGCCTGAGTCTGGGGAGGGTAATATTTGCGGCGGGTAAGAAATATGTTGTTGTGAGTAGAGCTCAGGTGTAAAGGTTGTAGACCAAAAGACGTTATTGGCAGGCAAGTATGTCTGATCCGTGCCTACTGCATTTCACTCCTTCCGAAAAACCACGGGCGGTATTCGTCAACCAGTACAGGCTAGACACACTGAGCCACGACAACAGGAAAAATGGCGAAACAAGAGTAAAGTAGGCCCGAGCTGGAACTAATAAGGACACATTCCCACCTCCAAAAGAAAGCTGGCACAGAAGCGCTAGGCAAACGGTCTGGGATGTCCAATTGGTGGACGCACGCCACGCCTTCCCCGGCGATATATATGCTCAATCGGTAATGAGAATAGTTGGGTACAGATGATGTTGACTTGAATATTACGCAGATCATGCCAGTGCTTCACGAGAAAGCGAGTGGATTTATTGAGTATTCACATGCCAACAAATAGCCAGGGGAAACATGAAATCGTCACGGCAAGTTCACCAGAAATGGATTGTATACTGCATGATTTTCTCATTGACACCGGGATTGCATCATACATAAAGCACATCGCCTTCATGTCTTTGATCAAGACAAATCATTAGTCAGACACTTGTGGTTCTTGTAGGTGCTGACGTTTAGTCTCCATGCTCAGTATCATTAGGGTGTTGCTGTCCACGGAACCGACTCGTCCTGTGAGGAACCACTTTCAAAGGCGGTTTTCCAAGCGGTGCTCGAAGCTATCAAAAATCTCGAGCATTTGTACATCTTCCTTTCCAAATGAAGGTCTTGCATTAACTGTCATTCCATCCCTTCTCCACGCATGAAGTCGAGTATGCCACTTCGCAATCAAGGGAACTCATCGGGAAACATTGGTAGCCCATACTCATCATTAATGAGTTCGCCGTCCTTCTCCTTCAAAGGCTCGTCACGTTTGTCTTCATCCGATGACCCTTCCTCATCAGACAGATCTATGTCGTCCCAGCCGACCATTCGAGGCGTGTAAGTAGGCCTCCGTGGATTACGGACCACTGGCAAGTATTGATTATTGTCATAGAACTGGCGCCACAGCCACTCGCTCGCTTCATACGCATCATCCGGAAGCCAGTCATGAGCGCTGAAATCAGCCAGCTTGTCCCAAAATCGAGGAATAGGTGACAGCAGCCTCCCAGGATACATCAGCATCATCTTGCGAGCCACCTTGTGAAAATGATTGCGCAACCAATCCTTCCTCGTGACGCCGGCAATGTTGAAGTCGATTATCGTGATATCAACATCCAGGTTCTCCAGGTCGTTGGCAATGACGAAGATGTTGCGCAGAGACAGGTCATTGTGACTCACCCCACATGAATAGATTTGCGCTTTGGCTTCGAAAACCTTGATGAGGATGGTGTGTCGTAGTCGTTCTGCCAAACTGAGAGGATTGATATCGGTCATAGGGATTCCCTCAACCATCTCCATCAAAATAAGCCGTACTTCTCGTTTTCTCTTCTCAGTGTTCTCGGATCCACAATGTCCCACACATGTTTCAATCTCCGTTGTCCACGAACCGTAGTACTTCGGTATGTGCTTCATGGCTTTCAGGCAGCCCTGAAGTTCTGAGTATGCAGCTGCTTCGCGACTGTAATCCCCATCAGACTCGATGACAACATCGGCTGGGAACCCGTGATCGTTCTTTCCATCGTAATAGAGTGGATCAAAGATTTTTGCCACCAACCCGTTGCTAACACCAACGATCTGGGCTCCCGCGTTCTCTCCGGTTCGAATCAATGACTCGATCTTCAAAGAAATCATATGATTCTCATTCGTGGTTCCAGGCAACGGAGGACGCGACAAGCAATATTCCGTCTGGGTCAGAGTTTTCCAACCTTCTTGTTCTGGTGGCCAGACTGTGTCGTAGGGACCGCCGAAAGGCTCTGGAGGAGTATGCTTGCGTGCCAGAAATGTGCGGCCAACCTCGTACGGATATTTCGGCTTTTTCTTTGACCAGGCATCATCCTGACCCGAACAATCACAGTCATCGTCGGGGTGACACCTCGCGTCTTGGAGGTCGCCTGAGGAAAGGGCAGAACTTGATGATAATGTGGTGGGTGGGCTCGGAGGTGCAGACGTTGATATCCTAGGTTGAGAAGAATTGGAGGGTGTTGATGGCGGGGTCGTTTCACTGTGTATATGTCGGAAACCGGCAGCAACTTTTGTTATTGTAGCGGAGTCCATGTCCATCACGAAACGCGCAGACATGTTGCAGTTTTTTTGGGGTTCGATGCAGCCAAACCTGATGGCAATTCCAGTCAACCTAATCGTGTCTCTTAGTCCTCGAGAGTGTGGTTGCGAGATCCGCCGTGAAAAATGTGCGGGTTGGAGGAAAACAAGCACTGGAGGGGCGAGTGCGTCGGAGCTCTTGTGAAAGTGAAGGTGCGGGCTTGGGGTTTTCACGTGATCACATTCTGCTTGTCCAGTTCAAGCAGCCCCTGGTGGAGTTGGGCTTCTTTCGGAAAGGCAATCGTGACAGAGAAATTCAAATAGAGCAGTTGGTTTAGAGATTTAGTGGCTCGAATTATTGTCCTATGTACAGCTAACCATAGGACAGCTCACTAGGGTCCAGCAACTGCACTCGTTGGATATCCCGTTCCCATGCACATGACGCTGAACGGCTGAAAACAATATTTGAACATGGGAAACATCACAATTTTTCACGTTTTACGCCTCTATATATGGTTTTCAGTCGGGTTGCGTAGGACTCCTTCACCCCGGGGCATGCCCCGTCACTGGCTTCACCGCTACCTTGTCCCAAGTGCTCCGCGAGAGCTGCGGCTTGCGGCTGCTGCCTTTCACACACAGGGAGCTTTGTACCAAAGCACTTTCGTATGGATAGAGCCTCATTTCTAGTTTACGGTGTGAGTACAATAAACCAGAACTTGACTGTTATTGGGACTCACTGTGACATTTTGGTCCCGTGACAGTTGCGTAAACAGAGGCGTCACTTCGCGGTTGCGGGCACCACCCAAAAGTTGTTGTGGTTACGATCGTTGTAGTGGTGTTTCCGGTTGTGGTTGGCCCTTCTCGTGCTGTGATTCTTATCAGGGTTGAAATAATTGGTTAGAAAGCTAGGGATTATATACGTGGAAATCAGGCGGTGAGGTTTTATCCTCCATGCACTCCTTGATGAGACTCACGTCAAGTACATTCCGGCTAGGTCAACAGGCACGAGGACGAGCATGCAGAAGCCGCCTTGCATACTCCTCCGAAACCATCCATATATTTGGTACGATTCCGCTCTGAAGGTTCTGAATGATGGAAATCGGGTCAGCTCCCTCGATAACAAGCTCCTACATACCACATTCGACCAACTCGAGCTGCGATCGGAGACGGACGTCGTGAACGCCTCCATGATCTATCTGATTGCACCTGTCCTCGAGGTCCTCAACCTTCTCTACAATAAGAAGTTCACTGTACGCGCGGAATCCAATCCTGTCAAGGTCCAGAACAGCAGGGACCATTCGAAGGAAGACGGAGAAGGACAACTCCAACAGAAGAAGCCTTCCGATTCGGACGAGAGCATCATCATCCGCGTAGATTTGGCGTTTGCAACTACGGCACGAGAAACGATAGCCGTGATTGAATACAAGAAAAGGGGACAAATCGACCCGATGGATTTCAAGAATGGGGAAGTTTGGGAAGACCAAGCCAACGACAACAAAGTCAAAGCCATGATCAACAAGGCCACTCGTAACGGCGGAACCCTCCTTGAGGATAACGCAATGACCCACGTCAAACAAGTCGCAGCCTATTGCCAGGATACTAAGTGTGCCTACGCTGCTTTGTTTAACTGGGATTACCTGATCCTGTTTCATTTCGACAAGATGGATCGGCAGGAAAAGGGGGTTCGGCTGACCGCCCGCAGCTATTGGCTGAACGAGAGAGACTCCTCGATCAAAACCAGCATGCGACTCGGCCTCCTTGGATTCTTAATCAAGGCGTTTGAAGCTAAGAAGGTTTAGAGCAGCGCGTATGAGGATGGGAAGGACGAGGACGGTGCCTTGGAGATCGGAAGATCTTGGATGGTTCCAACCTGAACGTACTCTGCTTCGGTGCGTTTGCCATTGACTGCCCAAGAGCTTGGTTGGGGTGGTGTTTCAAGGATCATGATGAGCCGGGAGAGTGTATGCAATACCATGTCCTCAGTCACTCGGCTACCTATTCATATCAATGCTTGGGGTACATAGACTGTGAAAAACAGCCAATATTAGCACCTTTCCTCCACTCTGTGTCCTTCCTTGTGACCGCTAACACTGACATTAGTATCATTCAGCTGAGCAATACACGGTTTTCTCCCTTCTGTAGTGCCCACCCTCCCAAACCTTGCCATATTCATGAGCGTTCCGGCGACCCGTAAATCTGCACCATTCTTGCTCCATGAAACAGGAACACCAAGAGCCTGTTGTAGGATACTATAAACATAAATTCCACTGTTAGCGTTCATAGCTGCTCTGCATGACTAGAGGCTTTGCTCGCCTATGCCTCTATAATCATCGAAAACCTCTCTTTATTAACGATCTTTATATTAAGCTGGAGACTGTGATCGACTGTTAACAGACATATTAATAGGATAACTGTCCGATCTACCAATTTGAGAGCCCGTTGCTTATAGAGAAGTTAACCCTAGAGAGACCTCAACATGTTCCGTTACACGAACCATTATCACCTAGATACTAGTTGCACACCATAGCATAAGACACCTATGTGTAAGCTAACACTGATCTAGAGTCTAATAAATAGTTTTCGTGGACTTTCAACACAACAGTGGCGGAAAGTGTTCCAATTGGAGCTGCTTTGGTATAATGGCAATGTCTTTGGTAACAACTCGGCGCAGCAACTACAAGTAAGTTTCCGTCGGCGGCCTTTACGTGAGATTTTGAGCGTTGCTGTACACACTGGCTTACAAGCAATTGCAATTGCAGCCCCGGTTTCAGCCTGTACGCCAGTGCCTAATAGGAATTGGATCGCAAGAGCATAGCAGTAAAGCGGCATAATCGCAGGTAAAACGGGGAATGCAGAATGAAAACTCAGAAACATGTTTGTATCCGTGTCATTGCATAGACTCAGAAGCGTGGAATAACTGTGATTGCTCGTGTACTGCTATGTTATCAAACATGCCGTCCTGTGTCTGACGATCCATGCTTCGCCTTGAATTTGCACAAACGGGCACTTAAAAGCACGCAAACGCATAATGACGGATGAGACAGGCACAGGATTTGCATTTTCCTTCGTAATCTACCAAGTACATACTCCATCACGGGCCCTTAACCGCCTACTTCGTCAAACCTTCCGGCGCTTGTGCGCTATGGAATCCTCCATCTCATCGTCCTGAGCGTCTTCAATATTCAGCCTGCCCAAATCGAGGATGAGTGAGCGCAAGTTCAGCCCGGATAAGTCCAGTTCGCCCTTTTCGTTAGGCCGTCCAAACATACCAGCCTCCTCCTCTTTATTCCCGTCGTGGCCCTCACCTTTATCCGCGCTGGGAGCTACGCTCTGCAAAGCCGAGAAGTCATATTCAAGTACCTGGATATCGTTCATCTGGACCTGGTGGTAGGGATACCAACCAGGGAAGCTCGCGATGAGACCTTCGAAAGGAGCAGACGCGCGTATCTGCTCCTCATATGGGGACAAATTGAGTGACAGCGCTTCATACTTTGACAGGACCTGCTTTGAGATATCGCTTGAAGGGGGTGCGCTCGGCTGTTGAACCACATCCATCAGCTCCGCCGCCTTGGATTTGGTCTTGGTCCTCCTCTTGCGTGTGGGTCTCTTAGGTCTTTCTTTCATCGTCTTTGTGCCCATTCCAGAGAACGTGAAAGTCTTCGGATCATACATAAGATGGTGGCCGCACAGCGCACAAAGCATCTCCATCGTCTTGAGTTCATCCTCTTCGGCGCGCCAGCCGCGCTCTGCTACCATCTTGTTCCACATATTTGCCGAAGTGTCCATATGCGTTATCGCCTTGGATACGTTATCTTTGCGCTTCTGATGACTGTAGTAACGGAACTGACTCGGGTCTTCCTGGAACATGTGAATGAAACGGCTGCGATATTTGGTAGGCTGCTTCTCAAACTTGGCATCCGGGAACTTGGCAGCTTCAAGACAGGCAAGGATGTAGGCTTTTTGAATGTTTGTAGCCGTATTAGCGAAGAAGGCGGTAAGGCAGTCGAAGATGCGAGCCTTTGTCTGGTCGAAGTAAAGCTCGAAGCTGCGGTGACCATCGACGTTGCTGACGAAGTAGGACAAAAGCACATTGGGCTCCCACTTGTTCAAGGCTTGCCCTCTTTGATGTAGTTCAAAACGTCGCCACGATAGCGAAGCTGAGCCGCAAAGGTCGTGCCTTCATGGAGTTTGAGACCGCTAAGATATGTCAGTGTCTACGAGATGAGTTTTAATCAAGCAGATTTACTCACTCCTTGTAAGGGTATTGTGGGTTCATCAGAGCGATATCGTCGATGGAGTTTGTAAGACGCAAACTCTTGGGAACTAGACCAAGCTTGCGTTCCAACAATGCATTGAGCACGTCACGATCTTCTTCGGGCATGTGCGACAGGTCAATCAAGCGGTTGCTCGGCGTATAGTATGCAGACGACATGTTGATGGAGCGATGTGCTTGTTGGATAGCAACAGACAGCGCGAAGAGGTCTCACAGAAGGTGGAAGCCGTGAGCGATTGAGGATAAAGAAGACGCTGAGGCGGAGGCAGGCAGCATAATTGCAGTGACTCTGAACGAAGAGGCTAAGTCAAGAGCAAGACCAGCCGAGAAGGCGGTGACAGATTTCTACTCACGCTGTGGCGGTCGGGTATGATGGCACAATTTTATTGTGGAGCGGAGCAATGGAGTACAGCTTTCACTGTTTTAAGTGACTGCAAAATGTGGAGCTTGTTAACGAAAGAAACATCCGCTAAGCCGGGCATGTATTTCGTCACACTCGACTCTATGAAGCACCCTCTAGTGCCCCAGGATGTAAAGCACCAATGCCTTCAGCATCTAGAGAAACGTTATAGTCATGAAGTAAGCTTCTGCTATCATACCTGTGCCGTCGTATGGGCTTGCACGGAAAACAGCGGATATCGGTCTAGCTTCCGAATACCACCGCAATGCTTGCTCCCTGTAGTGGCCCTCGGGATGCTCTATATCACTTCAGAATCTTGGGGGCATTAAGCGAGTACAGTGGAGGCATGCTTTCAAAGATTTTTGTTGTTCGTAGCGGCTAGCTTTGTATCCTTCCCAGACCCGAACTGGCGGTGACCGTCCATGTCTTTCACCGGCGCTCCCCCCACGCCTCTTCAGTCACCGTCCGCGCAAACACCGTGCAGATCCGTCCCGCCCCTCACTTTCTGCCCATTCTTTTTTGAGGTTTGCAAATTTTGTTTATGCCCTATATAATTTCCAAACATGTACTTCTCAGCAATAAACGGGAGCCAATGGCTCAGTTGGAAATCCAGCGGCTCCCGTATCACTTGTAAGTACCCCTTCCCCTTTCGCAACGAACAGACACTGACCGCCGCTTGCATCGCCCAATGCCTCCTACACCTCGAAGTTCTTGATTCTCTATGAAGTAGAACTCGATGATAGGCATGACATTGGGAAGTCCACAGCTCAAATCTCACACCAAAACGTTTTTTTTTTTCTTTTTGCAATTTCTGGACATTCACCGCCACGCCAAGATTGCCGTAGCACGCTCCCTGTTCTGTGTTTATGCAGTAGCTACCAGTCTACTATGTATTTAGCAATAGAGGTAACAGGGACATGGGGAAGGGGGAAGAGGAGAGAGGAGTATGACTGCGCCTTAAAGGCAGCATACAGCACCTAAACAAAGTAAAGCAGCGGGTAGCTATCTGCAGAAGTAGCAAGCATACTCTCCTGCATTCAAACGAGAGCTGACCGCTGCTAGAAGATCTCTCCTACACGTGAGGCCACACTCTGTATAGCTAAGGGCGCTTTGTGATAAGTATTTGGAAATCTACCAAGCCTATTTAATTTCATCTCCGCTTTTTTGTCTTGAATGTCTTCTGCGGTCCGCCATTCACCGTCGCAGTAGTTAAAGGGCACCATCTCTGCTGTGACATTATTGAGGACAGTTTAACAGATCTTTCAGTTTCTAAATGTCTTTAACATTTGTGCAGGGGAAGAGATGAGTGAGGAGGAGCATGGAGCAAGGTAGGAGTGGAGAGTAACTATCGCATGCCAGCCAACGCACTTAGTGAGTATAGTTTGAGCGGGTTGGAAACGAACTGCTGTTACCGCCCAAGCCTGCATAAACGGCCAAGTAACTTCACAACAAGCTTTACGAAACGTAGGTTCAAGTTCAGACCCAACAAAAGAAGATCTCTCAATGAAACAAGCAAACCATAATTTCAGTTCCACTATGTACCGTGATGCAGGTAGTCCCGCCTGCCTTCCAACCCAAGTAAAACCCCTACCATATGTACAGGTGTATATCCGCCTTCAGTATCCCTCACATACTTTCGAGCAGCATGATTCCATCCCTTCCCCAACCCCTACTTCCATCCTCCACAGCCTTAAGAAGTCGGGGTCGGCGGCGCCGGCGGCGCACCGCTGGGGACGCCACCACCGGGTGCACCTCCAGGAAAGCCTCCTGGGACTACGGTATAGAGTCAGTATCGCGTTCGTATCATTTAATCGATGACTGGATAGCCAACTGAGGAAACGGAAACGAAAGGCGAGGTACTCACATCCACCACCCGGTGCACCTGGAGCACCTGTGGGAAATCCACCTGGGACTGTGTATAGAGTCAGTATCCAATAGGTATTATTTGCTTGAGGATTGGATAGCGAACTAAGGATAAAGGAACGGAAGGCGAAGGACTCACATCCACCGCTAGGGAAACCCGGGAAGCCGCCGCCTGGAGCACCTGTCGGAACACCACCAGGGACTATGGTGTAGCGTTAGCATTTCGTCCGCGTTATATGATTCATGGCCGTAGTGGGGAAGCGGAAGCGAAGGAGAAGGACTCACATCCACCACTAGGGAAACCAGGGAAGCCGCCGCCTGGAGCGCCCGTAGGAAAGCCCCCAGGGACTGTAGTGTGGGGTCAGCATTAGATCGATGAGAATAGTGAGATCGAAACGAAAGGCGAACTCACATCCACCAGTAGGGAAACCACTAGGAAAGCCGCTAGGAACTGTGGTGCAGAGTCAGCATCTCCCTTGTAATATGCGATCGGTTACCGTAGTAAGGAAATGGAAACAAGAGGCGGAGTACTCACATCCACCACTAGGGAAACCAGGGAAGCCTCCGCCTGGAGCACCGGTGGGAAAGCCGCCAGGGACTGGTGTAAAGTCAGCATATCATTCGTGTTATGTGGTCAATGACCGTAATGAGGAAACGGAAATGAAAGGGAAAGTACTCACATCCACCGGTGGGGAAACCGGAAGGAAACCCGCCTCCTGGAGCGCCGCTTGGAAAGCCGGGGACTGTGGTCATGTTAGCATCCCCAACTAAGAGAACTGCAAGTGACTGGAGGTTGATTCGTTACGCACATCCTCCTCCAGGGAAGCCGCCAGTCGGCGTGGGGGCTTGAGGGGCGGCGAGGGGAGCGGCGAAGGCGCCGGCGGCCATGAGGCTGAGGAGAGTCAACTTCATAGTGATAATGCTGATCTTGATGTCGGAACCCAGGTGGTTGGTTTGGTGAGGAAAGCAGAAGTCTTGAGGATGGAGCTGGTGGTAAGATGCCGATGTCAATCGAGCATTCCCATCCCTTTATATACTGTTTCCATCGTTATGTTGTGAGCCTCCGGCGGCCCAAGCTGTGTGGCGAGTGAGGCCTCTCTTTGACATCCTCGTCATTCGCAATTTCACGCCTTGAAGCTGGCCTCGCCGATCGGAAGATGTAAATGAGGCTCAATATTTTATCTTAAACTGCAGGAAAACATCTGAGTATTCCCATTGGTTCATCCGTAGCAGACTCCGCATGGCGTAAGGACATCTCCGACTCTGATGAAGATAAGCGGGGAAAAGGAGGTTTCGTGCGGGGAAACCCTGTATACAGTTGGAGAAATGCTAGTGGGACCTAGATTAGTGCAGGTGGAGATGGGGGAGACTGACATGGTGTCAAAGCAACCTTTGAAAATTGAGGACACGCGTCTTGCCGAGTAGATGGTGAAACCCATGCTCGGATGTGTTGGTCGGCTGCTGTCGTTGGTGAACTCCACCAGGATTTGATCATGATGCTATGCAACTCCTATAGTAACAATTTCTACCTCTAGAGACTCGAAAATATAAAGAAGAGGACTGGTATTGGCGTTACGCAGTGATGAGAGGTACGTTGCCTAAAGACCGGGATGTAAACGGCGGAATGGCCATTGGTTGTGTTGAGCAATTTGTTTGATGCTCGAATACAGGGAATTTAGCCTCCTGCAACAGATCTGTAGTCCAAGTGCGACCACGTGCTTGGAGGTCCCTTAAGCCCGCGTGGTCTATGTAGTGGAATTGAAGATCGCAATAGAAATTGTACTTTAGAGAAGAGGGTATACCCGAGGAACATACTGCAAAGCAAATGAGAAAGCAATGAATCAATAAGGAAGCGGAAAACACCAGAGGTAACCTGATGGCAAGAAACAAGCAAACGAATTGAAGAAAGACGTCATATGGCGCCATGACTGGGCCCCCATCAACCTACCATGCTTCGACGTTTGAAATGAAAAAGGTGATGACGAATGCCCATCGATGCCAAATCAGCTTGTCTAAAAAGCGCAAGTTACATGGTTCGGCCAATGAAGTCCAACAGCACAAATGAGATTGGCAGTATTCCTGGATATCTTGGGTCCTATTCCTCTCCCCGCGGGGTCGGGTCTGAGATGCGGCAGGCATCAAACGTGGTGATTGGGTCCTTTTGCGGGGTGCACATATATCTGATACCCGGTTTCAACGTAGACAATGCGTCTGTGGCCATGTTGCTGGTCGCGGAATTTCATATGAGGTTGAAGTAAGCTTCATCGAAATACAGTAGCTAGTTTAGCGTCCTCACCTTAATTGGACGGCAGAGGGTATTCTCCGCATTTCTGCGGCCGTACCCCTGCCAACCACGCTGCAGGTCTCCTGCAAATCCTGCAGATCTGAAGGTTTTGATAAACGATGAGCCAGACCTGATACATGAGACGAATACTCAAGGTGACGGAGCTGTGTCACTTGCAATCGGGTTTGAGAAGTTGGCAGCACATGGCGATTAGATAAAGTCCGCGTGAAACAGCACCAGGATTGCACACATGGCAGGCGCACCGGCTATCAAGCTCAAGTGCATCGTAAGTGCATCGTAAAATCGTGAATTTTCATGCTTTCTGTGACCGTCTATTCCCGTGGACACGGTTTTGAGAAACGCGTCAGTAGATCTCGCTCATACTTTTTCGCGATGCCTCTTTCATCTTGTTCACATCTTCCCCCGTCATTGTGGAACCGGTCTCATCGATGGCGGCACGACAACAGTCGGAAACATGGCTTTCCGAGTCCACTTCGGCGTTTTCGACAATCATATCACCCTTGTGAGCCTCTGGCAATATACGTCTTGCGTCGAAAGCATCGTCCGCCGTGAGGGTCGAGGCGGTCGGCTGTATGTGCGTAGCCGCGGCGCTATCAGAATGAGCGTCGCCGTCGCCGAGCGCGTCCGCGCGCGTCCCTTTCCCAACCCCAGATTCTTCCAGCCAGCTCTGCTCTGTACGCTTACGAACGAGTTTGCTGTCCCTACTCCTCTGCCTAGACTTCGAGGTTACTCCGTTCTTAGATCTGCTGTTACTGCGCTTTGTAATGGACAGCGAGCTTTGGTAAACTGCCGTATATGTCTCGTTAATTTGTGCTTGGGCACGTGCGCGCATGCCTGGGAAATAGTCTGAGTCGTCAGAGAATCCCTCTCCCTGTGTTGATAGGTGCAGCGGATTAGGAGGCTGCAAGTATGCTGCTTTAGCGTGCTGGTTTGTCGAAGGAACATCTTCGTCCAGATCGCTAGCGGCCCCGCCCTCGTCGGACGTGCATGAGTTATATGAAGCATCATTTGGAGAAGCGGGGACGTCAGAGCGCTGGTTGGAAATGGCAGCAGCTTTGGAAGGCATGGTCGACTTCCGAGCGACCTTGCTTGGCGAGGGTTCGGCAAGAGCAGGGGTATGATCGGCTTCTTCGGATGCCATGGGATGGTCTTCTTTCTCGCCCTTCAGAGCCCCAACGGAAGTAGCAGGAGGAGGAAGGGCGGTACCGAGAAAGTCTGCAGTGTTCTTGCGTATGATCTTGCGAGGGTAATAGAACTTGTCGTGGTTGCAGCCATTAACGCAACCACCCCATCGCCGCGCCGGAATTGTCGGCGATGAAGTGAGGCTCCCGAGGACAGGAAGTCCCTTGCTGGGACTCGACTCGACGGCGGTCCCATTCTCAGCCGCCTTCGCAGCTTCAGCTCGCCGCTTGAGCTCCGACCATGTTCGTAATTCATTTTGAAGTACATATTTGCCGTTCTCGTTCAGTTTCATGACGATGAACTCGCAGTGATTGACATTTCGAAGATCTTCGAAATATTCCACAGACCAATGATACCTGAATTATGTGAGCACAATGGACTCGGGTACGCAAAGCGGACGAGTCTTCATTACCACTTCATGAGGAATATCCTCGTCATAAGCCCATGTGTAACGAGGACGCAAACACTGGGAAAGTCATCTTCTCCAAAGGACCTCCACAGACTCTCATTGAACCCACTGACGCGGTCGTAGGCATCTGCAGCACTCTCTCCATTGGGTATCCGGTAAAAGAAATGACCGTAGTCGGCCCTCTCTAGCCACATCCTCTCCATCTCAGCCGAGCAAGGCTGAAAGTTCCCGAAATCTTGTTCTCTCAGCCTAGGCTCCTCATAAACCTTGATTTTGTGACGGGGAAAGGGCGATGGAGCCGGGTCATCGGCGGTGAGGGTTCGGAGAATGCCCTCAGTGGTCTCCCTCGTCCTACGATAGGGAGATGTGAAAAATTGGATTGTGTCGTCGGCCATGAGCATGGACCGGAGTGTGCGGCCAGCCTCTTCTGCCTAAGCGTGGTACTCAGTCATCTGTCCGTGGGTACAGAATACCGGGAAGTGCTGTTCCTTACCTGTGTCCAGCCATGTTGTGTCAACCCCACTCTATGGTCAGGAATGTATTGATGGATATCACGGTTCTTGTTTCCCTCTGACTGGGCATGTCGCACCAGAATTATCATCTGGACCAGCAGTTAGAGACCCATGGAGCTCGAGGTCATGACGTGGGGCCCGCTCACCCTCGGCTTTCCCATTGTAGCGTTGTCTCCTGAGCAGTACCTTGCGGGTAGTGGCAACGGTGACGTCGAAAGGATAGTATGCTGCTCAAGGGCGGTGAAGGCTGTACAGCCCCAGGGAGAAGGGGACGAGGGAGAGGGCGAATTCCACCTGGGCAAGCATCAAACGCCATGGCGAGACCACTTTCTATTTTGTGCCTTTGGTGATAATGACCAACCGTATGGCCCCCACGTGGCGGCGTGGAGGCTGTGGCTGAGGGAGGTGGCTGGGTCAAGGCGCTTATGCCGCAACCATGCGTCATTCCGTTCGATCATCAACTTTCTTCAAACCAACCGTGGTATCTTTTCTCACGCACAACCTTCGCGCCACTACACATAAAACTACATCCAATTTCTCTGCCTTCCTCAGAATACCCTGCGGTACACGACGTGCCGCTCCTCTCACGCTCATCAAGCCTCCGCCTTACCCTCATCCGCCCTCTGCAGCAGACATGTCTGAAAACATTCCCGAGTCGATTCCCACGTCTGCAGACCCGAGATCGAAGCGTGCCACTAAGAAGCGCGCCATCACCCCACGCGCTCAGCTGGCAGCTCACGTTGAAGCCCTCTTTGCAAAGCCGGATCGGGAAATCCAGATACCAGGCACCGGGCAGAAGAAGGATCTTCCACCACCTCCGGAGATAGTCGCGAATGTCCAGGGTTCTAGCGCTGGAGCAGGGAGTGGAGAATTTCATGTATACAAGGCGAGTCGGCGGCGCGAATATGAGCGGCTGCGGCTCATGGACGAGGAGGTGAAGAAGGAGCAGGAGGAGAAGGAATTTCAGGAAAGGAAGGCTGAGTTGGAAAGACTAGATCGCGAGAGGACGGAGAAGAACCGGTTGAAGAGGGAGAAGCTGAAGGCTCGAAAGATGAAGAAGAAGAACGGTGCGAAAGCGGACAAAGATGGTGAGAAGGAAAGTACACCGGCTGCCCAGGATGAGTTGGTGAAGAAGAAGCTGGCCCCGAATGCAGCTGCTGCCAATACTCCACATGAAGAGGAAAATGATGAGGCAGAGGTTCTCAATGGCGGAGAAGTTAAGAATTCCGGCGAGATTGGCCTTGTCATCCAGGATGACGACGACTAGATTTTCCTGTCCCCATATTTTCAGCAACCGTCCCTTATGATACCCGAATCTACTATTAATTCACTTCTTATTTGATACCACTGCATCCGCTTATGCTGTTCACAGCGGCATCTCGTGTCAAATCGACCGGAGCTTCATGCACAGACTTTCCAATTCCAGGGCATGGTTCTATGACCTGCTCAAGGCCATTTTCACAGCAACTTGAAGGTGATTATCTTCAGCTTGGCCACTCGTACTGCCCCTCGATCATGGATGGAGATTCCTCAGTCGTCGGAGACGCCTGGCAATGCTGACAACTATTAACAGCTGAACTGCAGAGTCCACTTCTGCAGAGTCCACTTCTTTTTGTGCCGCGAACCACCTATAAGTCTTTCGGAATCTTTGCTGATTTTGAGAGCTACTGCCAGAGGCCCACCATGAGTACCTCCGCGCCCTTCGAGCCCGACGCAGCATAAGCTCTACAATCCCACCTCCCAAACAATGCGACTTCTTCCTCCAACGCGCTCACAATCAATACTACCACCATAATGGCACCGTCTGGGTCGAAGGATTTGCGCCATCTCAGCCTAACCTTCCGCTCTCTATCTCCCCAGACTGCATCCGGATCATCTCCTCGGGCATCAACGTTTCCATCTCGTACGGTCCCCTAACGCGTCTCCGCCGCTCTAGACTACCTGCCGGACCTCCTTGCCACTCTTCCCTCGCAAATTCCAAGATGCATCTTCCTCCAGGAAGTGTACAAGTCGGATCTCGACCTCATCAACAGCACCCGGGTCCAGAGCAATTCTCCCTCACAGAAACCCGGCGGCAAGAACTGACTCAGTGAAATGTGGAACAGTATGAGGTTATAGCTGATTTTGAGTTAGAGACCTGGAAGTTGAAAGAGGAGGAGAAAGAACAGAGGGGAATGAAACGAAGATTTGAGTTTGGACAAATGGCTGCGATAGGTAGGACTCTGGACGTGAATCGCATAGTTAACTGGAGTATGTGTAAAGCGGACAGATATTACTATAGTACAGACTGGCCATGGAGAGCTACAGGGTCACCTACTGTATGGTATCCATGGATCGCATAGCCCATTCTACATCTGTTGCTCTTCAACCATCATCAAAGCACCCGCCAGGCTGACAGCTCCCTAAACGGGCATGCCGATAATACCCAGTGTACGCCAAACTCACTAGCTTAGTTCAGCGATCCATCACTCTAATCCAATTGGGTGAGTCCATCTTCCTCGGATTCATCGCGTCTTACACTGCATAGACCCTCTAACGTTCTCATTGGCGCGACCAACGGACCTGACATAAAAGGATACCGTAAAGTAAAGGGAAACCGATGGACCTTGCAGTCCGGTGGTACCGTGCATGTCTCAGGCCGACATCTGGACTCGGAAAATCGACCAAGATATGCCTGCACCACGCAGGGGGCAGCCTGAATTTGTGCGGATGTAAATGGTTCGCCCACAAGCTCAGAACAGGGGCGGGTGACGAGAACTAGTCATGACACGCCTAAATTCCATGGACGAGAAAATCATCTATGCACGCGACACCGCAAAGGGACAGATAGCTCATAAGGATACTCGTTATTCTCATTTTTTATACGTTGCTTACTGTTTCGAAGATAGGTTGCCGTGTTCACCAGCGATGAAGTTATCTGGAACACACGCGACGCGATCAAAAGGGGTTGATCAAGCTGTCGCACAAACAAGGCATAGGTGCTAAAATACATGGTCAATGAAGGAATAGTCCGTACCGTCCAGGAGAGCGAAAGCGAATCCACCGCCAAACGCCGAGATCGCCGAAGGGAAAGCCCCACGAGGCCCATGAGGCTTAATGTTGAAAGATAGAAGCCCGGGAGAAGTGCGAGAGAAAAGCCGAAGATCGAATCGTCGAGGTTACTTGGGAGAAATCGTCCGACAGCAAGACTAGATTGAAGTAATATCATAAGGGAATTGGTTGATGGCTTTTACATCTCCATGGCGTCCACATCCTCAGAAGGCATGCCGACCGCAGGAGCGTGAGAGGAGGGTCCTGGCGTGGGTGTCCGTTGGCGGGAGAAGATCTTTTCTCCCTCCACGCGAGGAATGGGTCCAGCCATGAGGTTTTCAACGGTCCGTTGAAGCGACCATCCAACGAGTTGACACCATTGGAGGCTGTCTGCGAAAAGCCAATAGCCTTGGACGCCATGCATTTTGGCACGAACGAGATAAGCTCCAAGCGACTCCTTCTCGAGCATGACGGTGGCTTCCGTGAGGTCAAAGTGGTTCTCAATGACACGCGAGTAGGCGCGCGCGGCGTCCCGTAGCGTTGGGTTGCCCATGATGTTCTTCCAGCCTACTCCGAGCGAGGAGATGAGAGCGCTGATGGTGTTGCCTTTCTCATCAATGACAGTGTCCACCGGCTGTACAGCCATGTCGTTCAAAGAGGGGATTGTGACATCGTGGGCAGAGTCCATGCGTTGCGATTTGCGCGAAACCGCAATGGGCCGAACCGGGGCGGCCTTCTCTTTCTCGGCTTGCTTCTCTTCACACCACGTGCCGGATTGCGACTCCGCAGAGATGAACCAGCCAGCATCGTCAGGATAGATGAGAGTCATGCCTGGGCCATAAATGGGTTCGGGTTTCGGCTTTACGGGAAGTGTAGTGACCACAGTGCCTGCGGGCGCATTCTCTTCGGGATCATCAACGTCGGCGATGGTTCGTTTCCGCCCAGCTGTGGCATTGAAGGGGGCAGCTAGGTAATTGATGGAGGGAGGTGTTGGGTATTTAGGACGCCAGTTGGCCCTGGGTGAGTGGGCCCGCTGGATGGACGAGAGGTACTGGTCGGCTTGTCGGGGAGGGAGGACGACGGCTGGGGACGAGGCGTAGTAGTTGATACCCATGTTCACTGCTGGTTTAGTGCGTCAATAGATAAAGAGATACTGTGATACGAGATGGGCCTGTCTTCGGGCAGACTGCGCAGCTTCAGCGCGAGCAATCAAGTCTACGCAACGGCGGCAGCGAGGTTGTAATGGATATGGGCGCAATGAGGAGGGTGAGAGGTGATGATGGAAGCGAAGGAGGAAAGAATGAGTGTGGGATGGGACAATTGAAAGGTGGGACGCGGACTAAGTGAACGAGGAGGATGACGCGTGTAGCGTGACGAGAGTTGGTGGGAGAAGAAGTGTGGAGGAAGAGAGGCAGTTTGCGCGGGCACGGGGCGGTCTTGTAAGCTCCGAGCTGATGATCCCGTGAGAGGTGGCTGGGCGGTGAGCAATTCTGCCGGTAATAAAGGGCGGCGTACGATTGGGGCCGTTTTGACTTAGCGCGCAAACGCATGTGGAAAAGCCTTAGATGTGCCAAGCCCGGGACAATTATGTTACTAAGCACTTTCCTCCAGTGGACCAGCGTCTTTTCGGGTCGGAGAAACTCTCGGAGGAGGTGCCCGACGCGTTTAGATTTTTGGTGGAGTAGAGGGGACAATGCAGGCAAGAGGCTCCAGCGTGACCCCATATACCAACGGACACTTTTGATCCTTATTTCACTGCTTGCCGGCTCGCCTCCATAGACAACGCCAAAATGCAGGCTCCCGTGGTGGTTATGAGTATGCTCGAACCAGCTCCACCAGCTTCACATGGTAGCTAACCTCGAACGCAGACACCCAGACCCCGGGCGGGGAGCGGCAATTCGGACGTAAAGCGCAGCTTTCCAACATCACAGCGGCGAAAACAGTGGCAGATATAATCCGGTCATGTTTGGGTCCCAAAGCTATGCTCAAGATGCTGCTCGACCCCATGGGCGGCATCGTCCTTACCAATGACGGCCACGCCATCTTACGAGAGATCGAGGTTGCACATCCTGCAGCGAAGAGCATGATTGAGTTAAGCCGGACACAAGACGAGGAGGTTGGCGATGGAACAACAACTGTCATCATATTGGGTAGGTTATTGTATGTTGCCTAGACCCTGTTATCGCACTAACATCTGTATAGCCGGAGAGATCCTCGCGCGTGCTCTTCCCCAACTTGAGCGTAACATTCACCCCGTAGTAATCATCAAGGCTTTCAAAAATGCCCTGGCCGATGCCCTGTCCATAATCAACGAGATCGCAATAGACGTAGACATCAACGACGACAAGGCAATGTACCAACTCATCAGCGCGTCAATCGGCACAAAGTTCGTTTCCAGGTGGTCCGAATTAATGTGCAGTCTCGCACTCAAGGCTGTCCGAACAGTGTCGCTTGACATCGGAAATGGGAAGAAAGAGGTCGATGTTAAGAGGTATGCGCGTATTGAGAAGATTCCAGGAGGTGAGATCGAGGAGTCTCAAGTGTTGGATGGCGTAATGTTGAACAAGGACATCACCCATCCGAGGATGAGGCGTAGAATCGAAAATCCCAGGGTGATGCTTCTGGACTGTCCATTGGAGTACAAGAAGGGCGAGAGTCAGACGAACATCGAAATCAGCAAAGAGGAGGACTGGAACCGGATATTGCAGATCGAGGAGGAACAAGTGAAGGCTATGTGCGATGCGATTATTGCTCTGGAGCCGGATCTGGTTATCACGGAAAAGGGTGTCAGTGGTAGGTTGTGAAGCCAATTTCTCTCCAGCACATGTCTAACGCTCGCGCACAGATCTCGCCCAGCATTTCCTCGTCAAACACAACATCACCGCTATCCGAAGAGTTCGGAAGACAGACAACAACCGTATTGCCCGTGCAACTGGCGCCACCATTGTCAACTCCGTTTTCTCCGCAACTGCCTCTGATATCGGAACTCAGTGTGGCCTTTTCGAAATCTCTAAGATCGGCGACGAGTACTTCACATTCCTTACCAAATGTAAGGATCCCAAGGCATGCACGATCCTGCTACGCGGTCCTTCAAAGGATATTTTGAATGAGATCGAGCGGAATCTGCACGATGCCATGGGCGTTGCAAGGAACGTCATCTGGAACCCCAAGCTGTGCCCTGGAGGTGGGGCAACGGAGATGGCTATCGCGGTGGGATTGGAGAGGAGAGGCAAACTGATCGAGGGCGTGGCACAGTGGCCATACCGCGCCGTCGCAGAAGCTATGGAGGTCATCCCCCGCACTCTCATCCAGAATTCCGGAAACAGCCCTATCAAGGTGCTTACCCAACTGAGGGCGAAACACGCGGAGGGTTTCCAGGATGGAAAGCAAACCGGCAGTTCGTGGGGTATTGACGGCGACCTGGGCAAGGTCGTCGACATGAAGCAGTTTGGTGTTTGGGAGCCAATAGCTGTCAAGGAGCAGAGTGTCAAGACGGCCGTGGAGAGCGCATGTCTGCTATTGAGGGTGGATGATATTGTCGCTGCCAAGGCGGCGAAGCAAGCCTCAGGGCCTGTCGGGGGAGGCGAGGAGTAAACGGGTCCGTTCGTCGGCGAAAGCAAACACAATGAAATGAATTGTCATGGATCATGAGATGTATCTGAGTTGCCTCTCGACTCAATCAGCGTCTGTGAAGCCTCAAAATCCTTGTCATCTTCGATGTACTACGCTAACCGATTAAGACGTCCATCTACAGGAGGTTGAACAGCATTCAGAATACGATAGTTGCGCATGTTATCCAGCATCCTTCGGCTCCACTGGGTTGTCCTGAATATCTTCAAACAGGAACGAACATCGCCTGGACATCCGTTCTTCCAATTATCCAGTTGTTCGGCCGATGCCATCCAGACACAGCGGTGTACACTATTGAAGAAATAAGCATAAGAAAGCTTCTGCGTATGTCCGGTCCGTCCTCTCTCTTCACGTCGACGCCTGCATCCTTCTTTTAAGTACCCTGCCTACTCTTATTTTCCAGTCCCGCAAGACGCCAAGTAGTTTAGTGAATATAGTAAGGAAGGCATAGTAACAGGAATGCGGACCGCTTCTTCGTTCCACTCCAGGGAACACATCCACAGCTATCGTCAGAGCTAGCTCCACTGTTGGATTTCACATCGGACCCGAGGAGTACAGGGGTTTCCTGGAGGACGACTGGAGAGTATGGCATGAGGGCCCTGTGCAGGGAGTGTTATCGAGATTCGAGGTGAAGGGTGAGACCAAGAAGGGTGAGGGTACGAAGTCGAAGGGCGTGGTGGCGGGATATGACGGATTTGATGCGTATGAAGTAGGTGGGTTGTGGTTCAACTGATATCAAGTATGCGTATCTTCCAGTATTTTAGCCCGCCTTTCTCTTCCACCTCAATTCGTCCTAAAATTTCATAGTCCCATCCTCAAGCAATTGCAGGGACCCTTCATGGGACGGACTTCTTACTCGTTGTTTTACAACGGTAGGTAAATTTCCCTACCCCGGTCACGACTCCCCTGGGACCCTATCTTCTGCGCATACAGCACTTGTATCCGAATTGTTGGGGTGGAGGATCCGAGACACAGGCTTATATCAGTTGTGCGCACATTTTTGCTAAGGGCACGGCGGAAGTACGTATGCAATCAACAATTTATCTCCGTAGTTCTGTCAAGGTATGCTCGTCAAGGTTATCAAAGTCACATATATGCCGCGGCATTGAACCCCAGTATTAAGTCTTGAGGATGCTTCTCGAATTGCCCGGGCACCCGAACCCGGTGTTTCGCATTCCAGAAGACTACCCTGCCGTCGGCCTAGGTCAGTCAAACGTCCCTCCTTTCTTTCTTCCTTTTCCCTCATCGCTAATCATATATGGTTTGAGGTTCTTGCTTCGTTCACGCCAAACTTTCCGCGAAACCAGCCCTTACATTTACAACTAGGCATCGTCTTTCCCCAGGAGGCCTGCCCTCCGTATGAAAGACGCGAAGTACTGAATCTATGGGCTTACAGGCACCGTGCTCCTGCAGTTTGGGATGATCGATGAGAGAAAACTGTCTATGTGACGTGGCATCTTGGATCTATGATATGAAATCTCTGAACAATGCATGTACCTTTCAACTGAGCTCCACTTCCTGGAGGTAAATGTTAAAGGTCTATGTAGAGAGAGCTGTCATATTTATGGTTAGTGATCGATGCTGCTTCCCAACTAAGGGGCGGATTCCGTCCCATGCGCTTAAGCCTGCCGGAAAAAAAAAATTGTGAAAAAAAATGTTTTCTGGTTCCGAGAATTGAACCGAAGGCCCCAATACCACCTCAGACTGAGTTCCACACCGTTAGAGGATCTGAACTCAGTGGAGGAGGTATTGGGCGATGCTAGCGGCGGTCAGATCGGTTCATGAATTGGGGGAGGGAATACTTACTGGCGGGGCGGGAGCCGACTGTTTACCAACTATACCGTCGACTCCCTTTTAGTGATGATATGGAGAAAGTAAATACATTATATAGGGCATAAAATAAGATTCCGGGTCTCCAAATGAGAAAGGGTCAGGGACTGCGTGGGGCTGTGCGCAGAGGGAATGGCGGTGACAGCAAGGTGACGGCTTTCACGACTGCTTGGGAGGCACCAGGAGGTGGGATACTTTCACCGGGAATCGGCGGGTTTGCAGGGGCCCAGCCATATGGCCATATGAAACTACCGTCAAATTGCAGAAAACAAAATGGACTAGATAATCGAACAGTATGCCTAACGCATGTCCCAAGGCACATAAGATCCTGGTGCTATATCGTTCGCTCCCTTTGGGAACACAGTGAGCGTCCATCACCTCTTCAGACAGTATATGCCCTGGACACTACATACATCAACCATTTCTCTCACGGCTTCACAATTTCCATTTACTTCACTGGCTGGTCCTACCGAATGGAAACCCTAAACACTCTATTTTAGTGCGCAATATCCTTAGAGCAGAACATATACAGCCAGGCATGTTTATAATACAAGCATGGAAGTAGCTTCACTTCAACTCCCCGATTAAAACCTTGAATGAAAAGCAAGCAAAACACCGCATTATTGCTCCATTTGAGTGCTCGAAATCTGTTCGGGTATTCCACACTGCTACAACTGCTGCTAGATGCTAAGTTATGACCGCACCCACCTGATATACAACCCTGAAACTAACGTAATGAAGTCTCTCACGTATGCCGTGCGAATTTTTATAAAAACAAGAGGCGCTGCATTCTTTTCCCAAGGATTTTCCTGGTACCATTTGAGTATTCACATATCACGCCTTTCACCGGGACGCACCATATATGGCATCACGAGGTTTCGCTTAGCAATTTCCACACGATTCTGCGACCGTGACTTCTTGGGTTGTATTTACTCCACTTTCCTGAAGAACGTTTATGTTGCCTTTGCGCTCTTTGCCTGCCGAACCACTCTCTCTCACCGCCTCCCGCCCTCCAACCCTCCCACACCACTCGCCACCTATACCCTCCTCCCCAACAACATCCTGCACTATCAACATCATGGCCGTCAACTATAATGCAGAGGACTACGACAAACTGGAACGCGATTGGATAGAGCTTGTCCGTCCCGACGAGGACATGGCAATTCTGAATGAGCTGCTCGAGCGAAAGCAAGCGGGAATTCCAAAGCCGCTGCGTCTCGCACATTCCATTGAAGACATTGAGAAGATGAGCCCTACATTCCCTTACGCTGTGTACGTCCTGCAACATAAATTATGTATTGACTTGCTGACCAGTGCCAGCGGCACCAAACTGAACGAGGGCGCCACATTCGCCGACCAGCTTCGCTTCCGCGGCGCCGTCATCGACTACATCAAGACCGGAACTCCGCTCGAGAAGTGGGAAAAACGCGTCTTGCTGTCCTATTTTGTCAGCAACGTGGACAAAGACCGGAACTTCAATCTGTTCTTCCAGCAGACGCGGGCTCGAGCTTTTGACTATCTAACAAGGTGGACTTCGCGCAAAGCGTCAGCACTCGAAGCGGCCTATGTGTTGGCCTGTTTGGAGACAGTTGGATTTGGACCGGTACCGACGATTCGCGGGTCTCCCACATACTGGCGCAACAGGTTCGTCGAGAGACTGCAGGAGGATCCGAGTAAATACCGGTTTATCGGCCAGGATCATGTTCGTCGGCTTAATCGCAGGTCGATGGCGCACATGGACAAAGCAGCACTTGCATGGAATGCGAAAGTAGACGCTGGTGAGCTTCCTCCCTCCTCCGAGGGCGAGAATCCTGACATGTTGATGATGTGGATCTACACGCTGTGTGGCGGACATTTGACCCTGGATCGATCTACTATGCTGTTCAGTGGCATGCGCACTGGAGTTGTCCAGATATTGGAAACAGGAGCTGCATCGGACGTACCTTGCACAGAGAAGAACAAGAAGAAACGACACCACAAGTCACGCTCGCAGAAAAAGGGCAACCCATCCGGCGTTCAGAAAAACATGTATCCGGACAAAACCATCAGCAAGCACCTTCCCAGACAGCCCATTCCAGAGCCCAAGAACAATAAGACCCTACTGCTCAACATCTCGGCCATTACTCATGAGACCAAGAGCAGTGAGGTTTTGGCCGGTCTGGTCGCCAAGTTCCCTGGCTGGTGTCCCACGCAATCATTCCTTCTCAGCGAGCAGGGAATGGACATTGATTCTGAGGAATGGGGGCTTCCTGTTACGCTTCCCGCTGTCTACAACGATGGCTCGGAGGATGACGAGATGGAAGGGACTGATGAGGAAGGAATTTCAATGTTTGGTCTGTGCAATGAGTTGGGGCAATTGGATCTGTCCGGTTCAAAGGTCGACATGGACGACGTTATCAGGGAGATGGAGAAGGCGAAACTGGATGATGACAATGATGCAGATAGAATGGACAGTGACCGAGAAGATGGGGTGAACTAGCTGGCTCATAGATGCTACAAATATACCCTTCCCTCGTGCATTCGTTTTTAAAGCCATACATCTTGCCCAGGTGCAGCCTGCGCCGAGAGAACATGACCATTGCGAACCGAAACTTTGCAGTTCACGATGTGGGTTCGGTCTTGTACACATTCCACCGCGCAGGGACTTCTTGCCGCTTTGTCCTAGCTGTATAAGCACCTTAAGAGCTCAGCATAGGCCATTATCAAATTCGGAAAAAGCCTAGACTATCCTATAAGGTTATTGGGATTACCTCTGAACACACAGTAGTTGGCAGCTATAGCTATAGGATGGATCGTACAAACCGAATCCTACCCTAGGGTAGTTTCCTAGCACTAACTCTACCTTGCGCTTCCAAAGTTCACTCTGCGTTCGATAGCACTCCTTTCCCAAGTGGTACAGCGAGGCAAAGGAGGAGATACGAGTCGAAATGTAGAGAGATGAGCGGACATAGAAATTTAAGAGCGCACACGCTTGCAGGTAGACGTAGACGCGTTGGACTTGGTAAGCGTGCTTCTACCAGATGTGAGAACATATAGTTACATATCGGCTATTGCTGTGTTCCAGCCTCGTGTTTCGTGTTCCCAACCCTGGAAGGCGACCCTCTAGGTAAGCTTCGCCACCCAGTTTACTGGTGAAACGCTGCCCGCACCGCCCCAGCCACCGATGCGAGCCCGGTAATTCAAGCAAAGTATATCGGTAAATGCTTCTGGGTGCATGTCCCAGCCTTTTTGTAATCATCGGCAAGAGATAAACCCCAGATGACGCTACCCCGCACGCCACGCTGATCCGCATCCACTTTCCGGAGGTTATCTCCGCATAGGACATGTTGGGGAATACAAAGTAGGTAACCCGAGCCATGGCCCTGGTCGCTTATTCCCTGCATCAGGGCCATGCGTGGGCAATTGACAGGAGTACAAAACCGCGTTGGGCCGCACTTGAGGATCCGGAGTTCAACGTCCCGCTTGGAACAATCGGTGCCTGGGGCCAAAACACGCACAATGTCGAGGGACGCAGAGAAGACGCCAGGAGATTTCAAAGATGGAGCTCTTGGGGCGAGCGATTTCGTGGAAAAAGAGCATGTTGAAGACAAAGCGGTAATTTCAGATGGCGAGGTGGAAGCGAACCACGTCGAGGTGTCTGAAGCTGAGGCGAGGCGGATTCTGGCGAAGGTGGATTATCGACTCGTACCTATGTTGGCACTCCTCTATCTGGTCGCATTTATAGATCGGTCCAATAGTAAGTCGTATGGCCCGCTGCTGTTCCGCGTTCCGCTCAGCACTCACGTATCTTAGTTGGAAATGCGAAGATTGCAGGTCTCACTGAAGATCTCAAAATGAAGGGCTTGCAATACAATACTGCCGTCACTCTGTTCTTCGTCCCATACACGCTACTGGAAGTTCCTTCCAATATCGTGCTGAAGATGATGAGGTACCTAGTGGCAAACACGATTGAGGGTATACATAAACTTACTCTTCCAGGCCGAGTCGCTGGATTGCGATCCTTATGTTTTCATGGGGCTTGGTGATGACGTAGGCCGACTTTCCCCGGACCACACGACCAGAGCTAATGGTACAGGTTGATGGGTTTAGTTTCCAGCTATGGCGGTCTTCTCGCCGCTCGCTGGTTCCTAGGTGTAACAGAGGTACGTCGATACCAAGCTTTCCAAGCCTCCCCAAGCTATGTGGCTTAAAGCCACCACCGAGCATATATGTTGACAACACCACAGTCTGGCTTCTTTCCAGCAGCAACATTCCTTCTGACGCTATGGTACCGAAGATACGAAGTCCAGCGCCGCATGGCGGTATTTTACGTAGCCGCATCCCTATCCGGAGCCTTTTCTGGGCTTCTGGCCTTCGCGATTCAGAAGCTCGACGGCCGAGCAGGACTCTCTGGATGGCAGTGGATCTTCCTGATCGAAGGTCTTATCCCGGTCGCACTGGCTCTTGTCATATGGAAGATCCTGCCAGATTCACCGGAAACCGCAAGTTTCTTGAAACAGGAAGAGAGGGATTTCTTAGTCCGCCGCCTTGCAGAGGAGACTGGCTCTGGACATGGCAGAGTCACGAACCAAGACAAGATTAACAAGAAACACATCGTTGCAGGATTATCAGACTGGAAGGTCTGGGCTGCTGTTGTTATCTTCTGGGGAAATAGTGAGTTCCTCGCAACTCCGTGGGATACGAATTTCTGACCTCTGTGTAGCATGTGGCGTATACGGCTTCACTGCGACGGTTCCCACCGTCATTGCAGATCTCGGCTACTCGTCTGCCAATGCGCAGCTCATGACCATTCCCATCTACGTTTTTGCGACCATCATCACGTTGATCTTCGCGTGGTGGTCTGATTACAAGCGTACTCGGTCGCCCTTCATCATCGCCGGCTACTGCATCGCATCTTGTGGCTTCATCGCTCAGCTCGCGATTCCGCATCCGAAATACCCCGGTCTCACCTATGGCTTTCTTTTCCCCGTGGCTGGCGGACTCTACTGCCCGTTCATCTCACTGGTATCATGGATTGCGAACTCGCTCGCCCCAAGCTCGAAACGTGCCGTGGGCATGGCACTGCTCATTTCCGTGGGTAACATGGGCGGCATCATGGGCTCCAACATCTATCTTGCGCGCGAAAAGCCAAAATACCGCACCGGGTTTGGAGTATCTCTCGCCATGTGCATTGCCGCCATTGTGATGACCTTCGTCTTGAGGTGGGCATATAGCCGAGAAAATGCGAAGAGGGATCAGCTGCTTGCTGAGCATACGGAAGAAGAGATTCGAGCTCAATATACGGAGGAGCAGATGCTGGAACTTGGTGATCGAAGCCCTTTTTGGCGATATACGCTATAAAGCTTGCCCGTGGGCACATGTGTTTGGATTATACGATCTGCACAGGAAGGTTCTTTGGCGTGCAGAACAGAGAGTAAACATAGCGAAATGCAAAGAGAAGTCGCCAGCGCGTTACAGGCAGGGCTGAATACAGCAGGATTGACTTGAGTGACAGCAAATGTAGCGGTCTGACATGGGAGGATCCCGCTGCTAGGGGAATAACAGGGTCGGACTAGGCTTCATAGAGCCTGGGTTCCACATTCAGCTAAACCGGGAAGGGTGACCCCTATTTTACTTCACTGGATTATCAAAGCCATTCATGGTTGATAAACTTAGGAATACTAGTCCTTATTCCGACGACCCCCTTACCAGAACCCGTTATACCACCCATAGACGCCCCTGAAAAATGCGTCCTGTTTTTATAAGGTAGCCGAAAACAATACAAAAAAATATCATCAGAGAGCGAAAAATGCACAATGGCACTCACGGCACCCGCCGCAGGCCACCACCCTGCCCTTCTTTTCCTCCTTCTCTTATCTCATCCACTTCCTCTTCCACTGGCGTCCTAACACCGTCAGACAACCCCTCAAAACTCTTCACCTTCTTCAACATATCCGGACTTATCGGTCCGCCTTTGTCTCCCCAGCCGAGGTTCTCCTCATCAACCAGCGTTGTCCTCCCAGTATCCACCCGTCGGACACCCCTCCTCTTCCTCTCCGCCAGGCTTCCACTGACACTTGAATCCAAACTATCAAACGTCATTGCCCTTCTCATGTGTCTCGGGACCTTCGGATCCGTTGCCTTTGCCTTCCTGACATCCTCAGAATCGTCGCTCCAGAGTGACGAACCCGATGCCATCGTGCTGATTCTCGGCGACCCCTTCTCTCCCTTCCCTACGTCCAACCCCTCCCACTCATCCGGTCTGACCAACAACGTATGCTCTTCATCCCTCATATCCACCATCGCGAGCTTCTCCCCGGGCTCCGTGACGGGATGCGCCCAACCATGCATCTTCCACGTCCCTACCCCGCGATGCTCGTGCGCCAACCGCTGAAGCTGCAGGGTCGTGTTCGCATTCCACTCCAGTCTGACATACGTTGCCTTCGCGTTCCCTTTTCCTCGTCGGTGGCGGCGAGCGTGGATGGCGTCGACGATGGGCTCGAGCGCGACGTCTAGGAACATGATGATGGTGCCGAAGCCTAGGATCAGACCCATGCCCAGGACGGAGAACGAAGAGTACTTTGTCGTTATGATCTTCATGTTCTGACAGACAGTCTCCTGCGTGGAGTTCTCCGGTGCCTTGCGGAACCGTTCATATTGCGGTCCCGGGGGTCCATTCGCCATCTCGACGAAGGATCCCTGGATCGAAGCCAGCGACGCTCCAACCCAGTGTTGTACTTCCCGCTGCCACTGATTGTTCGGGAGGGGACCTTGAGAGTTAGCCGCGAGACCTTGCCGTGCGACAAGCGCGGAAACACCCATGGAGTCGACGATACCCGAGATGCTGAAGAAGCCGAGCTGGAAGACGTCAATGGCCCAGCGGAACTTGGCTTTCTGCTGACTGTCTTTGTATAGCGAAGTGATATCGAAACGGTCATCGACGTAGCCTGCAAGAGGGGTACAGCGTCCCTCATCGCCCTCGGGGATATTGGGATTGCAGTATTGCATCCGGAATGTGCAGCCGAGAACGCGAGCGGGTTCATCTTGGAGATATGTGGGTCGCGTGCGGTTGTGCATGACGTTTCCTTCACGGGGCCCCTGACGGTGGGCGGAGAACCAAGGGTCGTCCACGGGTTCCATGAAAGTGATGCCGGGCGACGATAAGAAGAAGAGCATGACGTCGGCGTCGGTGTGGTTGAGTTGCGGGATGGGTGTAAACATGGAGAAAGTATCGGTTATGTAGGGTGTTCCGGAGTATGTTTTAAGGACGCTGTGAGTGTCAGCGAGGTCTGGGATTGGGTGTTAATGGAAGTGAAGCTTACTTGATCCCATAGTCCGCCCGTGGCCTTGACCTCCATGGTCGGTAAGTGCTCTTGTTGAAGATGTCGAATTCCGATCCCAGCATAGGCATCTCCTGGGTATAGTTTGCGCGAGAATTCAGAGGCCCATAGTAGTACCTCATCGTCTCCACATCAGTGTCGTTCGCCTTGAACGGAGCACTGAAACCTTCCGTAACTATAGGCGCACAGTGGTGAACCAGTCGCATCTGGAAGCGGTCTTCCGGGACGGAGTTGAGGCCAAGATCCGAGTGACTGTCGAGGAAGCCCGTGTCGACAATGAGGTTCTCCGTCTGTGACTTGCACATTTCACTGTCGAACGGACAGCTCGCATTCGTCGTGACCGTCGTCTTCAGCTTCGGCCGGAGATAGGGGAAGCAGTCTTCTTGTCCAGCTGTTACGTTCCCATAGTAGCACTGAAGGGCGTAATTCGCATATGTGGTAACGCGCTTCCACTGAAGAGGGCTAAACAGATTGACATAGCCATCCCAATCTTCCACGTCGTTCCCCTCTAGTGGACCGCAGTTGTCCCCTTTAAGCAGGACTTCGTTCGCAGTGTCCGTGGTTATTTGCGATGAAAAAATTCCTGCCACACCGAAGGAGACCGAGACGACGATGGCGAAAGTAATGATGGCGAACAACCGGGGAAATGGTTTCCGAAAGCGCGCAGGCACACGCCAGCCCCATACGACGTGCCCGAGGCTCCATGCTGCATCCTGTGCTGCGGCGCTGTTGCGTAATATGGCCTGGAGCTGGTGATATATTCCGTCTTGTGGTGTCGGGTTTGATAGCAATCGGTGCAGGACGAAGCACGCGATCCTCCAGAAACTTTTTCCCGTAGCTCCAATGAAGATGGCGAGGAAGGCAACGAGGAGACCTCCATTGCGACGCGTGAGCGTCAGTGTCGCACCCTCAATCTTGCCATAGGACCAGTTCGTCCAGAATCCCAAGTGGACATGATACGTCTCAGCGAGGCTCATGATGGGAATTCCTCCCCACGCTGGCGGGAAGGATGACGAAGTGGGGCGGATGGGCGGGAAGGAACACTAAGGGTATGATCATGGATCCTGAACCCATCATAAGGGAGTTCTCAAGTGCTGGGGAACCCAAAATCCAAGAGTCTTGGTAGACCCCCCTCAAATTCATGGCTGAAGGCCCAGAAGCGGCTCATATGCAGTGCTTAGTGTGATGGACAGATTGGCATCGTTCAAGAGCTGAAAAGGCCTCTCCTAGACCTCGTCAAGGTTCGAGAAATGGGGGGCCAGGATAAAGATAGCTGGTCTTTGCGAACCGTGGTCCGCGCGTACGACTCCAAATGCAGAGATGATGGATTATTATCCGGCCAATGGGAAGTCCTGGCGCTTTAGCATGAGTCGTCCCATAACCCACCAAACCGACAGCATCCATACATAGTATGTTCTTGAGAACGGCCGTAAGACGCAAGAATAGAATGCGTGTAGCTGGTGATAAACGAAATGTGATGTGCCATTGGTTCGCAAAAGTAGCCGTCCATATGGGGAGAAAAGAGTTTCAAGAGAGCATTAATAGAAGGGGTTTTCGCCGACCAAGTGGCAGAGTATGCAGGTCAGCATCGGCATTCTCAAAATAAGCACAGAGACAACGATAATGGTGCGAACAAGATAGATGGGCGTCGTTGAAGTGCCCATCGTTGCGAAGAGCAGGTTCGGTTCGAAGGTTTCCCATTCTAAGGCTAAGAGCCGACTACACTGTACTGTGTATAAAGTAGTCTAGACTACAGCGAGGTAACAGTAAAAGACCGCCGGAGCAGGGTCCATAAAGTAGGTGCCCTGTCTCTGACTTCATAGTTTACTTGCGTTCGGTGTGCATGAACCAGTTGACATTGGTTGATATGGCACTGAAGATCTATCTTGCACTCGCTATTCGCAGGTCCCATGTACATACCTACCATGTCCACCTCATTCTGTACACATGTCCATCGTCTCCAGACAAGCAATACTCCTCAATGAGTTGCATCATGCTGGTTGGCAGGCAGCCGATTCTCCTTATTCTCCAAACCCTCCACTCCGCCTCCCAAATCGCTGTCGCCATCCCGAATCTGCGTTTCGTCTCTGTCGTCCCTATCCGTCTGGGAATCTCCGTCTTCGACTTTCCCGTCTTCAATCGCACCCTCCGTACTTCCATCATCTCCTCCAATACCCTGCACCTCGCTACCGCCACTCTGCTCTTCTATTCCAGCACGTACTCCTCCAACCGTAACCTCACCCTCCACATCCTTCAAACTTTTCCCGTCCAACCCCCTCCTCCTCACCGCTGTAGGCGTACCACAAATCCCTTTTGTTCCCCGAGCGCCCATCGAACCCTGACCGACATATCCCCTCCACCCACGCCCCCACCTCCTCTCCAGAAGCTCACTCACCTTCTGCCCGCCCGGCGTAACCGCCACACCTCTAGCCGCATACTCGAGCAGATGATCATCGATAGCACGGTCGAGCGACGCGAGGACTGAGCGGGAGGGCGTGAAGGGCGTGGGCGGGGAGTGTCTTTTGCGGTTGCGGTGTCTCGGGGCCGGTGTAACGGGGTTCAGGGACGAGGTTTTGGGGTCCCTGAGGGTTGGTGGGTTAGTGTTGATGGGTGAGGGCGGAGGGCTGCGCTTGGGATTGCGGTTAGGGTCGGGTTCGGGGGTAAATGTGTTGGTGATCCAGCGTGGAGGACTGCCGGGGGGAGTTGTAACTTCTTGAGCGTGTTCATCCTTCTTGGTCTTCCCGTCCTTCCCATTCCTCTCATCTTTGCCAAGTTTCCCATCTCCCCCATCTCCCCCATCCTTCCCACCCGCCTCCTCCGAACCCACATACGCCGAAAGACCAGACAGTCGTGTCCGCCCCGCCCGCGCACCCGGCTTAACCCTCGCAGGCGAATTCCACTCCTCCACCATCCGCGCAATACTGATCGCATCCGTCACCCGCGCCTCAATTTTCTCCTCCTGCCCCCTCGCCACCGGCCGCGGCACAAAGGCCTCATAAACAGTTCGATTTCCATTCCAACGCAACTCCGACCTCCAATCCTTCGCCTTGTAATCCCCGCGTCTCTCTTCTCGCCTCGGTAGCGGAGAAGAAATGTCAATCCGGGACGGCTTCATCGGTTCCTCCGCCATGTCTATCCCATTGACCGATTTGCGGCCGTCCCACCTAGGAGTGATTTTCTGCTTCCACTTGCCATCCACGAATTTGGTTTCCGGCTCGACGGGCCTGTGAATGTATCCTCTCATCGGCGCGGGCTTCGTGGAAGCGGGAGTGTTATCCGTTCTACTAGCCTTGACAGGAGTGTCAAACAAGGACGGTGAACGCTTCGTCCCGAACGTCTGCGTCTGTCTGCCCGTTATTGACGTCGCTGACGGTCGTGTAGCCGTCTCGTCGCGCTGGAAGTGAGATAGCGAGCGCCACATCTGCGTTAGTGGTTCTCCGGGCATCTGCTCATCTGTCTCGCCCTTCTTACTTCCCTCCTCCATCTCCTCCTCTTCCGCCATCTCCTCATTCACAACCGGAACATCCAACCGCAGACTCCCACGCAGCGCACAACGCCCCTTTGCCGTACCCGCCAAACCCGCGCTGGACCTATCCATCTCACTCGTGGGTCGGAGTACACGCCTGATTAAATCATCCCCACCAGCGCTCTTGCTCGTGACCTTGTTAGTCTCCGTCTTGCCATCGTACGCTGCTCTCGCTATCGCAAGACTGGTGAATGCCCCGAAACTGCCTGTAGGAGATGGTGGAAATAATAGCGGTGCATAACTGGGAAGGGGACCGAGGGTGTAGCGATACGTATCCCTCAGCCGCTGCATCTCCGTCTCGATAGCCTCCCTCGTCCCCAGGGATGTGCCAAGGACGCTTTTGCGCAGAGCGCGATAGTCTTCGTAAGACGTGCGGGTGGAGGGCGAACGGGTAGTGCGAGAGCGGACGTGAGGTGCTGGATTCGGCATCTTCGGGTGTTGTGCAGCACGTCCTATGTTGGGCGTGAGGCGAGTATTCGACGTGTGTTGTTTGAGGGAATGCATAGACTGGTTTCCCCATGCAGACGACCGCAGAAGAGGGACATCGTTAGGGTTGAGGCACCCATACCTTGCCTCTCCCGTCGTGGGACCTGGAAACGCGCCAGTGATAGCAGCACTGCCGTGTTTCCTAGGCGACCCCGATACCGACACTGACGCCGACATCGACGGCCTCATGGTACGGCTCAAACTGTGTCCCATGCTCCGATTCGCGATAAGGACTGGAATCCCGGTCTCTCTTCCTCCTCGTTTCCCGCTACCAAGAGTCCGAGCAGGAGCAGGAGTAGAGCGATCCCCATCTAGATCAGCAATACTCATCCGCCTCGCCAAGTCTCGAATCTCGGCCATGGTAGCGCGCACGTCGGCCGTCTCGCGGTCCAAGTCGGGGTAGATGGTGCTATCCTTCTCAATGTCCGGATCCGTGCATGGAACCTGTGAGACTGCGGGCGTCTGCCTCGCAGTGGTGCAGCTTCGTCGGGGTTCTGGTCCTCGCGATTGTGTGTGCATTTGCGGTGCTTTGTGGGGCTGCGGCGTCACTGTTGCGCTTTCTTGACTTGCGGTTGCTGCGGGTGCTGCGGGTGCTGCCGGATGAGGAGGAAGAGGAAGAGGGACAGCGCGAGGAAGGGAGGGATCGAGCGGTGCCGACATCGCTACCCTGAGTTGATCGAGTTTGGCTCCGTCGTGTTGGCAGGAATACTGTAAATTGAGGAGCGGTGTAGTGCTAATGACGAGTGTGAAAGGGGTGCGTATGCTTTGGTGACGGCGCCGTGCCGCTACCTTCGCTACCTTGATATCTTCCCTCGAAATGGCAGAGCCGTTGGACCGGTGGAGCGAGCTTGGAAAAGCTGTTTTGTGCCGAGCGAGGTTTGAAAGTTGTGTGTTGTGTGTGACGCTGTTGATCTGTTGTCGTGGAAGGTAAACATAGAGGAAGAGAGGAAGAAAGCGAGGGAAAAACATGAAGAGTCTTGGCTCGGGTGCGAGTGAGGCCATATTTCTTCCTGCTTTCACTCGCATCCAGTGTGCGCGTGAAGGTTCTCAAGAATAACTTTCCCCTCCCCGATATTCGCCAGTGAAAGATAGGGAAGTGAAGTGGGTGGAGACCTCTCATCGAGAAACCTATCTACCTCCACAACCGAAGGAAGGAAAAAAGGAACGAAAAGGACAAGCCTTCCATGACGCCAGCAAGTAGCAAATTCACGTTATCGGGGAATCTGGCGCCGATACTCAGCAAAGTACAATCCATATTCACAATCTCCAAACAGAGTTCACATACCTCGTCCCCAAAACACAGCGCAAAATCAACACCGTACTTCCCCACACCCACGACGGCCCAAATCACCAATACCGTTAAGAAGATTCTTAGTTTATTTCGGATATATGGATCGGATATGTACACACATGCTCTATCCCAGCGCTTCACTGTTCCTCCCAACAAACTCTCGTCAAATCAACACCAATGCCAACACACCTATAGAAAGACAGAGATGCACGCCCGGGGTCCAAGGAGCCCTGTATTTACAACCCCACGGGCGTGCAAGATGCAGAGGAAGCGGACACGCGCCACATAGGTGTTCATATATCTTCAGCGTTTACGGTATATGAGCGTCATTCGTTAGTATGTGCAATCGAACGCTTTGCAGAAGTTGGGGAAATGAATGTAACAGACACGTCGAGACTTCAAATCCAAGCTTGAACTCATAGCTTCTCCTTCAAGCTAGCCTTGAGCCTCCGCTCAACCGCCTCCAGGTACTCGTTGGTCGTGACCCAGGCGGCGCGGTCCTTGCGACCGGTGGCGAGAGCCAGATCCTTGGTCATGATGCCGTCGACGTCAACCGTATCGATGCATGCCTTCTCCAGCTGCTCGGCGAAGACGACAAGCTCGGGGGTGCCGTCGAGCTCGCCTCGCTTGGCGAGACCCTGGGTCCAGGCGAAGATGGAGGCGATGGGGTTGGTCGACGTCTCCTTGCCCTTCTGGTACTCGCGGTAGTGGCGGGTGACGGTGCCGTGGGCTGCCTCGGCCTCGAACGTCTTGCCGTCGGGGGTGACGAGGACAGAGGTCATGAGGCCGAGGGAGCCGAAACCCTGGGCGACAATGTCGGACTGGACATCACCGTCGTAGTCTGGGGGAAACTGTTAGAGGAGAAGATGTATATGGGGGATAACAAAACATACTCTTCATGGCAATGATCATGCCGCCCTCGCTCTTGATCATCTGGGCGACCATGTCGTCGATAAGACGGTGCTCATACCAGATCCCTGCAGCCTCGAAGTCCTTCTTGTACTGGCTCTCGTAGATCTCCTGGAAGATGTCCTTGAAACGGCCGTCGTAGGCCTTGAGGATGGTGTTCTTGGTGCTCATGTACAGAGGGAGCTTCTTGTCCAGGGCGAGCTTGAAGCTGGCGTGGGCGAAGCCCTCAATGGACTCGGTGGTGTTGTACTGGGTCTGGGCGACACCGCCGCTAGCGGGGAAGTTGAAGACCTCGATGCTCTCGGGTTTGCCGCCCTTGGGGGTGAAGACCATCTCGAGCTTGCCCTCGCCGGGAATGACACGGTCCTTTGCGCGGTACTGGTCGCCGAAGGCGTGGCGGCCAATGATGATGGGTGCCTTCCATCCGGGTACTAGGCGGGGGATGCGAGGAATCACAATGGGAGCGCGGAAAACTGTGCCGCCGAGCACGTTCCTGATGGTGCCGTTGGGCGAGAGCCACACTGCCTTTGTCAGCACTCCTCCGTCACATTTCCAAGTTTTCCGTTGCTTATTCACGCACTCTTCTTGAGCTTGAACTCCTCGACGCGGGCCTCGTCAGGGGTGATGGTTGCGCACTTGACACCGACCGAGTACTTCTTGATGGCCTCAGCAGCGTCCAAAGTGACCTGGTCATTGGTCTCATCGCGGTACTCCAAACCCTGCGTATGCCGTCAGCCCAAGCCTCCCACCAGAATATACATGTGTATATGCGTACCAAGTCGTAGTACTTGAGCTCGATGTCGAGATAGGGATGAATGAACCTGTCCTTGATCTCCTTCCAAATGATGCGAGTCATCTCATCGCCGTCCAACTCCACCACCGGGTTCTTGACCTGGATCTTCTTGATTCCGGTTGAGTTCGTCATGTTTCTGACTTGTCCGAAGGTGCGGTTCGAGGTATAGGCAAGCGGAGCAGCGAATGTGGATGGTTGGATGCGTCGAGCAGCGAGAGTCAATCCAGAGATGGATCGCGAGGTAGCGAGGGGAGCAGCGGCCGGGGACCGGGTGGCAGAAGCAAAGGCGCGAGAGGGATGTCTCGAAAGACGAGAGAGGGTCGTGGGCAAAGTAGTGGCCCTCATGGTGGACATCAAGGCCGAGCGGAAAGATGTATTAGAGTAGGATAACCTCGGAATTGGCGGTGGCGCGAGGAAGAGACAAGGCACGCCAGGCACGGCAAGGAAGGTCGCAATAATTCTCGGCCGCGGGCGGAGTAGTGCGAGGGAAGAGAAACTCTGGGCGCAAAAAGCGTGGCGTCGCAGAGTGGAGTGTACTGTGTAGACGACGAGTCGCAAACGGGCTCAGTTTGCCGGTTGTGGGCCTTTGGATGGGGCCCTGCGTGAGGAACCGGCGGGGTAAGGGAACCCGAGGCTGGCAGTAGATGGGCGGCGGCGCGGCGAAGCGGCAGCTGGCAGCACGGCTCTGTCAATAAGGATTTGAGAGAGAAAGGACGTGTGTGTTGAGAAGTTCTGCACACGGTGGAGGGTGAATGTGCAATGAGGCCCTCCATAAGGCTATACGGCTAATTCGCATCTATCCCTCTGTGCGCAGTGACCTCGTTTGATTATGGCCACCCCCGGGGGATCTGTCTAGCCGCATGCAACAAGAAGCGAAGCTGTGTCCGCTGCGGTGCCAGGGCCGCCATCTTGGAGGGCTGGTCTCTGTGTGAAGGAGGGAGGGTTGCAGGTGTTGCACTGTGGTGGCTGCGGGGCGTGGGATGGCTGCGGAGTTTAAACCGTGGGGGAAGGGACGAAGTGAAAGTGGGACGACGAGCTCGGTACAAGCTACAGTATTTACCAGCGAGCTTGCTTTCCTATAAATGCTTCGACTCGTGTTCCAGCGCACCGCCAACCATCTGTTAGTCCGATGTGTGACAATGTTTTGCTGGTTTGTGAGTATGCGGAGAATTGAACGAGGGATTGCGATTGGACTGCCCTCGGGTGCGAGCTGATGGCAGCGTCGTGCACAGCATCGTATCCTCCCATGTCTCCGGATTGCTCCGCTTCGAGACCGTGTTCCAGTGATCCATGCCATCATCGCTACTCCATCTGTGCCTTTAATTCGGCATCATCACTGGAGGGGACGGACACGCTGGCGGGCCTTCACTTGGCTCGTCGGGAGGAGCTGGCCTCGCTCCCTTCACCACTTCCGCCTTCACGAACACGGGAATAACTCCTCCTGTCTCGAGGCCAAACTCTCGATGCCCGATCGCATCCAGGATGCTGCGAATGGCTCCCGAATGGCTGGTAAAGGACAGGAACACCCCGTCGTCGTGGGCAAAGACGTCGTCGAGCAGCTTGGCAAGGCGGTGCTTGCGCGCCTTTCTGGGCTCGCGGAAGTTGGAGGTCCACAGGGGGTCCTCTTCGGAGAAACCAGACTCCAGACTCACATGAGGGAAGGCATGTTGGATCTCAGAGGCGCTTCTCCGTCGATCGCACGTGTGCACTCCGATGGCCTCACGGAGAAGCTGCTCATGTCAGTTCCCTGCACCGAAAGCTGTACATATGAAAATGGCCTACCTCTTTGATAATTGGTTTGTACGGCTTGCCGTTAGGCAGTTCAAGTCCCTTGAAACTGATGTCGGCCGTCTCGATGGCCCTCGTCAAGGGGCTCACATAGTAGCTCTCTGGGGCTGGAATGTCCGGTAGCAGTGACTGCCAGAGCTGGCGAACATCCTGGGCCTGTGCATGGCCTATCTCTGTCAGATGGGCATCGGACCAAGTGATGCCATCTGCACCGTCAAGCATCGACCAGTAGCACTGCGGACCTGTTAGATATATGTTTACGCTGGACGTCGGACCGGCGTACTCACATTCCATGCTGCAGTGCCGTATTTGGCTGTCATCCAATATCAGTGCAAGCTTACTCGCCCCTCCCCATGCCTACTTTACCTTCTGCAACGTTGTGCCAGCCCTGCCCGTGTCTCCCTAGAAAGAGCACCTTGAACTGCACACCTAACTCGCTCTTCTCGTTGACATGGCGGACATACCTCTCGAACCGTCGCCAGTGCCCTTTCTTGCCCCCCTCATTCCCGGAGTCGGTTTCGTACTCTCTGTCAATCAATCCAAAGTTCTCTTTCCTCTGTCTGGCATGAGTTTTTGAGAAACTTGAAGGAAGGATATCAACCTACAAAGTCGAACCGGTCGGGGTCGGTGTCCTTCTCCGATTGCAGGAAGTAGCCACCAACGGTCGTATATTTGAAATGGAAGTCTTGTAAGCCTCTCGAAGAGATCTCTGGGACGTGATACATATTGCAAGACAACAGCAGTAGAACTGTGATGGTGAGTGCAGTTCCACTGTAACGCCGTGTCAGTCCCCTTGGCTGCTATTGGACACGGATTGAGCCCATACATGAGTACTCTCTTGATTGTAAACACACGCTGCCTATTCATACCAGTAACATCCTGTATCAGTATGTGGTCCAGGACCAAGGAAATGTGTTTCCAGAAACGTGTGGTGTTGTGGAGGGGCGAGGGAGACAAGTCCATGAGTTGGAGAGTGGGAAGCCCTGCCCCTGCCCCTGCCGAGCCCGCTCCCTCCACCAATGAGCTATCTACGTGCCAGACACAGCAAGAACCAAAACAGAAACGAAGAAGGAGCAGATAAGGTATCTATCATCCAAGTCCTGAGCCCTCTTTCTCATAGCTACCGAAAGGTATCCAGAGAGCTGCGCTTCTCCCTCTTTTTTGAAGACTTTGAAACTTGGACTCTATGCCCGAACCCGCTCGACCCTACCGGAACGCCTTTGCATGCATCGTTGGACAATGAAACGAACAATCACAGATTCGCCTGCGCCTGAGCCTGCGCATACTCGCGCTCCACCTCGTACATGAAGTCAAAGTACGGCTTGTCGAAATGGTGCACGCGCACGTAGCCGTCCTCGCCGCCGCTGCAGTAGCCCGTGCCGGCTGGGTGCACGGCTACGTAGTTCAATGGTCCGAAATGGCCCCTGACACGGCCAATCTCCTCTTGGAAGATCTTGTGGTAGAACCTTGCCTCGAACTTGCCTTGTCTGGCGCTCGTTGTCGTGACATCCATGGCTGCCTGACCACCACCCAGAATGACATAGTCCTTGACCGGTGTGATCGCAGCGCTGTTCAGGGGGGTATCGGCGGTGTACGTCTTGAGCACTTCGAGGCTGTCGGCCGCAAGAATCTGTGTCCAAGATAAGCACAACTCAAGAGCCTATGCGATGCCATGCTCACCTTTGCCGTCTTGTCTTTAGATGCCGTGATGAAGTACGTCCGATCCTGGGACCACTGCAGATCCGTAACTGGCCGCAATTAGCAATACTGCTTTTCCTGCCTTCCCTGATTATGACGACATACCCTGCATATCCTCCTCGTGCGCTTGGGTGTTGAAGAGCAACTCTCCGGTCTTGGCGTCGAACTGCGAGACTGAGCCATCTTCGTGGCCCGCAATGATGTAGCGCGCCAAATAGCTGAAGCCGGCGACGGTGGCCTTGCTATCTTCGCAGACTATCCGCAGGCTGTGCTCCTTTGACTGCTTGGCTGCGGGGTCGGGGTTGATATCGAAAACAACAATGGTACCCAGGTGGCCTGACCGCTTCTCCGTGACACCCAATAGTTGTCTCCCGTCCGGAGAGAATTCCACGCGCTTGACGGCCGTCGGGAAATCCCAAGTCATCAGCAGCTCGCCAGTCTCGACCTTCCATAACCTCATCGTGTTGTCTGCGCCGCCGGTCGCCAAAAGGGTCGAGGTAGGATCGACATCGACAGTCCAGAGCGCACCCTGGTGGCCGTGATATGCTAAACGTAGGAATCAGTATACGTATGTTCCTGTTGCTCCGACTTCCACAAGGACGACTTACTGCCTAACCGTTCACCGTTGTGCGAAACTGTCGCAGATGTCAATCAGTAGGCCAAATTTGACAATATGAAGGGTTACATACACCATGCGCACTGGCTGACATTAGCGGAATCAAAGAGTCACAGAGACGCACCAAACTTACAACTACATGGTCCTTGGACACGGAGAAGATGATGTCGCCATCCGGGCTGTACTTGACCTGGGTGAGCGCGCGCTCGTGGCCGGAAAGAAGGATAGGGCGCATATTGGGCGGATGTATGAGAGGGGAGTGTCGGGAGGGGTGTGGCGGGGGGAACGAGGGTGAATTTCACGATGCTGATATCGAGGCTTGGCGGTTGTGGGAGTGGGCTGCACAATTGCGCTAAGCTGCTTTTGGTCAAGCGGCATGGTTCAAGTCAACTTCAGTTCATCATACTGCACACCTCACATCTGCACCCCGCATGTCGTCGTGCTAGAGACCTTAATAGCGTTGCATCTCTAAAGGTTCTATAATTCATTTGCAATCGGCGTCTCCATCAGGTTGACAATGACCTTCGTAGTCTGTCGCTTCCGAGGCTACGCCTCTATCACCAGTCAGGGACATGTCTATTAACCCGACTTGTCGATTCTCGATATCAGATTCACGATGTGAAGCTCTCAGAGGGTGGAACCAAATGTAGGCCATTGGTTGTGGGCAGCTACGGACGGCTATTTTTATTGCTCCCACCGCCTATTGCTGAATCCGAGGCTGGTGGTGTCCAAGGTCTGAACTGACAGGCTATGTTATGTTGACACTGAAACATGGCTCTTCGTTCTTTCTTCGTGCTTCAACAAGTCCGTTTGCACGTAAGCCTTGGCGCGGATGGGAGCAATCGCATTGGAGTGGTGCTTGCCCAAGGGAAGGAACTCTTCTCTGACTCCACCCACGGCCCACACGCCGACACTCTTCACTATATCTTGTCAAACCTTGACTACACGATGGACGAGCAAACCCAATCTGCACTCGACGGACATCTACAAGTATCTCACAGCAACAACTTGCAGACTCTCCAAAAGCCAGCTGGCAGATACGCTCGTGCGATCCGCAAAGGTCGACCACGACCCAGCGACACTTGGGATGTAAAGTTTGCCAAAAACGATATCGTCGAGATTCTCGAAGACCTCGGGAGAGATTGGTATTACTTGCGGAAAGAGAAGAATGGGACAAAGGGAACTGCCCACGGATCCTGGCTCGATTTCACGTACCAAGCCTTCCAGACATTCCAGCAAGACAGCGACAAGCTTTTCAGCAGAAAGGATAACTCGACATTTATCACGCTGCCACCAGTGATGTACTTCTGTCAAGAGATCAAATGCAAAGAGGAGAAGAGGGACGACAATAAACCGGATTTCTGCAACCATGAGCTGGAGAAGCTCCTTCGAAGGTCGGGTAATTATTCATGCAAGCTACTCCGGCAGCAACGGATCAAATGGCATCCGGATCAGTTTGCGAAGTACTGTCGAGAGGACTGCCGTGAAGTCCTGACCCGGAAAGCGGACAGCCTGTGTGCAATGCTGGGCAGCCTTCTGGCGAAAGAGAAGGAGAAGGGGCAATCTAAATGACACCTACCGGCTGGAAGATTTTGGTCTTTTGTGCCTGGATTGCATCCACTCGTGGAAATGAAGTCGCTGGAATCCTCGAGGCTTGTGGTCACCTGTACTTGATCGATAGAGACGGCCTGTTCTTCTATGCCCGAGTTGCAATGCCTCTCGCCTTTACGTATTTGAAGGAAACTAGCTACAAGGTTCTGTGGGTCACCTCTTATACACAATATATCCGAGATGGTGCTGATGTACTGTGTAATAGTGGTGGGTTATCAACGTTGGGTAACGTAGTCAACGGTTAATGGTTGCTAACCGTTAGTAACGTTACTAACCCTTCCTAACCGCTAACGTATCTAGGCTACCTTAATCTAGAACGCTAAGCCTATAGAAGCCTTAGCTAAGGTTATCCTATAAGCGCTAACGTTTATTTTAGTCTAGGCTGCCTACACTAGTACTATATTAGGACTAGATTTGCTAACACGTGCTCTGTTTACAAAGGTTAGCAACAAAATATCCTATATAAACACGTTATTAACTAAACCGTTGCTAACGTTGTAACCGTTTATTAAACCCAACCCATCACTGCTGTGTATAGACCGTGGATATTAGTACATAATAAAAGTACACTAGTCCCAATCAGGCTTAAGCACAACCGTGCGTTCTCAACTCTTTTTTTGTTGCCCTCTATCAGAGTTCCATCTGATTCAGACTTCACTCGCAAATCGACGCTTTGGCGCTACTTCAAATACATGACAGACTTCCTGGTCCCCGATGAGACAAAGACCGGTGACAATACAACAAGTGCTGAGTGCAATCCGGCCAATTCGAACTGTTCTTGCATGCCCCAAAGACACAACAATGCTTCGGCAGAAGGCGTGATTGCAAGCCGGCGGTTCCCTTGCTCTCTGATGGCTAGATGGGCTTTGTTTGACTCATCGTTGAACGTTTGAAATGCTTCATCATCGACCTTTCCGGTGCCTCCACCAGCAGACGTTCTGTCCCTGCGGCGCTTTTTGGCCTACCGGTTTGCTCCGATGCTCTCCCGCCTTGCATGCGGGCCGCCCAGGGTGAGAGCTGGAGCGTCAGCTACCCCGCGTACCCAACATTATTATTCTTATTGCTTCTCTCTTCTGCTGCCCTCCCCTCGACAACAACAACGACGATTCTTCTCCGCCTCCCAGCTCCTCATGACGGCGACCAAGATTGATGGCACTGCCATCGCCCGCAGCATCCGCGAGCGTCTGGGGGCTCAGATCAAGCAGCGCCAGGAGACAAATCCTCGCTATCGCCCGTCATTGAGGATCGTGCAGGGTGAGTGATGCATTCGACACGAGATGAGAAATGATATATATTGACCTCCATCTAGTGGGCGACAGGTCCGATTCGAGTATGTAAAACAGTCGATCGTCCAGTCGCCAGTCTTTGGGCCGCTGCAGTCTTTGACAACCCTGCAGGTACCTATGTGCGCATGAAGCTCAAGGCCGCTCATGAGGTGAGCTACTCCCACCCGTTACCCTTCCTTGATGCCCATCCCTCCTATGCAGGATTGCTGACTGTTGCCTTGCCTGCAGGCCAACATCGACTGCGAGCTCCTCCATCTCCCCGAGGACGTGTCCGAGGCCGAGCTGCTCCAGAAAATCGACTCCTTCAACAACAACCCCGACGTCCATGGCATTCTCGTCCAGCTACCCCTCCCTAAGCACATCTCCGAGCACACTATAACGTCAGCTGTTGCCGACGACAAAGATGTAGACGGCTTCGGCATCACGAGCATTGGCGAGCTGGCCAAGCGTGGCGGCCGTCCGCTCTTCACACCGTGCACACCCAAGGGCGTCATGGTTCTCCTCAAGGAGGCCGGTGTTGACTTGAAGGGAAAGAATGCGGTCGTGTTGGGAAGGAGTGATATTGTCGGCAGTCCCGTCAGCTATCTTCTGAAGAACGCCGATGCAACCGTCACAGTATGCCACTCCAAGACGGTCAATCTTCCCGAGATCGTCAAACAAGCGGACGTTGTGGTGGCAGCTATCGGCCATCCTGCCTTTGTCAAGGGTGACTGGATCAAACCCGGTGCAGTGGTCATCGATGTCGGCACGAACTACATCCCCGATGCAAGCAAAAAGTCGGGCCAGAGACTCGTTGGCGACGTCGAGTTTGAGGCCGCAGCAGAGGTCGCCTCACAGATCACGCCTGTGCCTGGAGGTGTAGGACCAATGACTGTCGCCATGCTCCTGCAGAATGTCGTCGATTCTGCAGATGCTGCATTTGAGAGGCTAAAAACGAGGCGTATCCACCCCTTGCCGCTTAAGCTGCAAGGTCCAGTCCCGTCAGATATTGCTGTCTCGCGAAGCCAACACCCTAAACCTATCACGTCTGTGGCTTCGGAGGTTGGGATCCTCCCTCACGAGCTGGAACAATATGGTGCCACCAAGGCCAAGGTTGATCTGAAACTTCTAAAGAGATTAGAACACCGCCGAAATGGCCGGTACATTCTGATCGCAGGCATAACTCCCACTCCACTCGGTGAAGGTAAATCGACGACGACTGTGGGTCTGGCGCAAGCCCTGGGCGCTCATCTTGGAAAGATCTGCTTCGCAAATGTGAGGCAACCCAGTATGGGCCCGACCTTTGGCATCAAAGGTGGCGCTGCAGGTGGTGGTTACAGTCAGGTCATCCCCATGGATGAGTTCAACCTGCATCTCACTGGCGATATTCATGCCATCACGGCCGCAAATAACTTGCTCGCCGCTGCCATCGAAACACGCATGTTTCACGAAAACACACAGAAGGATGGCGCGCTCTACCGAAGGTTGGTGCCAGAAAAGAAGGGAAAGAGGGAATTTGCCCCCATTATGTTTCGCCGCTTGAAGAAACTAGGAATAGACAAAACAGACCCCAACGAACTCACTGAAGATGAGATCCGCCGATTTGCGAGACTAGATATCGACCCGGATACCATCACATGGCGCCGCGTGCTTGACGTGAACGATCGCCATCTGCGCCAGATCACGGTCGGAAGAGCGCCGACCGAGAAGGGCCACACTCGTGAAACCGGCTTCGATATCTCTGTCGCAAGCGAGTGCATGGCCATTCTCGCACTCAGCAACGATCTTGCAGATCTGCGTGAGCGGTTAGGCCGCATGGTAGTTGCCAGTTCGCGCAGCGGGGATCCCGTGACATGCGACGATATTGGCGCAGGTGGCGCGTTGACCGCGCTACTCAAAGATGCCATCAAACCGAACCTGATGCAGACTCTGGAGGGAACCCCTGTTTTCGTCCACGCAGGCCCCTTCGCGAACATTAGTATTGGAGCGTCGTCGGTCCTAGCGGATAAGTTGGCCCTCAAGTTGGCGGGCACGGAACCCGACGAGGACCATGACGAAAAGACAGGATATGTCGTCACCGAAGCCGGCTTTGACTTTACAATGGGCGGAGAGCGCTTCTTCAACATCAAGTGCCGCTCCTCCGGCCTTGTTCCCGACACGGTCGTCATCGTCGCAACTGTACGCGCGTTGAAGGTGCACGGCGGCGGCCCAGATATTGCGCCTGGTGCGCAGCTGCAAGAAGTCTACCGAACCGAGAATATCGACCTCCTCCGAAAAGGCTGTGTCAATCTGAAGAAGCACATCCAGAACGCGAAACAGTTCGGCGTGCCTGTTGTCGTGGCCATCAACCGCTTCTCAACCGACACGCAGGCCGAGATCGACGTAATCAAGGAGGAGGCACTCGCTGCTGGTGCAGAAGATGCCATCCCAGCCAACCACTGGGCCGAAGGCGGCAAAGGTGCTGTGGACCTGGCCAAGGGGGTCATCGCCGCAAGTGCCAAGCCCAAGCCCGACTTCAAACTTCTGTACGAATTGGACGGGACTGTACAGGACCGTATCGAGAAGATTGGCAAGGTCATGTACGGCGCAGACAAGGTCGAGTTTTCCGCCCTTGCCCAGAAGAAAGTGGATACGTATGTCAAGCAGGGTTTCGGGAATCTGCCTATCTGCGTCGCAAAGACTCAATACTCTCTCAGCCACGATCCGGCATTGAAGGGTGCGCCGACGGGGTTCACGGTCCCCATTCGCGACGTGAGAATGGCGGCCGGCGCTGGCTACTTGTATGCTCTAGCGGCGGACATTCAGACCATCCCTGGTCTACCCACCGCCCCGGGATATCTCCATGTCGATGTGGACACCGAAACTGGCGAGATTGACGGTTTATTCTAGACGTCACCCTGTTGGGTGCACTACGGCGTTGTTGGGATTCATGCAGATGGCAGTTTCGACTCCCCGACTTAGAGGTTCATTCAACATTCGACAAGCATGGCGAAATGGTATTTTTCAACATTGGCGAAGTCACACTTCGGAGCTCTGCTTAGAGAGATCATCCCGATTCTATATTTCACATAGAGATTTCCAACTTCAGGCAGCGAATCAGCATTTGTTAGAGCGGGCATGACCCTAAAATAGAGACGATCCTCGCGTCAGCCTGCATTTCTGTCTAAACAGTACTCCCGCACGCGAAGGATTGGTTTGATCGACTCTGCTACCCGTTGGTTTCTGGTAGATGGATGCAACAGGTATGCGAACTCAATCCTTTGCTGCTCCATCCTCAGTTCGCACTTCTCGTATACCGAGGAACCCCTCGCGCAGCATTCGCCTCTGTTAGGCCGATGAGAGATGGTACTAATATCCGCCCGTTGTCCGTACGATAAACTTACCTTCGCCGCGCGCAGCAGCGGGCGCAGTTCGGCGAGGTACCATCAGCAACCGCTTCACGGCACATTCGCTTGCTCCTCTTGCAAGCTTGCCAGGGAACTTTCAATAATCCGCATCTGACCAGTCATGCATCCGCTGCAATCCACTCCCTTCTCCAGTCTATGCGAACGGTCGGGGAACGCACCTGTGGTCGTCTGCAAAGCGGGTTCCTTGCATCATCACCAGTCCCAAGCCCAGGCCGCTGACGATAAACGCGGCGCAGAAGGCAAACGATTCAGGAAAGGGTAATAGGTGAGAGGCGAAGGATCTGAGACCGTGGAGGCCCTGATAGAATGTCGTGCGAATAGCGGCAAACTGGCCAGTGGGGATTGCGTTCCCCAGCAGTTGACCATGCTATTTTCGCCTAGCGCGGTGTATAATTGCACCTCATCCCATCAATCTCGAACGGACTACGCCTCCCATCCACCCCGTTACGCCCCGTCCATTCTGTCTCACGGCCATCCTTTGCCAGGCGATAGTCTAGGGCACCAGCTAGACCCTTAGGCTGACTCTACTTCATGTTCTATATCCCTCCGATTTGGAATGTAGCGCTCTCTGCGAACTGCGGCTTCCGCCTTCTGGGGTACCGCTCCTCCACAAATATCTGAGTACCACTCTGGAAATAGATGCATACCTGCGCGTGTTTCAATGCGGCACGCCTGGGATCCCTACGAACTGCCAACGGTGCCGCAGTCCATCTCCAGGCACAATTCCGTGCCATCGCTAGGGCGGCATTCAAAATGGGCCAGCCACGGACTCGGGAACTTGAAACAAGAAACAATAAGTGGGGTCCTGCCCGGTCTGCAGTAAATCGCTTTCTCCATGGGTTTGGTTTATTCGACTCGTACCAACCGTCACTCGATTGACTTCTCCAAACAAAATGGCGCCAGTCACTGTGAAACATTGCCGTTCACAGGTCGATGGCCTACTAAGCCGGCCAGGGTCGGTTTTGCTTTGCCCTACGCCTGCACTCAGTCATCAAAATAGGGCCCGGCCATCTTATGGCGGCCACCGCGCCACAGGGCCAAAACTAACCTTCCACCACAAAGGCCATGGACAGGATTAATTCGCCCTCATCACAGGTGCATTTGAATCCATCTACGCACGCCACATAGTTCCATCCTTCAACACCACCGTAAAGATGCCGTCCTAAAGCACTAGCGTATGCCGAAGGCCACCCATCTATCTCAGGCTCCTTTCCTGTCTTGAATCGGCACAGGTCCTGGCACCACCCTGTCACCCTGTCTGTATCTTACCTGGTTCATCCACTTCTGTGCCCCACAGAACGATAGCAGTGCCGCCTACATGGGCATCAGCGATGTCCATGTTGAGGTGAGCTCAGGTATGAGTCTACACTTCATAGGGACTCAGACCCTGGCATCTGTGTTTTGCCCTTGGATGGACTGTCTCAGACTATGCTATCTTCTGTTGTTTCGTTTCGAACTCTCCGATCTTGTAGGATTGCAGGAGCGATCGTTGCCCTGCATCCATACCCCGCCTAGCAGTTGACCCGCATTGAACTCTGCTGTCGTACGGACTCCACGTGATCGGCGTCGCGTTCTCCAGTCTGAAGCCAAAGTCACGGCGGCTAATTGGATGGTTAGATCTAAATGCGAGCAAAGGGTACCTAAGATGGTCTAATCTGAGTATAGACTGGTCACGGGCGGACTGAGGCGTCGTGCTTCCAACCGACGCGGGCTTAGCCAGCTCCATCTCGCCCGCAAGATGCAACTCTGTTCTCAACCATCTTTTTCTACGCCTCTCAGGGACCAAGGATTCGAGCAACGCCTCCAACACCATTCTGTTCATCCATCCTCAACAGCGCCTCGTGGCAGGGATCAGAGGCAGGGTGATGTCTCCCGTGATGATGGCCTTTCGGAAGTGCTAAAACTATGCCTCACTCACGGACTTGGGCGGCTGTATAAATCCAGGACGCCTTTTCTTCCTCTTAAACTGCTCAAATCATCCTCAGGGACTGAGTTCGCCCGATCTTCTGGACACTTTTCGATTCCTTCAATCGCCCACGTCGTTCTCCCTATAACTCTGTCCTCTTCCGTCTTCTATTCTTGCGTGTGGACAGCGAAGCACATCCATCTTGTTCGCCTGGCTTTCCTCTCCCTTCATGGTCGGTTCATCGCCTGAGAAGAAGATTCCTCTCGTTGCGGCAATCTTCCTCCTGTTCCTCCTGCTGGCCCACGGCGTCGTTGCTACTTCTTTGAATAACCCGGACGACGTGGCGAATTCGCTGCGTTTCAAGAAAGAAGCATGCAAGGTATACAACAATTGTCCCCCTTCCCCGCAGCGGAGGGTGCTGGACAGTCTTCCTTTGAGCAGGAGGGAGTCGAGGTCACGGCGGGCCCGGAGGCCAACGTCGGCGGAGTGAATGGAATACAGATACGGAATGACAATGAAGCGAATGGTATGTCATCTCTTAACGAATTGGGGATAAGTATGCTAAAGCTCCCCTAGCTTCCCACAAACCCTCGCACAAAACCTCCAAGGTGGAGAAGCGCACCAGAAGACCGATGCCTTCCATCCCAGGTCTCTACCTCCACCCCCTCCCTACCATCGAAACCCTCATGACCTACCCTTCTCTCACCCAACCTGTCTACCACAGCCTCCTCCGCGGCGAACCGCCAGCCCGCTCATACCGGACCGTCATCCACACCCCTAAGCCGCGAGATATGCGCGTCCTCGACGAGAATCTGCTCCGTTCTTCAGAAGTATCGGCCGCCAGAAGGAGGGCGAGAGCGAGTTCAGGGCCTAGATCGAGGTCCAGCACGGGGTCCTCGTCCACAGACAGTTCGGCGACTCTGTACTCGGCTGCTAGCTCCTTCACTACGGTTGTGGGATCTGAATCTAGTGTTTCCGATGTGGAGATCACGGAGCCGTCCAGTCCGGCGGGAAGCGTCTCGTCAACGAGTAAAGCTACGATTGCTTCTTCTCGCGCTCACTCTCGGTCTCCATCTCCGTCTGCTTCACCGTCGCAGCAGTATGCAGTTTTCCCGAGTTTGATGGCGCAGGATGCCACGCAGCCCGGGCAACCGGCCAAACCGGTCCTTGCCCCTGTGGCGCTGTCGCCCGTGTCGTCGTCTGTGGAGAGTGGGTTTTTGAGCATGTATGAGGACGCGGCTGGGGGGAGGGATGAGTTTGTTCAGAGTGTCAAGGTCAACGAGCAGGCACAGGCACAGGCACAGGCACAGGCACAGGCACAGGCACAGGCACAGGCACAGGCGCAATCTCAAACACGGACGAACACACAAACTTTGGAGTGGGTATGCAGTGTACAGAGCCACGACGAAGAAAACGAAACAAACACCATCGATCATGTCACTCATGGTGCCAGCGACTACGCCAACAACACGGACAGCAATAGCAACACCAATACCCCGTCTACTCGCTCCTCAGCACCCAGCCCGTCCTCCTCCGCATACCCCAGCCCACCCTCGAGCCCGGACCTGGAAGCTTCACGGCGCTCGAGTCCCTCCAGTGGAGAGGAGTACATGATGTATCCTTCGCCGCCGGCGTCGCCTGTACCCGTACCGCAGCATCAGGGTACGGTATCTCTGGGGAATGGAGATAGAGAGTGGAGGAGAAGAAGGGCTTTTTCGTCGCCGTCGCCTGCGCCCGCACCGCCGAAGTTGAGGAGGCGGAGCGCGACGTTGGAGACTGTGGGGTTTGAGTACGGATATGGTGGGTTTGAACTTGGAGAGGAGGAGTTGGGTGGTGGGTCGGTGGGCGAGGGAGATGGGGGGAGTTGGGGTATGGGTATGGGGTTCGGTGGGTGGAGTATGTATGGTGGGAGGATGGTTCTGGATGAGGAGGTGGAGTTGGAGGGTGAGAGGGAAGGGGAGGTGGAGGCGCGAGGGGAAGTGGTATATGGTAGTGCGGGGTTGGCGGTTAGTCCTCGTGCGATGGGAATGGGGGGGAGATGTGGTTGTGGGCATGAGGGGCGGGGGTCGGGTTTGGGGTTGGGGCTGTATGTTATCGAGGAGGAGACGGGGGAGGATGTGGAGGGGTAGTGGGTATGAGGTAGAAGTTATCGGTGATGGCTTTTTCTTTTCTGTTAGATAGGGGGGTGCCGGATGGAGCGTTGGGCGTTGGGTAGATCGGAGGTGCAGGTTTGTTTGTGTTTGTTCGTTGCGGGTATATATCAAGAAACTCACGTACACGCGTATCTTTATCTCCGTCTCTGGAAATCCACAAGACCAAACCTAAACATGAAAAACCATAAAAATGAACAAAAAAAGAAAAAAGTAATTTACAGACACAGACAGACTTGAACCAAGCCCCTCCACATGCGCCAAAAAAAGGTCGAGCAGCCGAATCGGGGTGCAGTTGCTGCGTCGACTCAGCCTCAGCCGTGGAAGCTGCTGGACCATTTTCTCGCTATCCTGTGATCAGGGCGATAGGAATGAATTAATTGTTGTTTATATAGGGGAAAGGAGGGTAGGTGTAGGTAGGGAATGGTGTGCTGTTGGGGCTGGGGGAGAGGGGGATTAGAGGGGAGGTGGTGGATGGGGTTTGTTTACTTCGGTGACTTCCTATTTACTTGTATCCATCATCATGAGAGCAGCTTTCTTGCCTCGTAAATACCACTCCACCCCGCATGATATTATTATTTTTCCCCCCGTTCGAAGCACAAGCACGTAATTACTACTAGCAGCACAAGCAGTACGAAGAGGTCGTAAACAGCGAATACGTAAATCACTTCATGGAACCGCGCGCCCCCGTGATCCACCAGCAGATGCGATATGTGCTTCGAAAGCTCGAAGGCGAGACTCAGGTGAGCCGAGGTTGGGGGTTTAAATACTGGTATTTTGTAAGGCGTATGCGACATTCGCTGTTGCTCTGATGCTGAGCTATCTATTATACTAACCTGCTGCTGCTAGATCAGGCGATAGGGGGTGAGTATATCCCACTTAACAAATATCGGGGAAGGAGAGCTCACACACGCCTAAAAGAAGTGTAAAAGGTGATGGAGGTGTGTTGACAGAGGGAGGTCTTGTCATTCTTGGTCTATGGGAAATCATGCTCGTAATCCGAGGCCTACCATCATCTATTCATCCACCTGTCCATCCATCCACCCATCCATCCATAGTCGTCGTAACCCAAGCAAAAGCAGGAAGAGCAAGAGGATATAAATAGTCCCATCGACACCGAGGTAAGGCAACCCCGAAATCCCGGAGCCGTTCAAGGCATCATCACGCGACCATATCCAGCAGCGGAAGAGTCCCACTCGGCAGGCAGAGTCCGTCTACACAGTAGTTTCCAAACGCCCCGCTAAGTCGTGACTCGGTGCCTCGCGCCTTTCTCGACATCCTCCACCTTCAAACTCAATCCATACACATCAAACCCCACGAAAGCAACCAGCATCTACTTCTTATTCGGAAACTTAGGCTGCCCCAACTTCTCCCCCCTCAGCACCACATTCAGCACCCTCTCCATCGTCGCCAGCAACTTCTGATCGGGGGCCGCGGTGCCGCGCTCGAAATCCGCAATGATCGTGGGCGTCGTGTTGCACTTGGTCGCCAGGTCCTTCTGCGTCATGGTGCCGCCTTTGTCGTTTTTGCACTCGGAGCGCGCTTTCGCGATGACTTGGCCGACTTTGGTGCCGACGGTTTTGGGCTTGACGATGTCGTCGGAGCGGTCGACTTTGGTGAGGCGTTGGCCTTCCGAGGAGGCGCTCTTCTGAGTAGGTGTCAGTGGGTGGGTGTTTGGTAGGGGGAGGGATTTAGCTGTTGAGAGGCGGAATCAAGCACTTACAGCATTACCCGTCGCGTACTTCTTCTCCGTCGCCACGATGCCGCCACTCCGTGCCGCAGCGTTGAGGGCGCTCTTGCCGCGGACGACGGTCTCGCGGGGACCCGCGGCGCCGCCCCGGACGCGCGAGCCGATCTTGGTGACGGTATCCCAGTCGCTCATTTTAAATAGTTTTGTAGAGGTTGGGTGCGGAGGGTAGTTATAGGTATTGACGTGTGAAGTCGAGGAGGATGAAGTGGTTGTGGTTTGTTGGTGGTTGGGGGGTATTTATTCGGACAGGTGTGGTGCCTTACTTGATTGACGTAGCCAGCAGCGATCGTTTGTCCCTAGCGGTGATGACGGGGGGTTACAGCGATCTCGATACCGGAGACTCGCTGTGGGAAGATGGGTGTGAGAAGTGAGAAGTGAAAGAAGAAATGAAAGTCCGGAGACAGTGGCGGTGAGGCTGGCTTTATCGTCGTGAGTCGTTCTCCGAGTGGCAGTGGTGGCTCGTTGTCATCGCGGCGACTTACTTGTACAGAAACCGGCGCTAATCCCGTTCGGGAGTTCGGGGTTCTAGAGGATTCTGACTCCCCAAAGGCAAAAGGGCTGTTCTCGCCGCCCTTCGGCCTCGATTGCTGTAACACACAAGTAAATGTACAGTAGATATCGGGGTTATTGGAGAAAATGTTGAAAGTCCAAAGTCCGTTCATACAATTACAGTATCATCATCCCACAGGCCGAGGTCGCCGAAGGTGTTTTGCAAAGTAATCATATTCGCCACAGCTCTATCCTACTGTAGTGTTTGAGTACCAGTAGCAATCACTCCCCCAAAGTCCAAATTCAAGAAGCAAACCCCCTTTTAATCATGCTAAATAATGCCGTACCTCGCCACTGTTGCAGCAGTTTACCACTCATCCCAATATGCATACCAAACCCCTCATGATTTTGAACATATCATCATTAGCACCCTAGGCAGACAAAATGCAGTCTTGTGATCGAGAATCAATGCTTCATGCTTTACAGTCCCTCGAGCCTCTTGTTAAAGCGAAATATCAAGCGCTTCGGTGGCCTTGACAAAGTCGTCCCATGTAGTGAGTGTGCCCAGGGCACGCTTCATGTGTGCTGAGACCAGCGTAAGGCCGTAGATGTAGCTGGCGTTGACCCAGCCAAACCTAAGTACTTCGTTAGCACTGAATGTATACCAAAAAGGCAACCAAGCTTACCCTTCACGAGGAACGCCCTTGAAGTCACTACCCTGATTGCCGTACTCCGCTTCGACCCTGTGCGGGTCAATCTGTCGCGTCACATCGTACTTCTCAACCACCACGCCGTTAAAGTCGACAAACGCCTTGGTCACCATATATAGCCACCTATACGCAAGACGTTGTGCATCGGCCTCGTAACCATACCGCTGCAGCCCGACCCAGGCCAGAATCTGTTGCGGTGCCCAGCCAAAGGGGTAGTCCCATTGTCGATTGGGGCGGTCCAGGCCTACCTGGCCGCGAGACCTCTCTGTGCCAGACACTAAGCCTCCAAACACTTCGAACTTGGGAAGCGCCCGTTCAACCAGGGCAGCTGCCTGTCGCGGCGTGGCAAGCCCAGACCACAGCGGCCAGAAGGTCGTTGCGCTCTCGTAACCTGTCCTCTGCTTCTTCACCGTGTCGTAATCAAAGTACATGCCCTCCTCTTCGTCCCAGAGATACTTGTCAACCATCAAACGACGCTTTCGTGCTCGGCGTTCCCAGGTGGCAGAGGTCTCCACTTGGCCCGGGGTCATGCCTGGCCCGCACATATCGGCAGGCATCACCAGCTTGTCACCAAAGTGCGTGCGGATGATGCGGCCAATGTCCACCTCGTACTTGTAGAGGAGAGAGTTCAGGTCCACAGTTGCAAGGTTGGCCGCCACCTTCTCCAGACGATAGGATGTGTCGTGACCCGATTCGCGTACGGCGCGGTCGTGCAAAAAGTACTCATCCAGCTCGGGCTCGCTGACGCGCTGGTAGTTGTACGCATCTACGAACTCCGAGAACGTCATGCCATGCTTCTCGGCGTATGGCGTCAGGATATGCTCGAAATGGGAAGCCTCCGTCTCGGGGGGCACGCCAACTCCGCCAGGTCGGTACCGCGAGAGGTTTGTCTCCTTGTCCAAGCGGGGTTCACTCATCCACACGGTGTAATACTCCTTGATAGCGGCCAATGTTGCCTCACGCAGGAAATCCAAAGCTCCTGGCTCGTATCGGATGCGGTCGTAGACGCGGAGGGCCATGTCGGTCAGGAACGGCGGTTGGGAGCGACAGAGATAGTATGAGCGATTGGCGTTCAGGATCTTACCGTAGTGCTTGATGCAGAAACAGAAATGGATGACCATGGACTTGACCAGCTCCACACGGTCATTGATAAGGAGACCCAACGATTCCATGTAGCTGTCCCAGCCATAGAGTTCATTGAACCTACCCCCAGGGACCACAAAAGGTAGGCCTTTGAGATCTGTGCGGCCTGATGAAGGGTCAAAATGCTCCTCCATGGCGATGGCCAACAACCCGGGGGCCTTGTTCAGGTCCCTGACATACAGCTCATCTGTGCAGTTTTCGGCCAGCCATTGGACATCCAGCCTGCTCTCGGGGTGCTCTCTAGCAAATCGAGTGTAGAATTCGTACTGCTCCGGCGCACCACGGGGTATGTAGATTCGAGGAACTGGGTTGGGCGTCCAGTCTTTTGGGTCCTTCCCAACTTGTGCAATGTTGTTCCCGTCGATGCGACGTGTCAATCCGTCCCAGAAAGAAGTCGATATCAGACGGCTGAGGCGGCTGACGGGGTTCTCGTTGAGGCGAGCTTCGTCGAGGACAATGGTTTTTCGGCCGTAGTCTTGGGCGAGGGTGAGCTCTTGAAGCAGATTCGAGAGCATGTAGTTTCCGCGGATGTCGAACTTGTTGTATGCATTGGATGTGAATGTACCGACCGATAACACCTGTTGTCTTGTCAGCTGCGCTGTAGGGGATGGGGCGCCAGCCGTACCTTTGGACCGTTATCCTCAATCGTTATCTGCATGTTGTCGTCCGTGTCTTCTCGCGACAGGAGGGTCTTGAGCGTCGGCTCGACCCGAATGAGGAATTTGCGCGGCTGGAACGACGACTCATCTGAATGCCATTAGCGCGTCGTCGGCGTACGAGGTACTGTGTGGAACGGCGTACCATGACTTATCCGACGGTTCGCGTACCTGCCGTCCTCTACGGGTGCATTGCGACCTACGGCTGTGTCTTGAATCTGGGTGTAGGCGGAGTACGTATTCGCTCGTCCAGTTCTCCGACCGTGCGAGGTTCCGTAGTACACTGAAGGTGCGGCTAGCGGGTCGTCGACGATAACAGAAGTGCGTCGGTGCTTGCCTGGCGATGTCATGGGGTTGAGTTGTATGTAGGAAACCGATTTTCTGAATTTGAAATTGGGTATCTTGCGGAAAACGCTGGAGAAAAAGTTGCAGAGTGTGGCTCAAGGACGGAGGTTTATGGTCCTATGACGCAGTATTGGTTTTGCTGCGGTGCAGTTGGTGGGGGTGGGGCAGAAGGTGCAGGATTCCGGGCGGTCGTGGGGGTTCGATGCAGATTCCACTACAATGTTCAGGAAGCTCGGGTGTTGAAAATCCACGACGGTGTTTACCGGCGCTATGTTGGACTAGCTCGGAGGTAGGTCCTAGGGTAGATAAAGACAGAGGTCAGCAGGCAAAGAATGGGAGGAATAGTGAACAAAGGCTTCAAAGGGAGATGGCGAATAATGGGCGATTGGGATTGCGAGCTACCCGGAACAACCAAGGAGCATGTGACCCTCGAGGGCGACCAAACGCACTAAGAAACGCAGGGCCTAGGAGGCGGTGAGCAGACGGAGCGGCAGCTAGACTTATGGTTCGCGAGGGGAGTGCCTCTAGGGCGGTTGCGGCAACTCTCTCTCGCTCTACTGTGGACGATGAGTAGCTAATTGATAGGGGGTGCAGCCAGAGCAAGACGAAGGCCGGAGAAGTAGAGTGCTGAGAGAGGCGAGTTGCCTCATCTAACCAGTATGTTTGCTGGGTGCGGGGCCGAGTATCGGCCACCACAACTTCACCTTCCCCCGAGTCCGTTTTGCCAGTGCTTGGCATGATAGGATGGGACAGAGAGCCGCCACTTCCTAAAATAGACAACCTTGGCAAATAGAACTTCAAAACTACCTCTCCCAGCAGCAATTGAATGTGTCGAAACAGTATACCAAGTTGTCACAGTAGAGCACAAACGGGCAAGCAGCGACTCCAATTTCATCCCATCAAAAGAATTACTGACGTCATCCAAGATACAGTAGGGGTTCCCGCAGTAGCGCCGTAAACTCATCTCTTGGCAGGGATGCCCCGATTGGTCTGTTTGATGGTGTTGTATATTAGCACCCCTCAGTCGTCACACTTCGCGCACACGTTCACCATAGTCTGGTGTATAACGGTGGGGTGGTCTTGTCGTTGAATTAAGGTTGATCGTGGTGTTGGATTAAGGTTTAGTGCGCGACGCTTGTCCAAGTGGTGAGGAAGCTTAAGGTGCGCTGGGAGTTGATTGTAACGGGAAGGAGCTATATTTCCATTGCGGATATGACTCCCCTTACTCCCTTCTTCTCCCTTCCCCCATCCATATATTCATTCCCCTCGCCCCACCGTCCCTGAGACACTTCATTCAACCCCATCCTCCTTCGTGCATCCAAAGACAGTTTGCTCGCAGCTGGGGTGCACAACAACATCAAATTTGGACATTCAAAGGGAGTTCCTTGCCAGTTGTAAAGGCTGATGGATTACAGGATCGAAGTATACGAACGCGAGCTACAAGCCGAAATAATCACCCTTCCATTCCCGACGACTACTTTCCCTGCACACCAGATGCTGTCACATCCTCCTGTCGTTTCCGGCCCCGACGCATCCCAATATGCCGCCTAACTCGGGCGCCCTTCCTCGCTTCCCTCCACTCTATAAGTTGCCTCATCGACAGGGTGTCCGATGACGGGCACGGGCTGCCCACGGTGGCCTGCATCGTATCCTCCGGAGGAGAATTGGCTTGGTTGTCGACCAATTCTGATGCCAGCTTCCGCAGCTCGAGTGCCTCGAGCTCTCCATAGCCGATGCCCGACTCTTCCATTACCTGTTTCGCCATCCACGAGTGAGTGTCGTTGGTTGGACTCATTGCCATGAACCTGCTCATCGGACTCTCTGATGACGGCACGACCCCCGTGTAAAGTTTCAAAGCGTCCAAGGATCTCTGTCGCTGCTGCGACTCTTCGTTCCTACTTTCAATCTCCGTTTTTACTGCTTTGGGCTCCTTTCCAGCCGAGAATTCTGTACAATGTGCAAACGATTCTCGCTCATACAGCAAGGCCCGCTCTTGCTGTATTAGACTAATTTGGTACCCGTTACTCTCCTGGTTCCCGGCAGTCAGCTTCACCAAGTCCCTCCCGATCTCGAGGATACTCACGCTTAAGCATGCTGCGTTGTGCATGCGCAGATTCTCCTCACTGAGGCGCGCTCTTCGTGGTGTGCCATCCATGCGGGACATTTTTACGAGTACTGAGAAACGGCTGCGGTTTGTCTCTGGTAACAGCTTTTCTAACGTTAGGGAAAGAGGTGGAATGAAGGTACTTCAGAAGGCGATACCTGGAGAAGAGATAGGACATGGAACAGCGGCGAGTAAAGGGGTTGGAAAAGGATGTGGGTGGACGTCAGCTTATGGGTTTTTGTATGATGCCCAAACGGCTTCGATGCGAGATTTTGCCATCCACGCCCATCGTCCACCCCCACCTGGGCCCAAGGACGAGGCAACCCCCGGCGCCACGCATGTCGTAACTGCACAATGCCGCTTCCCCTCCCATGGTTCAGCAGCCTGCCCTTGTGGGCTCTTACTGCCACAGTGAGGACCCTAGGGCCGGGCCGTGGCGGCACGGCAACGCGTTCATTGATTGAACCTGGCCGGTTTCACCTATCACGCGGCCACCAGAACGCCACATCATCTTGATATGGTCCCTCGGATGGCATAAATGACTCACAAGAGATGCAGAGAGGCCTTAGCTACCTTCCGAATGACCGTCAAGCGGTGTAGGTTGTCTTGGACCTCAGAAGCGCCGTTCCCCGATATACCGTTGATGCACCTCGCGTTCATTCGGCAGGGGTGCAGAAGCAGGCAATCAAAAGCAACATTCTGCGACACTGAGGAATTCAATGCGGACGAACCTTACCCTAACATGTGGTTACACTGCAGCTGGGCTGGAGAACGGTCCACCCAGCGGCCTGGCAGAAGCTGAACGACATGGGGGAAATAGCTCCTTTTACCCGGGTAACCCCCATGGGGTCGTCAGCGCCGAAAGTAAGCAGCTCAGTCTTCCGAGTCCAGCGGCCAGCACTCTAGCGTCATCATCTCCCTCCCCGGAGAGCCCACGTGCAACGTAGCTGTCGCACTCACTCGCCATCACGGGAATAGGAGAGGGCGAGGGGCCCCCGTAACGATGCAAATTCGCGCAGAGACGGCTTATGTGCATCTAAGCCTCTCATGGACCTGCATCTGTCACTCAGGAGCCTAACAATTCAGGATAGATGCGATATGTATGGAGTATACCTCTACCGACCCGGCGGTGTGGTTTCCGGGTCGCGCTAGTGCGCGCTAAACCTAAACCGCTCCGCTGGGTATCCCGACGACTCCGGCTGCAGACAACTGGGGCATGTACTACTTTTCTTCCAAGATCATGGACGTGGTATCACGTCTAGAGACGCCGCGGACGAAAAACCTGGAGCCGTCCTGGCGGAAATGGTGATGCGGCAGGCGCGGTTACACTACTGGAGATTCAATCCTCACCTCGTCATTTCGCTGGGTACAAAAAGGCGTTGGAGGAGGAAGACTAGGAAGGTTGGCCTTGGCTACCTCAGAATGAATCTATCATTACGATCACACTAGAGTCTGTATACATGAGCATCGCAAAGACGACCGAACTTCTATACTTGATTGACCTCTAGGTTTTGCTAGGTCTTTTATTGAGGTTTTATGAGGAGAGCGACGTTCTGCAAGTCAGCCAGATGGCTACGTGGCACCCTGTACCCAAGTGACGGGAGATAAAGGCAGATTGAGATGAATCAAATGACTGGACGCAGCTGCTTCCCTGTGCGCTCTTCATATCCCCATGAAACTAACATGTATTCACCCTCAATCCTCGCCTCCGACCTTGATAACAATCTTCCCCACAGCACCACCTCTGACCAACGTCTCAAACGCCTTCCTAACCTCCCCTTCTTCCCACCCATGCACCTCTCCCACCTGCGGCCTCAACCCCTTATTCCTCGCATACACCTCAACCGCCCTCTCCACCATCCCCCTCGTAAAAGCCAACACCCCATAGACCGTCTTCGCCCCGAAAATCATCTCCGCCACCAGATCCGTTCCCTTTGACTCCGAGAGAAACCCCACGAGGCAGACCTGCCCTCCCTTTCTCGTCGATCTCAGGGATTCCTGAATCGTGGATGCGCCTGCCACATCGATGGTGCTGTCGACGCCTTTGCCAGAGGTGAGGCGCAAGACTTCGGTCGACCAGGAGGGGTGCGTAGTGTAGTTAATGGTGTGCGTGGCGCCTAGCTTTTTGGCTTGCTCGAGTTTGGCGTCCGAGGAACTGGTTGCGATGACAGTGGCGCCTAGGGCTGCGGCGATCTATTGGAGAGATGTGTTAGGTTGTTCATGGGTAGCAGGGGATCGAGGGTATTTACCTGAATCACGAACGACGACACGCCGCCTGTGCCTTGCGCCAGGACCGTTTGTCCCGCTCTCAATGGTTGCGGGCTATACAGCAGTGCGTGGATGGCCGTAGCACCAGTCGCCGGTATCGCGGCGAGTTCTTCAAACGAGAGATGATCCGGGGCGCGGATGAGTTCTTCGTCCCTCTAAACAAAAACCTATCGTCAGCAGATTTACTCAGAACACACCGACACGTTCTTCCGCACCGAACCCATATCACTGGTAGCAATCACTCACAAAAACCCCTAACTCCCTCAACGTCCCCTGCATACTCCCCGCCCCCTTAACCCTCACACTATGCTCCCTCCAATCGAACCCCTCCTCTCCCTCCCCTTCCTCTTTCCCCCACCACTCCTCCCACTCCAGCGGACATATCACCACCCTCTCCCCACCGTTCCACTTACTCCCCTCCCCAACACGCACAATCTCGCCCGCCCCATCACAGCACGGTACGAGGTCTTCCTCGTGCGGACCGGGATACACGGGATCGTGCGAGATGACCATCATGTCTCTTGCATTCAGGGCTGCGGCGCGGATCCGCACAAGCGCATGGCCGAGTGGAATAGCTGTGGGGAGTGGGACATCGTTGTTGAAGCGGAGGTTGGAGAGGCCGGCGGGCGTGGTCCAGGGGTGGGTGGTGCGGCCGTGGATTTGGTAGGCGGATGGCATGGTTGTGGGGGGAGGATACGATGGACTAGTCTTCAGTACCACGTTTATAAAAATGGGGGAGTATGAGGTGGAAGTATCCAAAGGATGCTCTTGGGCCTGCGCGATTTTGAAGACTTAAAGGTGGCCTTCCGAGCTCTTGTGCAATGGAGGAGGTTATATGATTGTTACAGGGGAGGAAGTGGGTAAGGAGCATTCAATGCTACATGGGAGTCTCCGTCTCAATGGTTTTGAGAGAAAGACGGTTTTATAATCTCCATCAACGGAACGCTAGGAGAAGGAGACTTCAGTGGATTTTGGTAGTCACGTGACCTCTACATTTTTTGAATCCTTTGAGAGGCCGTGGTATTACAAATCATTCGCCCGAATTTCCCTATTCCCATACATATTTGTACGGTAGCGCGGAAATTTATCCTACGCTAATACTACAGTAGTTTTCTAATCCCGACGCTTACCCAATTGCGAGGTTTTGGTTGTTTTATCTCGGGTTTCTCGCAGTCATCATTGGATGGGCCCAACGATGAATATGTCAGCAGAGATACAGCTGGCGGAGATACGGATGTCGCAATAGTACGTATCTCCGACGATTCTCTGAATTTGGAAAACCACAGTATGCTATGCTATGTGAGCAGAAACCGTGAACACTGTCTCCATTATGATTAGTATCTGGGGCTAATAAGGTGCGGCGACATCACTGAAGAGAATACACAACCGAGATTCCCACCTGCAGTAAATAAAGACCTCCTACATCGTCTTCCCCTCCGCAGTCTGACTCCACGCTCTTTCAAACTGGCCCCAGCCGCCTAGAGGCTCCTCGCACATCTTCAAATCGCTGACGATGAGATCGTAGTAACCGTCCTTTGGCAAATTTCCATCACACACATTACCACCCATGGCAATATTGATGATGATCCTGTAATCCTCCATTCTTCGTGTACCTTGCGGGATGTTGGCCTTCATCACCGGCCGACCATCAATGTACCAGATCATCCTACCCCGCCACCCCGGAATACCCTCCTCTTCCATCCATGCAAAACCAAAGGTGTGCGGGCGATGCGACATATCTGGCAATTGCGTCTCCAGCACGCGATGTTTATTCCAGTCTTCGCCGTTGTAATGGCCCCAGTGCAGGCAAGAATGGTTTTGACAGTCGCCGTTCCAGCTCTCGAAGATGTCAATCTCTCCGTCATTGGGCCACTCGAATGGATCCTTTGGAAGCAGCCAATATGCCGGCCAGATGCCTTCGGCGCAAGGCGGGAGGATGGTAGCGGTCAGGTACCCGCGCGGCCTTGACAACGTCTGGTGCGAGGTCAGACGGGCGCTTGTATAGCTCCCGTTCTGTACCAACCCCCTAACAATGAGTCGTCCGTCATGATGGAACGCGTTCGCCGGAGAGTCGACGTAGTTTTGTTTTTCGTTGTTGCCCCAGCCGTGGTCGCCGAGCTCATGTCGGAAGTTGAGAGTCACAGGACTTGATGCGTCGAATGTGGCCTGCCAGTACACCTTTAGTCCGGGAGAAGATTGTGGATGGGCGGGTGCCGGAGGTTGGGAAAGTTGAGGCTTGCTGTGTGAAGGGATGGGCGGGGTAAATGGTTGTTGCTGCTGAGGCGCCTGGGCCCATTGATTCGGAGAGGGTTGTCCCCATTGTTGTTGAGGAGGGCCCCACGTTGGGGGACCATTGTAGGATTGCTGTTGCGGTGCTGTGGGTTGTGTATTGTAGGGTGATGGAGGAGGTGGATGCTGGGTATGCTGTTGAGGATACCCTGGGTATTGGGGTGTGTAGTTATGTTGAGGTTGTTGACCGGGATAGCCGCCGTGAGTGTGATGGGATGAGGAGCCGGTGTATTCTTTCAGTTTCGCTTTACCCTTCTCAAGCAACTTGTCAAGGTGCCCAGGCATGTTGGCAAGACCGTAGCTGTGATATGGAATGGAGTTGGCGAGGTGTGGCTGGATTGGACGTGTAGCTAGGCGAACGCTGACGTCATCCTTGTACTCACAGCCTGGTGCGACAACACAGTATTCAAGAGAATAGGAAAGGCGATCTTCAGTTGAAAGCTGATATCGTGACAGAGAATACGCAGTGCAAAGCTTTCACCTGACAACTCAGAAGGTAGCACAAACAACGTCATGTCACGTGAAGGTACGTTCACCGCACCAACCAAGTTCAGCCCCCCGCTTCGGTGAAACAAGAAAGAAAACAACATCACCGCAAACACGACGTATGAGGTCATCCCCACCCTGCCGCCTTATAACCAAGCCACCGCCTGCTACGACCATCTCCACTAGAAATCCCTCCAAGCTCTCGAGTGACAACACTATCAAACCGAATCATTATCCACTCAATGTACATATCTCGCCATGGCCTCCATCGTCAAAGCAGTGGGCGACCTCTTCCAGTCAGTGCTGGAGCTCATTTGGAGCTTCATCAGCACCGCCGGCGACCTCGTACAGAAGACGTTTGCCTTCGTGATCCGTTCCTTCAATGAGCTTGTCTCTCTCTTCCTCAACTTTGCCAAGGGTCTCGTTGAGCTTGCTGGAGGCTTGACTTCATTCGTGCTGGGTACGTCGAATGGGTATGCATTGTCTGATGATATACGTACTGATTGTAAACTTAGGCAACATCGTCATCCTCGGTGTCATCGCTGCCGCATTCGTCGGTTTCTTGCAGTACCAACGCAGCCAGGGAAGAGCCGTCAAGGTCGGAGACAAGAAGTTGAATTAAGTCATGTTTGGGAATATGGGACGACCTATTGAGGTGGAAGTTGAATGCGCAGCTACGTGTGGGGACTAGGTGTAGCTAGGTGAACCTGGAGTGGAGTGAGACGGATACGATACCCTTGATTACCGCAGCCGTAGTGGGGCAATGATGGTTTCTGGTCGTTTTGGCAATGAATACGGTCTCATTTATATTCAAGATTGTTAAACGGTGCTTGCTTTGGTCTGGAGCCTGCGTCAATGTGAAGTAGCTGCCTGCGTATTCCGAGGCACGACCCGCATACATCAAAGTACGTCCCGGATAGAAGGAGGCCTCTATCACTCTTCTATGAAACGAGATATTTTATGGCGAACGAGATTGCAATTCGCATTGTTTAATTATTTTGGTGAGTGGGAGAGCTTCGCAATAATCAAAGCCTACTAGTAGTACTATCACACTTGGGTAGGCCGATGGCAACAATGGACATTGCCCACAACAAAATTATAGAGCGGAATCACCTTAGTCCTTGAAAGAGTTGTGAATCAAGGACCAATACACATAATATCACAACAACCCTGAACTCTTCAGGCGTACCCTAGGGTTGGATGTTCGCCTAAGCGGAATGGTTACATACTAACTTCTCGTCCACATTCGAGGCCACAGGAATCGACAAGGGCATAACCCACTTCATGAGCTGGCATGATCCACTTCTTCGGGGCCATCGTAGCTCCGGTTGCGTATACTGCTGCCGCATTTGCTACTCCCTTCACGCCCGTTACTCGTGTCCTTGCTGCCTCTGCTGCTTCTCGCGCAGTGCCCGAGCCCGCCTCCGGACATAGTCCCTCACAGTTCCTCGCTCCATGTCGTTCAAACTGGATAACAAATTCTTCAGGTGCGTATGCCACATCATCCACTCCCGGCTCCCCTTGTGACTCCGCTCCCGCTTAACCATCGAGCGCCATATACAAGGCATCCGCACCTGTATCCACTCCTCTCTCACACGACGCTCCTCGCATTGGCGAAGAAAAATGTCAACCAGTAAAGGTACTCATGCTGCCTTGCCTTGTCCGCTCGGGATGGTCCAATGGCTGCCAGTGTTTCCCAGGCTGTGCGCACATTGTCCATCGCCTGAGCCTTGAACTGCGGCATGGTGCGGTCCATCCAGCTATATTGGGGAAGCCGCAATTCATGTATCTGAATGAGATTGGATTGGATGAGCTCCAAATAGTCGGGTATTGGGCGCTGGTCTAGTGGAAGACTGAAGTCTGGAGCACAGGAAGGCGCTGGCCCCACCACTCTCCTCGAGTTTGGATGTCGCGCGATGGAACGGATGTGCGTCCCTTGTGGGCCCAATGTTTGCGCAGGTGCGTAGGGCTTGGTGGTTGCAGTATTCACGGGATTGGCCTGCTGTTCGAGAGCGGGGAACTGGTACGTATACGTCGGGGTAAAATCGCGAGTTGCTATGGGTTGTTTTTGTCGCGGGCTCCCCCCCTCCGTGATCGTACTGCTAGATAGCGTTCCCTGACTCGCCTGCGACGGGGAGGTCGGTGTAAAGTAGGGTGCTGAAGCTGGTAGACTGGTATGAGGGTGAACGATATGACCGTTTGATGCAATCCCTCGACCAGTTTGAATGCTTGCCATAGGGTAGGCTCCTGTTGTCGGTAGACTGGTTAGTTGTTCCGTGGAACGCATGTTGCATGCCCTACATTGACCGAGCTGCCGGTTTGCCCCAAAGACTCCTGGAGCTTGAACCTTTGCTTGACCTTGGTGCCAGTGCGAACTGGTTCGAAACCCCACAGGGGTAGCCGTCCTTAGAGGCGACAGTCGATCGTGTCCCACAGATAGTTCTGGACTTTGAGCTCTGGCAAACGTATAGAGACACAAATCTCCTCCATTGTGGCTGGTAGGACTGCTCGACTCAGAGGGATCGGGTGTGGCCGGAATATTGGGTATGTGAACTTGACTGCGCTGCTGGATAGTGGGTCGAGCTCCCGCGATCACAGCCGGCGGATGTGTCAGATAGCCCATTGTGGCAGGCGCTGCAATCGGACTCCTTGCAGGTAATGCATTGTCCGGCTCCTGTGTAGGTACGCTCTGGTTATGGGCTGATATATCGTCCGGACTGGCGTTGACGATCTCCTCGCGTGGACCGTAAACATAATCGGTCCAGCCTCCGAAAACATCACAAGCGCGGTCCAGCTCTTCGATAGGGTCAATGAAGGTATGTTGATGCATTTCGTATCTGTTAACTGTAGGCGCGTCAACGAGGCACGAGTTGAGTGCGCTCGTGAAGTCATCGACGCCTTCTTCGACGGGGGCAGTCTCCCTGTGGGGCGACATCGTGATAAGGATAGGGATTAATTAACATGCGCTGAAAATATGGATCATCTTGAAATGGGATGCGAGTAGGAAAGCCTGTCCCGGTTGAGAAATTGAGGTTGTAAGATGCGTAGAGAGGGATACAGGGAGGAGGTCCTGCAGCAGAAAATGACCCTTATAAAAAGGTCGAAAGTGAAACCCAGCACTTATCAGTTAAGCAGGAGCTGTCATCAAGGCTGCCCGTTCGAACCTTCTACATTCGTGTCCGCAATCGGTCAGTGAAAGGCGGGCGTCCGTAAACGGCAGGAGTTTCGGTGTACAAATTTTCCTAACACGACTACAAACAATGAAGGAAGATACTTCAATTTCTTAAGACTTTGATACACGTTCCTAGTTAGAGTACATGTAATTGTCTCCTAAACTCTTGAGCTAAAATTTCTGAAGGCCGCTCTGTATTATAGGTCTTGTCTTCAGGTCAGATAGCACCGTAGATCATGAGCGTTCAATCAGGTGGAATAGATCGTGCGTCGCCAAGTTATAATATCAGGTGATTGTCTACAAGCAATGCATATTCCTCCCGATATCTTCTCGTGCCTTTTCAGTGATTCCACGACCAGGTTCGCCATTCTTGAAGACTTCAGTTATGGAGATGAATGAGTGAAGCGACTAGCTCTTGAGCATTGTCATAGTGAAGACTATGTGGCGGCTTCCTCTAACTTCTGACACGTACCATGAGAGGCAAAGGGAGATCATCCCCTGCTATTCCTTCACTGACAGAAGTCGGAGGAAAACTGACGCATAGCGCGGTGAGTTTCGATGGTATTGCTCGAGACATAAGCGGTCACCCCACATTACAATAGCAGGCGCAGAAGATTTCGAGTGGATATTGCAGTATAGAACATAGAGACGCTTCGTATCGTGGTCACGGACGTTGGTGTTGATTCAGTGAGGCCGATGACGCACAGACCACCATGATATCCTCCAAATCGGGCAATCTCTAAGCCGTCCTTCCCATCTATGTTCACCTTCCTCCACACAAACTCCCCAACTCCCCGAGTGCCGCATATTCTGTCTTTACCGCTTAACATGGAGGCCGCCGAGGCTCTTGAAGCGCTGCAAGCACGCCACCGAAAGGAACAGCGCGATCTCGTTGCCCGCATTACTCAGAAGAAAAAGTCCGCAACCAAGAAGACGCGGAAAGGCGTCAACGATGAGTGCGAGCGCATGGAACAAGAGCTGAAGGAGCGGCAAGCACAAGAGCTTGCAGCTCTAACAGGGAACGGAGTGGAGGAACTGGAAATGGAAGAGGAAGAGGAGCAACCACAAGACGAGGAAGCGCCTGTGAATGGTGTCGGGAAGACATTAGAGAACTTGTCGATATCTTCCACGCCGCCAGCCGAAGCGCAATCCATCCCGAAGAAGAAGCCAAACCGCGCAAAGGCCCGACTTGCTCGCCGTGCCGCAGAACAGGAGGCTCTTGCAGCTCAGGCAGCAGAAGAAGCCGCGAACCTTCCTAATCAGCGCGAACTCGAACGGATACGTATGAAGGAGCTGTTTGACAAGTACGGTCTACAAGAAAAGGAAATAAGGGCGGATGGTCACTGTTTATACGCTGCAGTGGCAGACCAGATGACCGTTACTGGCCTGGGTCTGAAGCCGAAGATACAACCGCTGATCAACGAGGAGAAGGCTGAGCTGCCGCCGTACAAAGTGGTTCGCCATGCCGCTGCCGACTTTATTGCCCAGACGCCCGATGATTTTGTGCCATTTATGGAGGAGCCATTGGACAATTATCTGCGCAAGATCCGGGAGACAGGCGAGTGGGGTGGACATCTGGAGCTACTGGCGCTGGCAAAAGCGTATGGAGTCAAGATCAACGTGCTACATGGGGACGGACGGATAGACAAAATTGAGCCTGGCGAGGGCGGCACCCAAGATGAGGAGAAAGAGATCTGGCTGGGCTACTATAAGCATGGATTCGGGTTGGGAGAGCATTATAACTCTCTTCGCAAGGTTCCTTGAGCACAACCAATACGCATTGGTTCAGCGACGGTTTGCGCTAAACTATCGGACAACTACAATATCCCGTAACAGGTGCTGGCTCATCACTTATGTTTCCACACACTGACGCGATCCTTCACGTCACCGTTTATAATGCCAACATCATGCGTCCTCTCTGGCCTCCAATACGCGATCCTGACCAAAGCATTGTCGCTTTCGGGCCTGTCACTCTCAATGACCTTGCCCTCCTCGTCGTACTGTAACTCCTCGCCCGGACGTTTGAAAGACTCGGTATACACGACGGATGGCAGTGCCCACGGCGGACCGCCAGACTTGGGAGGCTTGTGCGTGGGAAATTCGAGGCATATCAGAATACCGGTCGAGTTGAGCAGCTGGGTCATGCGGAGAGCCCAGGACCCACGGAGGGCGGGGGGAAGGGCAGAGAGAAACTACAAAAGGCATTAAGGGTGATGCCATCTACACGACTGTCCTTGTCAAGTACTCACCGTACAATCATAGATCAGATCAAAACCTTCACCCAAATCAGCTTCTTTCCTCCAATCGTCCTTGAAGAAGTCGCCCGTGAGGATCTTTGCAACGCCCTTGCCCACTTTCTCATCCTGCACTTTATGCTCGCCTTCCTTGCCGTCCCCGGGGTTCTTCAACCATTCTTGAGCTGCCCCGGCGGCGTTTTCGCTAATTTCGAGACCATACGCGTCGTACCCGTGAGCGGAGAGGACGGCGACGTCATAGCCCTTGCCGCAGCCAGGAACCAGTGCCCGCTTTCGTGTCCCATCCGCCTTCGTCGGCGCTCCCAACCACTCCGGCTTCGACTTTAGTGTGTCAATCAAAGCCGGATTGGCGAAACCGCGATCCCAGGGAAGGAAATCCCCGGCTTTCCACAAGTCGTCCCAGCGGGAAGCATGGGCGGCGGTGTCGTGGCCGTCAAAGAAGGACTTCAGGCGGTCCTGGTTCGGGGTCGGAGCAGTGGACGTGGGTCTCCCGTTGGGATTGGAGGCAGACATGTTGGGAGGATAGTACGGTTTTAAGTCACTGGGGTAATTGGTGTTGAACGGTGAATGAGTTGTCCCCGCCGATGAAGCTGGAGTTGAGGTACACAGAAGCTGTAACATGCCACTAAACCTATTCTGGTTTGTATTTATTCGCACTGGTTTTCTTGACTGTTGGATAACCACAACACCAGCTTTGTCCAGCAAACACGGTCTCAAACAATGCATCCCATGGCACTTTGATAGCAAAACAAGAGCCTGCTTCAAAGAGACTTACAGTTTCTCGTCCGCCTCACGTCATAACTCGCTACCCCGCCAACAAAACGCCTTATTTCCGCAGCGGCGTGGAGGGGCAGGAAAAGATGGGATGCTCGGCAATTCGGCACCTGACGTCTCAAATGGAATCTCACGATTGGCTACAGGAGCTGGACAGTTGGTCCGCTATACACACTACGTGCGGAATTGTCGCGCTTTTCCTGAACAGGAGGCCGTTCCCCACAGAAGGGGAATTTGTTAGAGCTGACTCACGCCAAATGAAGATGCGGTTGCAATAATGGTCATGCCGTGCAATAGTTTCGGCCTGGCCCTGCTCAATGGATGCGCAATGCAAATGTCGACCTATTCTCCACGCTATGGCATCCTGTCCAACTTCCACTCACTCGACGCGGGGCGACTATCTACTGTCTCCTCTTGTTGAGGACATTTTGATTCTACCACACGGTTATATGCTGGGCCATACCATGGTCTCTATCAGCCGAGGTCCACCGACAAGGGTCACGGAAAACCGTCATCTAACCGGAAAAGGATTTGTGAAGAGTCACTGAAGGGTTCCTGGAGTCAGAGAAGAGTTTGTGTCTCTTTCAATCCTCTAAACCAGAATGCCAGAACATGAACCAACAGCCATGAGTTGCTCTTCCAAGAGCCACGCTTCAAAGAGATCGGAGTTGTCAGTGGACGATATTGGTGTCACAGAAGAGGTGGAAGAAGAGGTCCAGTGCCCAAAGGACGATGCTATGTCCATAGCAAATTTCCGGGCCACGACAATATCTGAAGACGAAGAGAATGGAACACCAGAGCCCAGGCCGCGGACCACTATATCAAGAACTACTTCGGTGACCCCGGATGCTGTGATTGTGCCTCGTCGCAACCGCAGAGGCCTGCTCAGCCATCTTACCCTCATTCCCGAAGTTGAATGCGCCTACCACTATGCCAACCGGACCAAATGGATTATTACCAGCATCGTTGCCTTCTGCGGGATAGTTGGACCCATGGGTTCAGCCATCGTCTTGCCGGTACTTGGGGGCATTGCAAAAGACTTTGACGCTTCACCGGTGATCGCTAACATGAGCGTTGCTGTGTATATGCTTGCTATGGGCATCTTTCCTTTGTGGTGGTCCTCGTTCTCCGAAACGGGTGGGCGACGCACGGTATACATCGTAAGCTTTGTGCTCAGCCTCGTGTTTGCAGTGCTTTCGGCTGTGGCGACGAACATTTCCATGCTCGTTGCGGTACGGACGTTCTCAGGGGGTGCAGCCGCTTCAGTGCAAGTGTTAGGCGCTGGCACAATAGCCGATATCTGGGAAGTGAAGGAGAGAGGAAGAGCACTGGGATTATTTTACCTCGGACCTCTTTGTGGACCGCTACTCGCAGTAAGTTGTCTGTTTGCATCACTGGACTATGGAGCTAACAGTAATAGCCAATTATCGGTGGAGCTTTAGGGCAAGGATTCGGATGGAGAAGTACGCAGTGGTTTCTGGTGATATACGGGGCCATCACACTCGTCTTGATCATTTTTGGGCTCCCCGAAACGCTACCCCCTGAGAACAATAAACCCCGTTCAGCGACAACGCTTCCGCAACATTATCCCCCGACCACTGCTCCTGTTCAAGAGAAAGACTCCAGCAACGCCAGTCCCCAAACACTAACCCGCATCTCGACCCGCGCCTCAGTCGCTCAAAACACCAAATCTCTGCTCGTCAGCACCCACCGCATCTTCATCGAGCCGCTGCTCGTCCTCACGTGGCTCCGCTATCCTCCGGTCGCCCTGACAGTATACTACGCGAGCATAACCTTCGGTTCCCTCTACTTCCTCAACATCTCCCTCCAATGGACCTTCTCCGCGGCACCCTACTCCTTCTCCACTTTCATCCTCGGCCTCCTCTACATTCCAGGAAGCCTGGGCTATATGGTTGCATCTCTGACAGGCGGCCAATGGATCGACCGCATCATGGCACGCGAAGCCCGCAAAGCACAGCGTTACGACTCCCACGGCAAACTGATCTACCGCCCCGAGGACCGCATGAAGGAAAACGCCTGGATCGCAGGCGCCATGTGGCCCTTGGCACTCATCTGGTACGGCTGGAGCGCCCAGTACGGCGTCCACTGGATTTGTCCCATGATTGCCAACTTCTTCTTCGGCGTCGGGAGCATGTTGGTGTTTGCATTGGTGACAACGATGCTCACAGAGATGATGCCGCGGCGGGCGAGTGCGGGTGTCGCGATTAATAATTTCTGCAGGAGTTTGTTTTGTTTTGTTGGTGCGGTTGCGGCGGATCCGGTTATTCAGGCGATTGGGAATGGGTGGTTGATGGTTATCCTTGGGGGAGTGGGGTTGGTGAGTGGTGCCGGTGTTATACTGGCAATGGGGAGGTGGGGGAGTGTGTGGAGGGACAAGATGGTGGAGGTGTTGGGGTGATAGGGGAGGTTGGGGTATGCAGACGGAGTTGGTGTTCTGAAAGGGATGCGTTTGAGATTTCGATGCGATGGGGTTGAGTCTGTTTGAGCTTGAATATGGGCATGAGCACGAGCATAGCGCGAGCAAGCACGGCGTTTTGGCGTGGCACAAGATCTTTGTTCGTTTTCTCCGTCGTAATCAGTTACCACTTCCTCTTTACTGGTCACTCCACATCCTCCACTCCGCTTACTTTTTCGTGCTTCTTTCATTCCAAATTTTAGCAAGCAGCACTCTCCCTTGAATGTCCACTCGTATATATGGCCCCACGCAGCATCTGTCAATGATCTGACGCAGATCTCACCGGTTTGTCTCTCTTTTTGGTCTGTTCGAAGTGGCAGGCCAAGTTCCTTCCATGCAGCTCCTTCCCCATCACCATCAAACGCGCGCACCTTCCTTCCCAACAGACAAGCTCATAACGCTAAACTTTAATTCAACGACGCAAGCAACCTTAATTCGACGACGGGAATGCCAAACCGGCATGTCGTATTCATCCGCGCGTTGGCATGTGGAAATCCGAAGGATCAACGCGAGGTTATCAGCTTACTGTGGATTGCTTGGGTGGTAGAAATGCTAATGCATGTACTAATCGAACTACTATATGGATGAATCAGGACGAATGTAAGGCATACGCTATCTCTGTCTCTTTTCCTTCTTCAAGGTCAGACATCGATATCTTGAAGATCGAACAGTTCGTATTACTCTTGTACTTGAGTCATCGGTTGGGACTTGACTGTTACTACAAGACACATCAGAAACGCCTGCAACGAGGTAGGATTACTGAATCTTCTTTGTTTATTAGAGTAGCGCTTTCCTTAAGTCTCGAGCTTCTATTTCATGCCGTAATACGATAGTTGACTTTGAGAATTTCTTTCATTATCTTGGTGTCCAGGGAATACCAGGGATTACAGGTACATATATCCCTCATTACTATACAGATCAAAAGAAGCTAATCCATTGAGCCGCCTTTCTGCTAGCGTGGCGAGAACAAGTTATCCCGACAAAAGCCGCAGTGACTGCATTGGAGTAACAGTTAAGTCCGACATAACCCAACTGCAAAATGTTCATTTATTCGATACGAACGAGCTAGCGTAATTTCAGAAAATCCAAACCGCGATACGGTACATGCAGACATACAAACAAAAAGCTACCACAAGCACCGCTTTTGATACAACAAGCAGCAACGACGTCGTTAGCGCATCCCCGCTTCCCTCTCATTCATTTCCATTTCCTTTCTCATTCCTAGTATGTGGTTCTGAACTGATCCTCCGTAACTCCCTTACCCATTGCGGCCGTCGAGCTCACACCACCCGTCACCATCTTCAACATGTTATCAACGTAGTTGGCGCCAGACCACTTCTGATGCGTGAGGACCTCGATACCCCGCTCGCCCTCGGGCTCCTGGATGATCTCGCCGTAGGCGCGCATACCTTGCTTCGCGTACGCCTTGGAGAAGGTGTCGGAGATGAGGGCAGTCTGGTGCAGGCCGGCCAGGGTGATGAATTGCCAGCAGTAGCCGAGTTTGGCGAGGCGGGCAATGTAGGTTTCTTGCTCCTCGCGGGGCATGGCGGCTTTCCAGTTGAAGGAGGGGGAGAGGTTGTAAGCCAGTCTGGAGAAGAATCACGTGTTAATAAGTATGTCACTGATTTTTAAAGGGTCAAAAGGGACGTACTTCTGCTCGGGCCACACGGCGTGCACGCCGTCGGCGAACTCCTTCGCCTGCGCATAGTCGGGCAACTTGCTCTCCATCCAGATCATATCCGCATACGGCGCATACGCGACGGCGCGGTTGATGGCGCACTGCGTTCCGCCCTGGTACCTGTAGTAACCCTCGCGGGTCCTGGCGGCCTCCCAGTCAAAGTAGATATCCACGCCAGTGAGACCCTTGGCGATGGCCCTGGCCTCCTGGTTGCTCTTGCCCTTGCTCTGCGCCAGGAACTGGCTGATGAGTTCCTTCTTGTTGACGTGCACGCCGGCATTGATGGTGTCGATGACGGCCTCGTGGAAGAGCTTGAGGTTGGCTTCCTTGGTCCACGCGTCCTCGATGGCCTGGAGCTCGGCGCCGTTCTTGCCGGCTTGCTCCGCGGCGTACATGAGCTCGGAGAGGGGCTGCAGGGCGGGGTTCGTGGACCCCATGATGTAGTAGTGGTCGCGGGGATCGATGGTGGAGGTGATGAGGGTGGCAGCTTCGGAGTCGGTACGCGCGATGGCGAGGAGATCAGTGCCTAATGTCTCGTCAACTCCATTATTTACAGATCGTCTGAACAATGGAGACTCACCCATGATATCGGCCTGGGCGCGGATGGCAACAAGGCGGTTGATATGCTCGCTAATGGGCACCAGCACCTTTCCAGCCATGTGTCCGCACTTCTTGGTTCCGGGAGCCTGGTCTTCTATGTGGATACCGGCAGCACCTTTCTCAATGAAGAGCTTGGTGAGCTTCATGATGGCAGTCAGGCCACCATGACCAGTGTCGGCATCGGCGACGATGGGGCGGAGAAAATCGGTGTTGGCAACCTTTGAGCGCTTCTCCTTGGGGGTGGTGAGGCGCTCCTCGCGCTGCTTACGGTCGTGGAAGAGCTGTGCCATGAAGAGGTGCCCAACCTTATTGGGGACAGTTGTCTAATTCCGTCAGTGACACGATGGGATGGAAAGGTCCACGGAGAGCCTACCATGGGGTAGTCTGCCAGATCCGGACCGGGCTCATCGGTCGTAGAAGCAGTCGACGAACATTGCCATCCGGAAACATATACGGTGTCGAGGTACTTGGCCATCTGTGTGACCATGACAGGGTCGAGACAGCCATAAGTGAAGCTGGCATCTCCGTTCTAATCACGCCATTAGATTGATTCTCTTCATTGTGGGAATTGCCACTACCTTGAACCTCTCCTCAACAATCTTCCAAAGCTTCTTTGATTGCGCGTTGCTGGGATACTGGATCTTCAAGTTTCCTCTCTTCGCAACAATCTCCTCCGCGGTGAAAGGCCTGCGAGTGTATCGCCATCTCGAGTCGGTCCACCACTTCTTAACCTCCTCCACCTCCTGCCTGTACCGCTGCTCCTCGGCGTCAATGTTGGACATGTTTGTGGATATGTAGATGTGGCGTGGACAGGAATGCAATTGGCCTCTCTTTCAAAGAGGGAGGGGAAGACGTTTCTTTGAGAAGCTGCAAAGAGAAGATATGACAGCTGGATGACAACGACGGAAGCCGAGAAGCTAAATAGATCACACGAGAGCTTTGAGGGCAACCGCCACATCCAATGCGAGGACGTTCTCCAATCCATCGGGCAGAGCCGGTGCGTGGTTCACATTGAACCGATGGTCCGCGCCGAGGAACGGGCAAAGGGAATCAGCGGCGTGCCATGGGTGATGGGCGCCGAGAATTCTGGGGTAGAAGAGAGCTACTTTGGTGAGTTTGGGTATGACGCAGGCCAATGCCTGGATTTGGTGTAAAGGAAGCTCGACCATGATGGTGGTGTTTTGGTATTGAATATGGGCAGAGGACGGTTTGACTTCACGGGAAATCCTCTCGGAGCTCTCGTGAAAGGTTTCCTTTCACATGCTGTTCAGACTTTCCTGCTGCCCCATTCCTGCAAGTTTTGTTGCTTGGGAATCCGACACGTGAAACCCCGCCACCGGAACGTGAGGTGCAAGAAAATAGAACGCTAGTCTACTTCCGAAGCCCTCTATGGAAGTTGTGCCTCGGTACATCAACGGTCGAAGCTTCGAACCTCGTAACTGAGCTCCATCGTACGAAGGAACAGGTCTGAGTCACAACAGCATTGGGCTGGAAGCTCTGTTCCCTCAAAGACGGCAGATACGAACCGTTTCACGACGAAACAGCAATTTTTGAATGTTTTGAAGTGGTATTTTGAGGCTGAAGAAGCGAGGTGTTGTGCAACGTGATATCCGCTTGCCCTTGCTAAATGCTCCATGAATTCCCTGCGGACAATAATAAATCCACTCTATCATTTCTGGGCAGTCGCGTGCACAGCAACAAGACTCGTATGGCATGGAGGTCACAATCATACTTGGTGTCGCGTGATTACCAAGCGTTCATTGCGGGAACCTCCTGAACAGCACACTGCGACCGTACTCAAGCGTAAGTTATCTGTCTCTCACAATGGTATCATAAACCCGTGAGTCATCAAGCCCTACCTGAACCGCAAAGAGCAAAGAGGCAATAGAGAATACTGTAGAATGACGGACTGCCGATCGCGACTAATTCCTTTTAACCAATCCTCTCATCCAGGTTAAGATCTTATTGCATAGACTGTTGTGCTTCCCGCTGAACGGCCATGCATATCTTTCGAAGAACAATATCAGCTGTGGACCCCTTCACTACGGGATACATGCTTATTTTCCCAAGCCGTGGTTTATCCCTCTGCGTCGCATAGAGCAACGATCTCGAATCGCGAAGAGGAAGGGATACCAAACGATGGAAAATTTCGGCCGTGACTCTTCTCCTATCCACTGATCTCGTCCGTATGAGCATCCCGTTTCAATGCCGCGCATAAGTATCCTGACCTCTCGACACGATTACATCGTGTGAACAACCATCGTTGAGTATATTCTGCCTTCGATCGTCACGTAGTGATGGGTAGGGAACATTTCAGTTATGCCGCAAGGGACATAACATTGAAGCACTGGAGGTGCATGTGCCGCTCAAGAAGAAGCTGTCCGTGGGATGGCTCTGTTCAACGGGACCCAAAGACTGGACTGCACTTTGCCCGGAATTCCCGAAGGCCCGACTATGTAAAATTGTTGGTCGCATCGGTATGCCTGAAAGCGATCTTCCGCATCATGCCTTCGTTCATCCGTACGGCAGGATTTCTCTCGGCTTGGCCACAACTTTGGCCTCGTTCAAATCCCCCAACGTGCTATTCGATGCGAAATGTCTCACTTCCCTCCGCGTTTCCTCTCCGATATCCGTCTTTTGCACGATCACCACCCTTCTTTCCGCGGCAGTGCTCATAGGAGGGCTGTTGACCTGGTAGGTAGGAGACGGTAGTTCCAATGTGCTCATGAAAGTAGACTGTACTCTCCGACGCGGAGGAGGGGCCAGTTCCGTGCGAGGTGGGGATCCCTCGCCGTAATCGTAGAAAGCGCTGTGTGTTCGATAGCTGGCCAATATCCGGAAGAGGCGTTTGAAGATCGGTTGCAGTGAGGGGGCAGAGGCGCATACGATGGCCGTGTTGATCTCGACCTGACCCCAGAACATCATGTATGCTCCTTTATATCGACCATCCTGGCCGCCAGTGGCCCACACGTATAGTGCCCAGATACGGAAACCGGACGCTATCGGGACCAGGAGACCGGCGGAGAACACCGCTATGAGGGATGCCCGTTTTGGTGTCGGCATGCGGAGCCGGAATAAGGACGGCATCGGGAGGATAAGAATGGCGGCATCGGAGAACATGTTGAAAGCGGCTTGGCTGAAGTAGAGAACCGGGCGCTTGAGACACCGTGACGAGTATTTGGGAAAGAATATCCTTTGATCCAGAGTTACAGAAGGATTGTACGGACATTCGAAGCCGTTGAGGAAGGCTGTGACCACTGTGAAGACTGAGACGATAGCTAAGGAAAGGAGGACTAGACGTCGAAAGGTACGAGATGTCGCAAAGCTCAGGTAAAACACCAAGATGGATATCTTGATTAGGCCGAGGGTGATCACGTATGTCATCTTCAATGTTCCCACAAATCAGTATTCCACTTTTGCGATATTGTCTTGGCTTCTACTCACCCGGTATGCGAACCATGATATTGCAGCAATCCGCAATACACGATTTATCTCGGGAGTTGTGACGCCGGTCTTGGAGGATCAGCACATGATCGGCACTTTGTTCAATATTCAGGCTTGTCTTACTGGCTTCCACCCAGGCGGAAAACGTACGCCACTACCTGTGAGCAACTGGTAGTGGTTCTCGACACAAAGGCCCCAGGTGCAGAGCTAAAGCCGGTTAGCGGGAAAACATGGAAGTCAAGCAGGTTATTTAAGAAGAACCCACCACCGAAGCCATCATGATATAATCATACGACTTCAACTTGCCCACCACCGATAGGCGGCAGTAGAATCTGGGGAGGTCAGCAGGCTCCAAGCAGCGCGGTCGATGGGACATACCGCACGGCAACAACGAGAGTGGAGAAGGCCGTCAACGTGAAGGCCGTAATTCGAATGGTGGGTCCCAGGTCAACTGGTGCGAACATTGCTGTTGCATGTGCACGCGTGCAATCACATAGGAGCCGATGACGATATTGCAGATGAAGTGTAATGGAAAAAGAAGAGAAAGACTGAAGTCCGACACGAACCTACCTCGGCCAGGTTACTGAAGTTGAAGGATTATAAGTAATGTAGGATTGCCATCCCCGTTACTTGATGAGCTGACCCGCCCCAAGGATCCGGGGATAAAGTTCCCCAACCGAACGCAGGCTCCATGCCGCATTTTGGCTGCGCTTCCTGAGTGGCCATTTCTGCATCTTGGGGGCCCAAAGGGGAATAACGCTGTCATCCTGACATGATGCACAGATTCTTGGGAGGGAGATCTGGAGACTTGGATAAGCCACCATTCAGAGATGGCGGTCCGAACCGACAAACTGCCACTACGGAGTACACCCACATTAATATTACAATAACCATAGTGAGGGATAAAGGTGAGGGGTTATTCCATGTGAGTACCCTCGGGGAGTGTGTGGGCGCGCACGGGCATAGGATACATAACTTGTGGTATGTCTGCCCCTTTGCGAGCGAAGAATTAAATGCAACAGGACAACTCTTGGCTTGAACGCATAAAAAATATCCACCTCGCATGCTTGTGGTCAGCTCCATCACCTCCTGTGCAATAGAGTTTATCAGACGGAGAGTTCCAGTAGCCAAGGCTTTTCTGGGGCGGTGTGCTCACCTCACCTCACCTCGAGGTTTGGAGATGTGTCAGCGAACATTGGCGCTGTGCGACACAGCAGTTGGAGCACCGAACCTTGAAATCGTTGGGACTGGGCCAGACATGACGGCTTTTGTGTAGATGCATGTAGTCTGACTGGTTCCAGGTCGCAGCGGGGCTACAAGGATGCATGTATATATTAGCTCTCGACATTGTCCAATGTCTCCTGAATATCTGACGTTATTGAGCTTTTGCCCAAGGACACATCGCAACGGTTCTCCGCTAGAGCTTTGTAGAGACTGGGCGCGTGTCTATTTATTAGAGTCTCCATTGGACTGGTCGACACGGGCATTGCAAACCGTAAGAGAAGCCATTCTTGTACATCACAAATGACACGTTAGTCTTGAGATCATGCCGTTATATCTTCAAGGAACGTGTGGCTTAGTCTGTGAGCTCGCAGGATGCACTTCAGTATGCGGGAGCACAGCCCACCGAGGGGTCGTCTTCGGTTCTTGACTCGCTTTGATTGGGGCTTCCCGCATATGGTGAGGGTTTCAGGTTGCTACGCAGAGAGAGAAAATCGGGAACCTCAGGTGCGGTTGTCTGCCGTCCCGATGTCCGCATCGGAGCGAGAGCCATACATGTGTAAGATGATATTAATCGTGGAGAAGGGAAAGAGAGATAGAACTGGTAGAGGTCAGATGATGATTACAGTAAAACCCCGGTATTAGGAAATCATCGGAATTAGGTAAACCATCGTGAATAAGGATGTAGTAGCAAAACCTCCCAGAACCAGATCGTGGACTTGGCTGGTCTGGCGGTCAGATGAAACGTCTGAAATGACGACGCCGAGCGCTACACGTGACGTGTTCAAAGGTAGGCTGCCCAGGTGGGTACCGGAGACAGAACCTCCTTCCAACTGCACTTCGGAATCCGCTCGTTTCTCAATGCAAGACATATTCATAGACGACATCGCTCTTCCAGACTCCTGAGATACCTGCTTCATATATCCTGGTTTAAACCGCGTTCCCTTATTTTTAGCTGCGCCTTATCAACTCAGTGATTCCAAGTTCTACCCCTCGACCAGCGAAACTCCAAGAACCACTCCTTCGCGTCCTCTACCTTGACCGAACTGTCCTCCAGCCGCCCCTACGACGCCCTCATCGACCGTTACAATTGCCTCGCACGTATGACGAATCAAGCCTCTTCCCACTCAGTTGCCAGCGAGAGCGCACCCGTTGTGCCTCTGCTCAGTGCGACCAAACCCGCAGAAGACACTCACACGCCGCCGGCACTGCTCGAGAAAGACAAACGTAAAGTGCCCGGCCTTTCGCAGACGAAAGCTGGCAGCCATGCTCAACAAAGCGCCACGAATAATGCGTCGACGAGCCAGACGATGCCAACGTCAACTCCAACCCTCGCACCGTCCCCTCCACTCAGTCCTCCGTTCGCCGATGGCAGGCCCTCACCACGAGGGAGCCCCCGCATATACCCTGCAGGCATTGGTGCCTCGCCGCGTCGCCGCATCAACCGCTCGTCGTCCCCCGGACTCCTCCATTCACCCGCTTCTTCGCAGATCTTCGAGCGCAACGTGCAGGACAGCGTGAGCGAATTGGAGGGGAGCGAACTCTCCCCACACCTTCCAACGCATATCAAAACCGAGGATTATATACCGCCTGTCCTTGAGGCGTCCTCCTTAGCCATCACAGATGACCACCTGAACCCGGACGAAGTGGAGATTGTTATGCACTCTGCCCACCAGCCTGTCGCCGCAACCGTTGCAGGGAGTCGCGATTCGATATACTCACCATTGCAGGATGACCTCTCAGTGCATGTCGGCGCAGCCAGCCATGTAGAGACTATCGAATCCACACCCAACTACGGCTCCATAGATACAACGGACGTGCGACGACTGAGCTTTATATCTTTCGCCGATGTGGTCCAAGCCGAGAATGTGGAGCTCGACCGAGACGGCGTGCAAATCATGAGCCTGTCCTCGACAGCAAACCGGTCTCCCTCACCGGTGCGCTCGCCCGCGTCGTCACACGGCTTCAGCGCCTCTCCACCCACGAGTGGGGCCGCATCAGAGAAGGGAGTAGACTACGTGTCCCCCAAAGGAGTGCGGGTACCAAACAGCCCTACCGTGGCGCTCCATGGCCTTCAGGGTCCATCACCAGCCGGAGAACTACAGATTGAGACGATGCGCCAAGCCTTGCGGAAGACGGGCAGCGGCGACTTGAGCGGCGTCAGAAGCCAGCCACTCTCTGCTATCAGTCTAGACGACAGCGGTGCCGACCGGGCTCCCTTCAAATAATAGGTACAGGAAGTGCATTGCGACGGCAGAACAAGCGAAGGGTGGAGCTGTGTTGCGGCCCGTCTCATGTTGCTGCAGCTCGGAGGCAAACAAGAGGGGCAGGTGGGTTCCTTCGATGTGCCGCTCGAGCTGAATGCAGGTAGCCTTTTCTACAATTTCGACGTTTCAACGGTGTTTGGCTTCCTGGGATGGAGCGAAAGCCGTCCTATTGTGTTGTTCCGTTGATGTGCAAAGTGGAGCTGAAGGGGAGGGATTTTTCATTGTGCTGGCTTTCTGGTTCACATTTCTCTTTGAGCGAAGCGGCAGTATTCCCTACACGGCTGAGTTCTCGGATTGACATGAGTGTTTTTATAGCTGGCTGGGGGCGCAGAGGACGTAGTCAGCGAATTCCAACCTGTTTCAAGCAATGGCGAAATTCAGTCCGTGTTCCTTGCAGGCAGTGCAACTCTGCGCCAGCAAGCAGATGTCGGCCAGGGCCCGACTGGGGCTGTATGGGAAGCTGATTCGACGGCGTTTCTGCATGTATGAAGACGAAAGGGTGTGGTCCTGGGGGTGGTGCTTGACGGGTGGCGACAGCAGAGTGAACTGCAGGTATGCGGGAACGCCGTCGCAACCCTACAGTGACACACGATAGATGTATCAGAGCACACATGAGGAGGTCTTCTTTTCCCGGCATGAACCTCGCACCCAGCCAGCCTATGGTAGGTAGCAATTAGATATAAATTCGATCATCAGCTTGGTCCTCTTTATTTGTAGATAGATAGATCCGCCGGCGACGCCAAGCCACCCACCTATCCTCGCCTCCAGCTTTCGGATCGGATCCTCTCTCGGCCCTTTGTCACCACCACCACCACCACCACCACCACCATCACCACCCATTCCCTCCACCCTTCGTCCACACTCCCGCCGTCCCTCCTGCTACTACTCGCCCCAAGCCGCTCGCTCCACTCTGCTCCCCGTCCGTTTTCGAGTATGCCCCGGGTGGCCATCAAACGGCTTTGAACAGCAGCGCCCTTCCCCCGCCCCCAGTGCCTGGGCCTTTTGCCCTCCACCGCTGAGAGAGAGAGAGGCGACTGATAGACCATGCGCCATAACTCCCTCTACCTCTCTCCGCAGTCCTCACGGCTCCCGAACGAGCTCTCCTTGCAGCGTCATTGTTGCGCCGGTTCCTGTTACACGTCCGACCCGTCGCCAATGCAAAGCTTGCGCCGCCTATAGCTGGTAACGGGCAACATCAACAAGGTGCATGCGCAACCTCTCTTCCCACCAGCGTCCGCCCATCTCCAACAGTACCTGGCGTCGTTGTTGGGTATATCCGTTATCTCACCCAGAGCTTCGCTGAGGTTTCTCGTGGCGCATCCCTTGGCCCAACATGGATCAGGCAAAGAGGCCACGGGAGCGAAAAGACATGGGCTCACCAGAGATGACGGCCGCAACACCTGTCCAGCGAGACGCCCGCCGCGAGCTCTCCTCGTCAACGATACGCGCCGTCACTCCAGAGTCAATCCCCGAGAATGGTGTCGCTATGCAGCAGTTTGCCGGTTCCCCGCCCATATCTCCCCGTTCAGGCGGCGGTCAGGCTTCAAGGGGGACGAATCCGCGCAGCTTCGTGGCAAGAACAAACGAGAACGAATACTGGAGAAATGCAAGAGAATCGGGTACACGACCGCGCACGAGGACAATGGAGGAACGGTCAACGCGGGACAGGTCACCACCCAATCTGTTCGTGACTAGCCGTCATCGCATAGGCTCAGTTCACTCGACAGCACCTGCGACATTTCAGGGCCTTGAAGAGGCGGTAGTCACTTCCATTGGTCATCCCTCGATCGCATCACCGCTCTCTCAACCCCCACCACGTACATCTAGCACAAGCAGTAGACGCATCATGAAGCAATCGCGGGATACCAGTTCTCCAACACCACACATGTCGGCGCCTTCGGATCACCAACCCGACTCATGGATCAGCCCTACCCTCGCCTCCGATGCCAGGAAAATCTTGAAGTTGATGAGGTCTACTTGTGGCAGAATGCAGGGCATGCTTGCCTTCAGGAGAGGGGAGACAAGCCCGTGGTCTCTTTCGTATTGCTACATAAACGAGGATTCCGGTAGTCTGGTGTATGAATCTAAGAATGATGCCACTTATCACAGAACCCTGATTCCCGACCTAAGGGGCTGCAAGGTACAGACCGCTTACGATGCGGATGCCTACACCGCATATATCCATGTCCGGCCGCACAACTCCAAACTCGATGTCTTTCTTCGGCCACCCACGCAGGATGAGTTTGAGTCCTGGTTTGCTGCTCTGCTCTGTTGGCAGCCCATGCGCCCTAAAGGAATACACAATAAGATGGCCAAACCGCAAGCGCCCCTGGTACCAGAGCGACGGCTAGCGGACAGTAGGAGAATGTCAGAGGTGTCCTTGTTTGGTAAGGAGGCTCCCATCATCAAAGTTGGGAAAATGATATACTGGGATACGAGTGTCACCTACAGCAACACAGGTACCCCAAAGTCGGCAGCTGGTTCGCGGCCACAGGCTTATCGAATCCAGAGCCATGGCTCGCGACGGTGGAGGCGGGTGTCGTGCACCCTCCGTGAGAATGGCGAACTGAAGCTGTACTCGGACACAGACGTGACATTGGTCACTGTTGTGCAGCTCAGGGAACTCTCACGTTGTGCCGTTCAACGTTTGGATCCTTCCGTCCTCGACAATGAGTTTTGCATTGCCATATACCCCCAGTATACGTCCAGTTCTACTTCTCTGTCGTTGTTGCGGCCAATCTTCCTGAGTTTGGAGTCACGAGTCCTATACGAGGTCTGGATTGTCCTCTTGCGCGCCTTTACAATACCCCAGTTGTATGGACCGAAACCTTCTGTGGATGATGATGGCTCTCCCACTTTGGATCTGTTCCGCATGGAACGCTCGCTCTTTGTGAGAGTCATCGAAGCCAGATTACTTCCGCCTATTTCACCAAAGATGGAGAACACGCCGACACGACCGACTTCGGCTGCCGCAAATTCAGGAGGATACTACGTTGAAATCCTACTGGACGGCGAGACCAGAGCGCGCACCATGGCCAAGTCAGAAGGCCAATCACCATTTTGGAGAGAGGAGTTTGAGTTCACTGATATGCCGGCAGTGCTCGCCACCGCGTCTCTATTACTCAAGAAGCGGATGCCCAACCCTAGACACGGCAAAGACGTGTACGAGATTCCAGACTTCTCAACGTCCGATGCCTCAGGTGGATATGCGGGTATCTCGTTTGACCAAACATACGGGAAAGCGGATATCTACCTTGACGACCTAGGCCCCTCGCAAGAAGTTGAGAAGTGGTGGCCTCTTGTCAACATGTATGGGAACTCGGTCGGGGAAGTTCTTGTCAAAGTCTCTTTTGAGGAGAGCGTTATCCTAATGGCAAGAGACTACCAGCCGATGTCCGAGTTACTACACCGATTCGACAACGGCTTAACATTACAGATTGCGCAGATGATCCCCAACGAGCTGAAAAAGCTGAGCGAGTACCTGTTGAACATCTTTCAAGTCTCCGGGCAAGCGATCAAGTGGATTCGTAGCCTAGTTGAGGAGGAGATCGACGGGACGTTGAAGGAAACCCCAGCCAGTCGGCTGAGATTTAGCAAGAGGTTAGGCAGCACAGACTCTGGTGATAGCTCTAACAGCTTTCCCAGCACTTCCGACAGAGAGCTTTTCCTCCGGGATATGCATAACAATGCTAAGCTGGAAGCCAACCTGCTCTTCCGCGGCAATACGTTGCTGACGAAAGCCCTTGACTTCCATATGAAGAGGCTCGGAAAGGAATACCTCGAAGAGACGCTATCGGAGAAGCTACGAGAGATTGACGAGCGCGACTACGACTGTGAGGTTGACCCAAACCGCATCGAAGGCAAGCACGAGCTCGAGAGGAATTGGAGACGCCTGATCAACCTGACGGAAGAGATCTGGCGGGCAATCTATAACTCTGTGCCACGATGTCCGCAAGAACTGAGGCTCATCTTCCGGCATATCGCAGCTTGTGCCGAAGATCGATATGGCGGCTTCCTGCGGACTGTCAAGTACAGCAGCGTGTCTGGATTTCTCTTCCTGCGATTCTTCGTTCCGGCCGTGCTGAATCCCAAACTCTTTGGCCTTCTGAAAAGTAAGGCAACCTATTTCTCGCTCATATAAAGATCGTCTGTGGCTAATATGAAATAGACCATCCCAAGCCGCGTACCCGTCGTACCTTGACGCTTATCGCAAAGTCCCTGCAAGGTCTTGCAAACATGTCGTCATTCGGTACCAAGGAGTCATGGATGGAACCCATGAATGCCTTCCTCACCTCACATCGCCAAGAGTTCAAGACATATCTCGACAACATCTGTTCCATATCGTCGTCTACGTCGCCCTCGCCTCCTATCCCTCCGTCCTACTCAACCCCGCTCGCGATTTTACAGAGACTGCCCCCAACATCACGTGAAGGCTTCCCCTCTTTGCCCTACCTTGTTGACCATGCGAGGAATTTCGCAGCGCTTGTTGACCTGTGGTTAGAGAACACTCAGAAGAGCGCACCCAACATCCAAAGCACCGATGGTGATCTGCTCAAGTTCCATAATCTATGCGTCAGCTTGCATGAGCGGACCCAGGAATGTCTCCAGCGTGCGGAGGCTGCAGAACGGCCATCGTCGAGCCTCTCTGTAAAATGGGAAGAACTGGTTGAGCAATTGCAAGGATCTGCCTCGTTCGAACCGTCCAGGGGCGCCGCAACACGCAACAAGGCACACCATGCGTCTAGCCTTTCAGACGTCACCGCGTCTGCCCCTACCAGCCCTGAAAACTCCAATGGTGCAAACATGGTTGACGATGCCGAGAGCTCAGAGGAGACCAGCACCCCCATCACTATAAAGACAGCTCGGTCTAACAAGTCACGTCACGGGCAGACACCATCGATCTCCGCTTCACAGAGTTCCTTGAATTCGTCGTTCGCGCCCTTCCTCTCGAACCCTTTCTCTCGAAAAGAAGGTAAATCCGCAAAACCCCACGGCCACATGGCAAATGATTCCGCGTCCGCAGCCGAGGAGGATGAAGCAGACGAAGCAGACACTCGACCCGGCAGCTCCGACGGCGTGCACAACTTCCCCACCCATCCCCCCTTCGTTTATCCACACCGTACAACCTCGCCGATCACACACCCGTCCAACTCCTCAACCTCGTTCTCTGCACGCCACAACCCTGACGCAAATGTCCCTGTCAGCTTGAGCCATATCGCTACACAAACTGGCAGGGCGATAGGACACCCTCCCGGCTCAGCTGGCGGCGACTCACTCGATGAGTCCGACGCAGGGAGCTTTGATGAGCATGCTACGGCCCTACCGGTGTTTGATAAGGAGCGGGAGAAGGAAAGGAGAGGGGGTTTGCAGAAGATCCTGCCTTTTAAGAGGAGGGGAAAGAAAGAGGAGAAGGAAAGGGAGAAAGAGATTAAAGAGAGGGAGAGAGGTAAAGAGAGGGAGAGAGACAGAGAAAGAGACAGGGATTACCGTGACCGTAGCGTTGATAGGGAACGGGGGAGTAGCGCACTCGGGGACTATAGCATGGGAAGGCGAGGGGCAGTTAATGAAGGTGGTGAAGAGCGAGAGAGAGACTTCTGACTAGATGGCTGGTTGACCGGAACGTATCACAGGTCGTCTGCGGCGGCAGGGGCGCAAGAGATACGGAGGAGGAAGAGCGCTTCAGAGTTGTGAGGGATGAGGTTGAGCGGATGTGCGAGGACCCACCTAGCTTATAGGGAAGGGGTGTGTCGAAGAAAATGTCTGGAGGCAGCAGTCGATTTTCAGTCCTGCGTTCAAGCGAGCACGCTTTTGCAGAGAACGGCGCCACAAGATAGCATGGTATGGCCGGCGGCATCGTTTTGATTGCTATAGACTGCCTACGAGGAAACCCCCGCCTGGAACGATTGGCGTTTACGATTCACGAAGTTGATTTTTGTCATTCTTCTTTCTTTCTTCTTTGAAAAAGTTGGTCACGGATGATGAGTTGCGTTTTCATGGTGAACAGGCACAGCGAATGGGAGTTGAGCAGGCGGTTAGCTTGATCAGCGCTTGGTTTGTACCAGAGTCAGTTCGGGAGGGTCGGGGTTGGATGATACCGCTGGAGGGCGACTTTTGATTTTGACTTCGTTTTGCGAGGAGGGAGGTTGACTATTGCGTTTTGCCTGCTCCGCCTTCAGCGATAGATCATGAGGGTTTTTAGGAGGTTTATTGTAGTTTTTGTCTATTGCTTGTTTGCTTGCTGTAGGTAGCTTTATTGCATATATTATATTGGTATATTGGATAACCTAACCTTGAAATTCATACAAGTAAATCGTCCCAGTGACCAACTATATAACAGACCTCGGGATGAACGGAGGGGTAGGCCGCACAGACACTGTACCTTATTGATCAGCCCCGCCATTATTGCGATTGAGGTGAAGAGTAGTAACCAACCGTGCAATTCTCCTTTTGTACACGTACTCCCTTTAGATAAGCAAGTGTAGCGACTTGTCTTCCTCTATAATGCTACGCTACTTTCGGAATTCACAGTGCAGCTGCTGGCGCACTGCATGGTGTTGCAGCCAGTCTTGGCGCGGCAGGAAGCTATAGAACGTTCTGGTAGCTTGTGTCCGGAAACACCTTCCTCGTAGCGGGTCTCACCGCGTATATACTCTCTTCCTTACCTTCTTCTCACCTCTCTGTTTCACTTCTTAGTCCAGTGGATCGCTCGCTTCTACCAACCGGTTTTCCTCCTTCACCGTTCACCAGCTCTCGATCTCTTAGATACCCCAGCTACCGCATCAGCAAACCGCAACCATGACGGAAGAGCACAGTACGTATTTTCATGTCTACTGCAGGGTTACAGAGTAATTGGAGTCTGACAATGCATGCAGAGCGTCCTCGTGTCTTCTTCGACATCACCATTGGTGGTACCCAGGCCGGGCGAATTGTTATGGAATTGGTAAGTTGAGGTTCCGAGCTGGCGATGTTGAGGGAGCTATGAGCTGACCAAAATGTAGTACGATGACAGTATGTGTCCCCGCAATTATACATAAATTGGGAAGGCCTTTGGGGATTGGCAACCTGGAGGGAATGTAGCGGCCTACGCCTTCAGGGGCATATCGTTCCTGAGAGCAGGCTACACATAACCTCGACTCCAAGCCGTCCTCCAACCCCCATTTCCTCCACTCCTCCCTCACATATACCGCGACACACCAATTAACAACCCTCTCACAGTCGTCCCCAAGACCGCCGAAAACTTCCGTGCCCTCTGTACCGGCGAAAAGGGCGTCGGACAATCCGGAAAACCCCTCCACTACAAGGGCTCCATCTTCCACCGCGTCATCAAGTCCTTCATGATCCAGGGCGGAGACTTTACGCAGTTCAACGGCACGGGCGGCGAGAGCATCTACGGCGAGAAGTTTGATGATGAGAACTTTGAGAGGAAGCACGAGCGGCCGTTTTTGTTGAGCATGGCGAATTCGGGACCGGGTATGTATGAGAGGAGGAGAAGAAGAGGGTTTAGGGTTGCATGGAAAGCTAATGCGAAGTAGGTACGAACGGAAGCCAGTTCTTCATCACGACGGTGCCGACGCCGCATCTCGACGGGAAGCACGTTGTATTCGGCGAAGTCATCAATGGCAAGGGCGTGGTGCGGCAGATTGAGAATCTGCCGACGCAGAAGGGCGATGGAGATAAGCCGTTCGATGACGCCGTCATTGCTGGTTCGTGAACACCCAAACCCTTTCTCACTCCGTTATACTAACTCTTCTCTCCCTCGCAGACTGCGGCCAACTCACCGGCGAAGCCTACGAAACCGCCACGCAGAAAATCACCGACCCCACCGGCGACCCCTACGAAGACTACCCGGAGGACCAACTCGCCGACCCAGACGCCGAATGGAAAGGCACCGAGATCCTCGAGATTGGCACGAAGCTGAAAGACCTGGGCAACGCGGCCTTCAAGAACGGCGACCTCAAGCTCGCCGTGGCGAAGTACGCAAAGGCCCTGCGCTATGTGCACGAGTACCCGGAACCCCTGGACGAGGATCCAAAGGACCTGGGCGAGAAGCTGGATGCGCTCAAGGCCGTGCTGTATTCGAATTCGGCGCTGCTGCAGAATAAACTCGGGAGGTTCAAGGAGGCGGTCGAGAGTGCGTCCAAGGCGCTCGAGGTTTCCGGGTTGGGCGACAAGGAGCGGGCAAAGGCGCTGTTCAGGAGGGGACAGGCGTATGCGGCGAGGAAGAACGATGAGGATGCGTTGGCGGATCTAGAGGAGGCGGTGAAGTTGGTTCCTGGGGATGCGGCGGTGGTGAAGGAGCTCGAGGCCGTGAAGAGGAGGGTTAAGGAGAGGAGGGAGAAGGAGAAGAAAGTCTATGCGAAGGCTTTTGACTTTGCTTAGGGTGAGGTCATAGTGGCCGAGACTTTCTAGGAGGAGAGGATAAGGAGGGAAGTCTTAAGGGGAGAGGAAGGAGAAATGATATTTCTGGGCCGTGCGGGTCAGAGGCCATGCTCAAGCGAGAGGGAGTGAGAGCGGTTCATGCAGGAATATGATATCCAAGTCCATCAAACGGGATCTTTGTAGAAATCAACCCTTAAGGCAACTGAACCTGATTATTTCAACCAATTCGTTGAGTGAGTGCGTGGGTAAGGGAGAAGAGTCCTCGATATATGGTTGAGTAAGGAAGTTCATGACTATCTCCCCCGCTCGAAAACGGCAAGTTAGAATCGCTTTCGAGCTCAAGAGCAAGATTGAGACTGAATTCCAATTTCACGGATCCGAATCTGTCTACTTCTAGTGCATACCCGACTGCATACCCAACTCACTCTCCATCTGTCTACTGTGTAAGCAATGCGTCTTCGGAAACTGCTCTTGCAATAATGCAACCAACAGCATAGATGCCCACCATTGCCATGTGTATACGCGGCTATTCAAAGATTGAATGCGTCAACCAATGAATAAGGAGAAAAGAGACTCAAACCAACAGGAAAGGAGCATCGACCACCAACCTTTTGAGCCTCGGTCATTTCCATGCATGCAATAACCAACCCTCTCCGTCATCCAAAACGCAACCTGCTCAATCAATAGGCGACCATCCGCCCGTCTAATGCTTCCCCGCCACCGAGAATGGCAAACACCTCGACACGACATCATTCTCGCTGTGGTGCTGTGGGACCCCGCCCTGCAGCACCCTCCGCAAAGCATCCAACCGCTGCAACTTCCACCATTTGTCGATGCGCACCTCGACATTCCGATTGACCTTGAACTTGATCCTCCCTCCTCCGTATGCCCGGCCAGTCTCCTGGTCCAAAGCAGTACTGTACCTAGGTCCACGCGTGGGCTTCTCAACCGAGTTGCGAATATCCGAGAAAGACGAATGCAAGCTCTTCTTATCCTTCTTGGAGATTCCCCGTCCGTGAATCGTCGCCAGCTCGTCCAGCGTATGCAGCAGCTGGTCCTGTCTTCTCCAGACTGTGTACCGCCTCACCATCCTGTCACCGTGGTTAGGCTGGTCTTCGTCTTCCGAGTCCAGATCCGCCTCGTCGACATCCTCATCCGCCTCGAGCGGCGTGTACGACTTCTCATACAGCAGCGCAATGTTCTCCCCAGCGGCAATCTGCACGCCTGCATCGGCGCTCTCGAGCTGATCGACGAAGGCCTCAATGGCATTTTCCGTAGCCTCTTCCATATCCTCGATCTCGGTGGCAAGCAGACCCCAGCCCTGCAAAGCGGCCGTCACCACGCTTGCTTCGTCGTGAGCCCCGACGGCAAGGCCGTCCGATTCCACAATCTCGAGGAAGAAGCTCATGATATCTTCCATCTCCTCCTCGGAAGTCCCGCCGAAGAAGGCAGCCGTGCTGAGAGCGTGAATTGCGCCGACCTTGATCGCAGACAACTCGGAGTCTGATATCGTACGTCGGAGCACATCGGCGACCTTGTCATAGATGTCGTCGGAATCCAAAGTGACGATAACAACACAAAGGGCTGCGCGGTGTGAGTGAGTGTTCACTGCTTGGGGGTACAGTGTGCATACCTTTGAGTGCGCAGATGGTCTCATGTAGCGTTGTCTCCTGCCTGATACTCCTCAGTATGGATGGCAGCAGCTCGCTCATCCGGTTCTCGATCTGATCTCTGGCATATCGGAGCATGAGGATGTGTGCGAAGGCATTGAGGCTCTCGGCGCGGCCCTCGGTGGTAGACCGCTTCAGGTTGACAATCTGTTCGATACGCGTATTCAGTTCCGTCTTCCAGGCGTCAGCAGGAACCTCGGCGTCGTCACCATTCCCATTCAGAACGCCATTGATGGAATTCGTACTAATCGCAAATCCGTTAGCGTGGTGTTTGTGTGCCGAAGTGCGAACATGATGTCATCGATCACCAACGCGTCGAACCAACACAGAAATTATTGAAGACTCACCTCCAGTTCGTCTCGTCACTCAAGTACTCCTCGTCGTCCGAATTTGCGCGACTGGCATTGCGCGAGGCCGCGCGCGAAGCTCCAGGGCTGTTCACCGCCGAACCTGCTCTGGAAGAGGCGCCCGAAGCCATCCGCGAGCGGGCTTTGCGGGACACGGTCTTGCCGCTCTCGAGGGCCTGGCGTCGCAAGTCATGCATTTTGAAGGCGTTGGGTGGTATTCCGGTAGAATAAGGAGAAGGATATGCTCGTGGAGGGGCCTATATATGGCCGTAACTTCAGTGATGAGCTGGCGCCCACTTCACCGTTGGCGGTTGCGGGGCCTAGATAACGAGGTGGGATGGTTGCAGTAGTCACTGCAGAGGTAAGGCGTCTCGGTAGGCGTCTGAAGGGATGCGTAGTTGGCGTGAAAAAGACATTGAGCGGCTGGTTGGTGGCAATCAACGGTGAAGTGCTTCGAGAAGTATGAGAAATCAACAGTGCTTGGAAGAAGTGTGCGTGTCTGTATGCCCAGGTGATGGGGACTGGATGACCAACCGACGCTTGGAAGCAGCGCACGTGACAGGCTGGGATTTTGCCAAGACCCTTAGCCATTTGGGTAAAGTCTGCACCGCCACTTTCACCACGACCTACCAACAACTGCTAACCTTGTTGATTTCATGCTCAGTCGCTCCTCTTACTAATATATCGTGCGAGAGAACGGTTATTCGTCTGCCTTGTTTGTTCCAGGGGTCATGCGGCTGAGACTCTCCGAAACAAGCGCGCTGGTGATAGGCCTGGCAAGAGGACTTGGGTAGATTGCACTCAACATGTCGAGTTAGCCTACGGAAGCAATATGCAGAGTCTCAAGCTGAAGCACACTCACGATCCGAAGTTCAAGTCGATTACGCAATGTCCACTTCAGGCCCACTGATAGCTTACGCCCTCAGGGCCTAAGTCGGGACAATATGGTTCCGCTTCGTCTATCCCCGATACTCTGAGCATTTCTCACTTCGGTACCTTTGGCCGACACAAGGTCACTGGACTGTTGACAAGCAATATCAATAAATACCTTGTCCCTATCAAATTAACGGTGCTCTACTGTGTACTGTGTACAGTAAGCTTCTCTGGTCCTAAATATACCACCATCAAGCTCGCTACCCCGCCTCATCCTCCCGCAGTCTAGGATTCATGAAGGATGTATTTGCGGGCATGCCTAGGAAGAGGTTCTACTCCATTGCGGGACAGGCCTATCAGCCTCGCCGCAAGTCCATGCTCATCACCTATTTCCCCCGCCACGGGCCACTAGAATCTGATCCGATCAGATCTGACCCCCAGACGATCTCGGAGTCAGACTCCAGCCTCACCCCCAAAACCCACAAGCAAAGCCGTTATTGTGCCACACCCGGATCTGCTCTCTCGCCCATGCTGCCCATTCCCCCGCCTCGCTCAACCAACCTAACCTGGTTATAAGATGTCATGCTCAACTACAATTTCTCTAAGTTTGAAACTTCAGCCGCAATGTAGTCCGGCCCCGGACCCGACCCCAACCCTGTTGATAGCCCATGGCAAGGCTGAGCTTGCCTGATACTGTGCGAGCGGAGAATGACGTCTAATGCCGACCGTTTTGGGTAGGGTCGCCGTGTCCGGAGGGAGGCGGAAAAGCTGAAAGGCCCAATTGCAATGCTAGAAGGCCCTACGTTTCGGAACCGGTTGAGACACATGCTGTGTCCTTTTGCAATCGGCCGACGCTGCGAGTAAGTGCACGTGTGTACTGGGATATGTACCTCGAACTGTAGTGGAGTCGAAATAGCATTCAGAGAGAACGTCTGGCATGGGGACCGTAGGTAGAGAATCACTGTCCTGCGTAATTTATCCTACCTCTTCAGCCGCAGCAACATGAAGTCACGTTTGGAGCATAGCAGATCAATATGTTCAGTGACAGCTCACATTCAGGCTCCCCCCTTAACCTGAAACCCACCTATGCAACCACCCCCAGCCCAGTGTCGGAGTCCAAATTCCTGGCCGGCCCACTTGTACGCCCTCCCGTCCGCTGTTCACAGTACCACAGCCACGTGTGCAGCGCAGCACAGCACAGCGCCGCACGCACGTAATGTGGCATGCGGCAGAGGCACAAGCCTTAGCAGCGCGTGTGCATCCTAGATCTGCCTCGCGGCTAAGATCGCTTAGAGCAGTGTTGTGTACTGCGTATCTAATTTTGTAGCAGATGGGCCTGTGGTGGAATCGGAAGAGCTGGAGAGCGGAAGAAGGATTTCTGCAATGCTTGAATGTTGAATTGAGCGAGTAAGAGGAAAGATAATGAATGGCCAACTCCAACCCAATGTGTCTAGCACCATATGTCTATGTGTCTAGGCGTACCATTCCAGCGCCGAGCTATGCAATCCCAATCCCTATCGCGAAATCGACCTTCGCGCTCGCCCTCTTCCCATAGATTCCCTAACTCCCGGAAACAAAAACACAAAGAAGTAGCAGTGACAATAAAGATCCCTAATAATAAGGCAGCCCCATCGGGTTCGCACTCCTCTCTCCAGGCCTCCTCTTCGGGATGTCCAAGTGGTGGAAGTTCCGCAAATGCTCCACCAGATGATCCCGACGCGTGAACCCTTTCTCGCCCACGCGGTTGCAGCGCGGAACCGTGCAGGGATACTCGGGCATACCTACGCCGTGGACGGTTGCTTGGTGGCGTTGGAGGTCTGCCAGGCGGGTGAAGTTTGCGGTGCTGGCGCAGGAGGGGAGGTCGCATGTCCATGTCCTGGTACGAGTCAGCATATTGTGCAAACTGATACATTGATTGAATGCCTGGATCGTAAAAGACCAAAAGTCACCTACCTCGTGCGACTCCCGCTCCTACTCCTCCGGTCTGCCTTCTGCGATTTCCGTCTGCGAGTCTCCTCATCCTCGGGCACGGCCAGCCGACTGGAGCTAGAAAGAGCTAGGCTTCCGGAATTGCCGCCGTAGTACTGCTGTGTCGCTCCCATCGACGTGGTGTAGCTGGGGACGACGACTTGAGGCATGGCCTGAAGGTAAGTGTCCGGAATGATCTGGTACGGCTCAGGAGGATAGCAGTTCCACTGCTGGTAGTAGGCTGTTATTTGTGATTGCGTGTACTGCGGGACTCCGGTTGCGTAAGTGGATGTGGTGTAGAGATAGCTGGAGCCGTCGCCGGAAGAGTACTTGAGGGAGGTTAGAGTGATGAAGATAGAAGGCAAGGTGGATTTACCGGATAGGCCATTGTGAGCGAGTTTCCCGTACGGGTTGAGGGGGCGGTCTTGGGCGCAAGAGACAGGTTTCCGGGCGAGCAAGGAGATGCCTTCTCGGGATCCAGTGAATCGCAGCGGGGAATTGAAGTTGGTTGAACGGACTCTGTAGGTTTTTGAGTATCGGGATCGTTCGGGTCGATGATGTTGAGTATGGGCGCAAGTAACGTCGAAAGCTGATGATGATCGTGAACCTGATAGTACGAAGACCACCTGTCATGACTTTATATATGAGTATGTTCACTGCCTCTCTCACGATGTTTGAACATAAAACATACACAGCTTTTCGACTAAGAAGAGCATTCCGACGCCTTGCATGGGAAGCGGGCCCAGTGTGCTGGTTACAATGCTTGTACGCCTTTCGATGAACCATGACTGCTGGTCGATCTGAATGTGTGCTGTGGCTTGCAAAGAGAGTGTAGCTGTTTGGAAGGATGGAAGAGCCTTGAGGCGGTGTCCAGACTATGATGATAGGGCTGAGACGGGCGCCCGAGCGGTCGAGCAAACCGCAGCGATTTTGTAAATGCCTAGCTTTCCAGAGCTTAATTGTAGCCCTTGTCAGCTTCGGCTTAAATTTTACCCTAGCTACTAAACTCGATTCTGTGATGTACAATAAGCGAATGCCTATATGCGGACGCCGGGCGTGGTGCAGCTACATCTGCGCACATCTTGTAAGATTCTCTTCAACTTCGACCAACGGTGAGATGAGTCGCCTTCGGGCGTTGAAACGAAGATAGAATATGCCGTGGCGCAGTAGAGAACTTCACTTACGGAGTTTAGACCCAAATCGAGCGGCGGTGTAGAATTCCCCACAGATGGGATGATCCCTCAAACGTTCAAACTGGGAAAAGGGGAAACAGAGAAGCAACGAGTGCGACAGATGTTTGATCTCGAATAGAGGCCGGGACCATATCATTGTTTACACCCTCGCATATCAAGGTTTCAATTTCACGCGGTTGGATGCCCTCGTCCGAAAGGACGGACAAATCATCGATCATTTTGACGCTCAGGGTCAGTTTGCTATCCCGCAGGAGGTCTCCAAATCGAGCGGCCTGTCCCCGTAGACCCACGACCAGAGCTTGCAAGGCACTAGAGGGGTACGCCATGCCAAAGGGGAATCTGGGGGCCATCCACAGTGGTGGTTCCCAGCGGTGAAGGGCTCCGACTTGATCAAGCCCAGCTACGGGTAAAGGCGTTCGAAGAACAAGCGGGAAGTCGCTATGAGCAACCGCAGGGAGGTAGGCAACCTCGCTAGCCCTGCGAACCAAAGATTGGAGGACAATCCGATGTATAACCTGGTCAAACGGGGCGATTGATGACCTCAACCTTTGGACGCGGTTAGATACATTTGCCACACCGCAAAAAGAGTGCGGAGCATGCATACGCCAAGGACGGAGACGACAGCGATCATAGAGCCACCGCCATGCTGAGCCATAATAGGCATAGCAAACTAAGGGCCATAACGTTGGTATGGTGTTGGTTCTGAGTTCGCAGGTCGGAATGAGGTTGAGCTAAGAGAAACGTGCATGGGGGATTCAGCGGATGCATTCCAGAGCGGCCCGCAGCATACCAACAAGCCACGCGCGAGGCTGCTTTGCTGGGGTGGGGGCGGCCAATCAGCGGAGTCTGGAAAAGGTTAGAGTTATGTCAGATCTGTCAGAAAACGCCCGGAAGCACCCAAAGCAAATTTCTTTCGAACCTGAAGACTAATAAGCAGCACCGAAAGACTCGGAGTTGACCGTTGTCTTGACCAATACCTATGGTTATGCGCTCTATCTCTAAGCGCCACGAACCTGCGGAATGAGCACATCACAGCTTCACCAGACACCCCCTCATGGTCCGTTCGCCTTGCTTTCTGTATTCGGGAATGCCTCCGTTCTGGACGAACCGAACTAAAAGGTCAAAACGTCGATTTCACCGTCGGTCCAGGGAGAAGAGGAAAGCCGCTTCCGACGCCGAGGTTGTTTTATACTCACCAACGAGCGCCATCTATCTATCGTACGTATGGAGAGAGATTCCACCGTTGCACTGGGTCCATCACGGAGATGGGTATTTGAACGGAAGAATCACTGCTACAAGGTAAGTCCAGGTCCATGTGCCAAAGATAGGCCATGAGCTGCTATTCCACTACTTAACAGATCGGCCTTGCGATCGGACAAGCAACCAGACGGGCAAATCGCACAGCCGCCCGGCCAAGCTGAACCCAAAACAAAATCCCTGTCACAGAGGATCTCTCCAGACTACTACGACTTCTCGCTCATAGCTCGTCTTCAAGGAATTTGTACTGGAATTTGAAGTCTGCTTTTCTCCTATTCATCCTGCAAGGCGTCAGTGTCCGCATTTGAGAGGTGCCCCCAGAGGGGAAGATGGGGGCCGGGGCAGCAGCACGAGGATAGAGTGCTTACCATGTACTTTCATAGTCGAAGAACCTGTACGTGCCCTGCTCGTAGTCTTCAGTGATCTCCTTGGGCTCTTCATGGCGTTGGAACCAAGTTTGGTACTGCTTGTGAAATCTCCAGCTTTGGGCCTTCAACTGCTTAGCTGCGAGGTATTGCTCGTACGTGCCTTGTCGATAATAGAACATATAGAACAGTGTATCAACGTCAATCCGCTGATACAATCGGGGGTCGTCGAACACCGCCAGGGGTTCCTGCGGATAGTGGTTCGGCGTGTAGGGGTATGGATGCTGTGGTCGGTAATGGCGGGGCGCCTCCGTGTCCGCGCACTGCGGCTCTTGGCTCATTGAGATGGCGAGGAGTCTCTCATCCGGTGGCTTAGAAACAGAGACAGAAAGTTCATTCTTGGTCGCCTCGTATGACTCGAGAAGATCTTGCAGACTGGCCGGTAGATGATACACTGACTCTTGTTCCTCGTCCTCTTCCTCTCCACGAGACTCGCCATTAGTCAGAGCAGGGGTGGCTGCGGTCGGCTCCTCCTCTTCAGCAACCTCTTGCGCTTGGACTCTCTTACTGTCAGTTGCTGCGCGCGAGACTGTCTCCTTGTCCGATACTGGAGCAGCCACAGCAGCGGGTGCGGCCGGGGATTTTCCAGTATGCGGCTGCGCCGCTGTTTCTGGTGCCACCGGTTGGGACTTCTGCGCAGACTGAGCGTCCGCCACAACTGCCTGGGTCTTCTGAGCAGGCTGTGAGTAAGACGGTGCGGGAGAGGCTGTTGCGCTTGTTCGTGCGCCCGACGGTGTCAGAGATGACTGTGCAGCTGTGACACCTGGAGGTGGTGGCAGAGGTGCGATACCCACTCCGTTCTTATCGTTCGCAGCAGCAGCGGCGGCGGCCGAGGCATACTTTAATGGCTCTCCCGGAGCTCGCGCTGGCAAGGGGGCTGGCTTCATGAACCCACTTGTCGAACTAGATGCACCCGGCAGCGGAGTATGCAGAGTCGCGAGCGCGGGGAGTGGTGACTTCAGCTGTGTCGAGGGCCGACGTGCACTAGTTGCGGTAGATTCTGCAGCTTTGCCCTTAACGCCTATGCCGGGCCGAGCTTCTGATTCCGCTGTATCTTCCTGCACTGATTGTGTGTCCTGGGATGATACGCGATCCACATCCCCACCCATTCCAAACATGGCCTCCTCCTCGTCCAAATTGAATTCATCGTAGATCGTATCGTCCTCCATGAAGTTCGGTTCTGCATTGCTCTCGACGTAGTACCGAATGTCCTCTTCGACCTTCTTGACCTCTTCCACTTCCACATTGCCATTGAGCAACGCCCTTTGCAGTAGCTCAAGCTTACTTTGATGCCACTTATGGCGCTCCACTGATTCTTCGAGTTTGGATATGCGATCGGCCTTGCCAGCGTCTTTCTTGCCCTTCTTCAACGTCGCCTGAAGATTCTCCACCTCTGCCTCGCTTTGCTCTATTTGCCTCTCCAGCTCGTCAACCATTGTGGACACGAAATCGAGTATCTCCTGCTTCTCCTTCTCCTTTGGATCCATCTTGGACGCCAGCTGAAGTCCCTCTTTCGAATATGCCTTCGTCTTCATCTCCTTCTCCACCGCCTTGAACTTCTCCATTTGTGTCTCAATGAGCTTTCGGTAGTCGAGCAACGGCTTCTTGTCCTTGATGTCGTTCATTGTGGCCCATGTCTTGATCTGGTCTCGCGACCGCTGGAGCTTCTTGATCTCTCTCTTCAGATCACCCTCCAGCTTCTCCTTCTGTGACGGATTCTGGCTGTGCTGGATCTTGTCATATATGCTTTCGAAGACGGCGACACGCTCTGTGACCGACTTGAACGTCTTATCGATCTCCTGCTGGAGCTTTCGTGCTGCCATGGCGGATGGAGCCTCGGGGGGTGGGCTGAGGGAGCCGGATGAGAGGGAATAGTTCGTGCGAATGGTACTTTGGCTAGGAGAAGGGAGGATACAGGTGGTCGATAGGAGTCGGATGGCTATTGCGCTCACGGCGTTGTTTGCTCGTTGAGGAGGTTGTGGCTGCATCAACGCGGCAAGCCTAGGCGATTCGCTTCGGGACTAGCGTCCGTAGATCCTTCGGTAAATCCTACCCGAAGCGTCAAAAATACGGTGGACAATTACTACAGTAGACGACATTTAAAGCAGGAGGATGATAACGAGGTCGAGTTGCTAGACTATAACTCTGCACAGAATCTCAGCCCAGCGGGATTAACGTGTTCCACCAACCAACGCCCAGCCCCACCCAACGCCCAGTTTCACGAAAACCCCACCAACTTCAAAAAATCCTATCTCCACCACCACA